AACAAAAACTATTTAGGAGACAAACTTTAATTTTCAATTAATTTATTTCAGAAGGATTAATCAGAGTTGGACGCAAGAAAAGAAGCAGTAGCCGTAAAATTCTCCAAAGATTAATTTCCACTAGCAGAGGTTCTATTAGAACACTTCTTGGCAGCAAAAAAGATGAAGAAACAAATGAAGTTAATAATAATGAAAAATAAAAATAAAAATATATTAAAAATAAAATTTATTTTAAAAAATTTATTTCCATTACTTTAACAATTATTTTTTTAACCTCAATTATATTTCTATTTTCTCAAATATTTCCAAATTAAAGATACATATATCCTTTTTAAATAAAATTCCAAGTTTTTCGTTTTTTATTTTTTTTAAATTTAAAAGAAAATTCAGAAAGAATTTTGTTAAAATATTTTGTAATAATTACAAAAATAAATAAAATAATTTTCCTCAATTTGTTATTATCTTTTATTTAGATAGATCAAAAAATTCTTTTTCGCCCCGTTTTTTTCTCATTTATATTTCATGATAGATTCACGTGAATTTGCTTAATTAATTCAAACAATCTGCAAAAGTAAAAAAAAAGCAAAAAATAATATTTATATAATCCAAAATATCAATTTCTAATTAATTAATTGATATTTTTTGATAGGGAAAGAAAATAATAGAGAGTAGTTGTTGATGTTGTTGTTGCTGATATATGCAGCTTTTATAAAAATAAAATAACTCTAAAGCAAAAAAATAGAAATTATAAGAGGAAAGAGAAATAACGGCAACGATTTATTTTTGTTTAGGAAAAAAAATTTTTTAAATTAAAAAAAAATAAAAAAATATTTAAACAAATTTTTATCCTATTTTGTCAACGAATTAATTAATTTCTCCAAAAACAATTTTAGAATTAAATAGAGGTGGGTCGGAATTCCGATTTCCTTCATCATTTCCGACCCACCTCTGAAATTAATCAAAAACTTAAAAGGATAAATATTTAAAGTTAAATAATCTCTCTTTTCTTTTTATAATTCAATTTTTGATTTAAAAATAATTTATTATTATTTCCTTATTTTTTTTACAAATCAAGTGTTTTGTGAACCTAAAAAGTATTTTTAAATAATAAATAATTATGTAGTAGATGTACTTTATTTTTATTATTTTGTTTTGAATCAAATAAATATATTTATTTTACTTGTTTTTCTGTTGTTTTCTTTAATTTTTCTAATGACGAAACTTAATAAATATTTTAATTAGTATATTTTTTTATAAAAATTTGTGGGATAATTAAATGTAAAAATACTGGTATTTTTCCGTTATACAACTTTTCCTAATTTAATAATAAAAAATATATGTATATAGTGTTGTAAAAGGTTTCGATGAAGTGTTTAACCATCCTTAGTCCTTAGAGATATCTCACAAAACTGGAAAAGGTGAAACTTAAATTTGAATTACTCGATGAAAGGATTTTCGAGGGTAATTCATTTGTTTGTTGATAAATGATAACTCCACTCGGATAAATTTTGGGGAGATAACTAACTTCAATTAAGCTATAAATAAAAAATTGGAAAGCCATACTAAGTTAAAAATATTTTTTAAAGGTCCACCTCAAATTTTACATTGTATATCGAAAACACCCATTTACAGAAAAATATTTAAATTTCATTTTATTTACCGTATTTTCTCGATTAATTCCCTTCCCTTGAATAATTCCCCATGCCAGAGATGGGTTGAAACATTAATTCCCTCGGGAGAATTAATCTAGAAAATACGGTATATCCTAAAATTCGCGAATAATAAAGCCCATGTTAAAAATTAGTTTTTCCCATTTTTTATGGTATTTTTTTATTAAATTTCTCCTTAAAAAATTTTAAAATAATTTTAAAATTTTTTACTATGTAAACAAAATATATAACAAAAGGTTTCATAAAAGAATGGAAAAAGTTTTATATTTAAGTAGTTTTTACAATTAATTTTTTAGCGAAAGTTAGCGAAACATATATAAATTATTTTAAAAATTATTTCTTTTATTTTTAAATTAAAAAATCTAACATAAAAGAATTTTTAAAATTAATTTTAAAATTATATTTGATGTAAAATTGAAATAAATAATTTAATTTGAAATGAATTTCACATGAATTTCCCAATAAATATAATTTAATTTTTAATTATTTAAAAATAAATTACATATGAATAAACTAACTTTTTTTATTCTTTTTTTTCTCACACAAAATTTTTTAAAATTTATTTCCCCAATAAAACTATAATTATTTTAACTCTTTTAGATGTGGATAATCAATCTATTATAATATTTAATATTTTTTTATTGTTTTATTTATTAATTTCAAAATATTTATATAAAATTTTATTTTTAATTTTTAAATTCCAAAAAATAGACACAAAAATTAATTAAAAATATTTTATTAAATAACTTAATCCTTTTATTATATTAAAATAGTATTTTTTTAGTATTTTAAATAATTTTTAATTTTTATCATATTAATTTTCTTTATAATTAGTAACGGCATTTAAAAAAATTTATTTCCTTAATTTTAATTTTGAATTAACAAATTTATGTTCTGATCAAAGTGCAGTTCAAAGTCTTTTAAGAAAGAGTAAAGTCAAGTCTTTAGAGCAAAAAGCACGTTTTTATGTTCGTCATGATCATTTACTAATTTTAGATTATTTAATTATAAGACTACAAAAATTAACAAAAAAATTAGAAAGGAATGGAATTAATTAATACATGTGAATGAAACCGGAATAAATTGATAATATTTTAAAATAATTACATCAGTATTGAGCTATAAAATAAATATTTGTAGAGAAACTTTGGACTTTGCTTTTAAAAAAAGAATATAATTCAAATTTTTGAAGGAATTTATATTTAAAAATTATATTAAGTTTATTATTTAATGGATTCTAAAAAAAGGAATTGGATTAGATAGTTCTGGGATTTGTTTGAGATCATATAATTAAAACCTTCCGCAGAATAGAGAGGAGGCAATTATTTATGAGGTAATTATGCGGGCATATACGGTAAATCAATTTTCTCAATTTAAATTGTGTTTAGCCTTTTATTAGATTAAATTTTAAATTTAATAAAGTTAAATAGATATGTACATATATTAATTTATTAATTTTAAAAAGAAAATCTTCAATTAGTCATAGCTTTTTGTTTTTTATGTGTTTATAGAATTAATAATGAATATCGAATTAGACAGATTGATATTTTATAGACAGAAAAAAATATCGCGCAAATTTATTGACAATTAAAAGGGGTTTTTAATTAAAATTAAGATAGTTTGTGTTTTAAATATATATTTAGTAATTATAGTGTTAATGGCAATAGAAATTAAAAAAATTAAATGCGCAACAATTTTTGCTCGCTTGTTTTATTATAGTATAGAAACTATTTATAAATATCTGAAATGTTTAGTCATTTAAATAAAAAATATTATTATTTAAATGATGCAATAAATATTTAATTAAATTAATTAATTTTAATGTTTTTATATAATAGAATAATTTATTCTCTTTATTTTGATTTTAAATTAATTTGATTAATTTTTTTCAAAATATTTTTCAAAAATGTTTCCCTACAAATACTTTTGGTACTTTGAATTTACCAAATTTTTATTTTAAATTGGGATATTTTATATAAAAAATAAAAGCAAAAGTTCTCAATTCTTTATAATATTTTGTGCTTTAATTAAATTAAATAAATAAATATTTTATTTTTATAATTTTTGTATAATTTTTTAATAATTCTTTTTTGCGCATTATTTCGTTGCAAGGTCTCGCAAACGTTTAAAGAGAAAACAAAGGGAAGGGAAAAGCTTTTTATATATTTTTCCAATGTCAATTTGTTCCTCCGTTTGTAATTATATCAGAATTATTTTTATTTAGTTTACAATCAAAATTTAAAAAAAACAAAATTTTTCTGAATATTTTTAGGGATAATTTCTCTTTTGAATGTCTAAAACTCCAGAAAATTTAATTATCCATTCCAATTAGAATTCCTTTTAAAGAGATATTGCAATATTTACTGGATTTTATATTTTATATGATATTTTAAAATTAAAATTTATTTATCAAAAACTAGCTTCAATATCCTTCATTTAATTTCTTTTTTTAAAATTAGATCTTAATCGAATTGATTGCTAATTATTATTTATTTATTTTAATAGCTTATTTTCATTTTTATTTAATTATAAAACAACAAATTAAAAAATAAATTTTTATTTATATTTAATACCCTTAATTTTGTACAATTTTCATTCAATTTTAACGTGAATATCACAAACACAGACAAACATTTATTTTTGTTTCCCTAACTAAACCAATATTTTTTTAAACATTTTTTTGTTTTTTTAACAAAAAAACCCTAAAAAACATACATAATTTAATTAATTTTTTTCAATCCCCAAACCCTTCTTGATATTAAAAATACTAAATGGGCGGAGTAGTAAATAAAAAAATAAATAAAAAATATAGTAAATAAACCAAAATATAAGGTACAGATAATTACAAAATTGATAAGAAAATAATTTTTTAGGGTACCGCCCATCCTTTTACTTTTTTTCTCATTTATATATTACCTCTGTATAAAATAAAAGGGTCGTCCAATTCCTTTCCCTACATTCACTTTTATTTATTTTCATTTCCCAATCTCTCTTAATTTTCTTTAATAAATTAATTAACTAATAAATCTACTTATGTACATTAATTATTTTTAATATATACATAAATCTTTTTTTAATTTTTAAAATAATTTACCTATAAACTTTTTTTTAAAACTTCTTATTTAAGATTTTCTAATTGCTTTTTTAAGTTTTAATAAAATCTTCAAAATACAAGAACAATAAATCTCGAAAATACTAGTTTCCTCTATTATTATAAAAAGTTTTTCTAAATAAAATTTTAATTTTTTTTATTTTTAGAAAATTAAAAAGCATTTTTGCTACAAAAATTACTCGTGCAGTTTGACTTTATTAACAGCAAACTAATTCCAACTTTACCTATTTGTGGAAATGTCTGTTGATGTATTGCCACCCCCTACAGCTTCTTGCTCAAAGGCTTATACATCAAAACAAGCAGCTGCTCAATTAATTAGTGCTATATTCCCTTTGGCTACTCAATTAGCATCTTCTTCATATCCCTCAAATAATTCTTCAACAGAATCTTCAGATTCATTTTCTTCAACAACAACAACAATGAATTCCCCTTCTAATTGTCAACCTTCCAAACGTTTTAACAATACCCATCGTACTCACCATCATCATCACAATGATTTCCGTTTTTCTTCATTTTCTTCTTCTTCGTCACAACCCCAAATAAATAAAATGGCATTAACAGTTCTTGCTCGAGTTCATCGTTGGTGTTGTCAACTTTTTTGGTTAACAATTGTTTGTTTTATTGGTATTTGTGGTGAACAACAACAGAAACAACAACAAGAAAGAAGAAATTTTGGAAATGGGGGAAATGGTCTTTTTGGTTTAGATGAAGTCAGAAAAAGTTTGAAATTACAAGCATCACAAAGGCATGGATCAAAAAAGTTGCAAGAATTGGAGGCGCAGGTAAAAATAATAATATTTTTTGAAAGTTTCTAAAAATATTTTTAAATTATTTTGAGCTATATTTTCTCCATTGTTTTTATTGGGAATAATAAAGCTCAAAAAATAGGCTTGATTGGGGGCTCTAAAGTCATATAAGAAGGTTGATTATATTTTAAGGATATTTTAAGCAATAATTTCCTTAAAAAATCAAATATTTATTTTCAGAATTAAATATTTATTTTCACGTTCTTAGCTTCTTCGGCATTTAACTCGACCAAAAGATGATATGTTTCATCAAAGGACTAGCAACAACAACAATAGCCAATCGCAATATACAACCAAACCAAAAATTTATCTTTCGTGCCCACCTTCACCCCGGTTATTCAAAATTAGTGAAGAAGGCGAATTTTAAGCAGAATTAAATCGAGAAAATTTGTTATATTAGAAAATAATTTTTTGACAAAATAATTTTAAGTATTTTGATTGTTTTCCTTAAAATATTTAATTAATTTTTATTAAATTATTTAAATATTTGGTAAAGGAATGGCTTTAATTATATTTTGGTGGCTCTCTTTCTTATATTTTCCCCCCTTCCAAACAGAAATATAAAATCCAACTGCAAATTTTCCAAAAAATATAATAGTCATTCCTTCCATTTTTTGTTTCGACTTTTGACATTTTCCCTAGTTTTTCTTTTTATAATTTATAACTTTATTTTTCTGTTAATTAATTTTTATTTTTAATATATACATTTATTATCGCTAGAATTTATATTTTAATTAATATAAATTTAAATATATTTTTTAAAAAAATCATTCCAATATTTTGATTTTATATAGATTTGTTCTAAAAATTCTCATACACTCAAACCAGAGTTGTGCTTATTTTAATATTTTTGATTAAAGTTTTTTTTATTATTTTGTTTTTGGGATTTATTTTTGTAGAGAAAAATTTAAATTAATTCAAAATTCTTGACATTGACATATTTTTAAATTTAATTTTAAAAATTGGAGAAATTAATATACTTTATTTTGGGTATATTAATACTCGCAGCCGGAATTATTGCCCGACGTATTTTCCATTGCTAATAACGATCTGATTTTCAAATTTAATAGAACATACATATTTAAGGACGAGTAAACTGTTCAGAAATTGAAATATTGGTGGAAGGCAGTTGAAGAGGCTTAAAAAATTTAATTGGACTTTGTGATCAACTTAATTGATTCCAATTCTGTTCTTTTAGCTAATGGTTGGTTGCCTTACTCATTCTGAGTATTTTTATTTATACTTTGGAGCAATACTTTTGACCATCTCCATTTTTGTTTTTTATAGTTTTTGGTACTTTTAGTATTATCTTACTATTTAATAGTGGATTATTTTGCAAACTACATAGGTCATTGAAATAGGAACTTTCTCGACAGTTTGGGGCAATACTTTTGACCGTGAGTGTACATATATATTTGCTATTATTAAAGATTTTTCGTGAAAATCATTTTAAAATATATTTTATCAAATAAATAAATTTAAAAATTTAATTAAATTTCTCAAAATTCCCATTTTATTCCAATTACTCAATAAAATAAACGTCAATAATTGATTAATTGATAGTAAATCTTCTAATATATTTATTTAAAAATACCTTATTTAAAAAAATAAGAACACACATTCTCTTTAAAATTGTTTTTGCTGATAGAACAACTTTTGGCCGAATGTGTACTTTTTTCTATTGATAAACAAACTCCCTTTTAAGTAAATGAAAAATAAAAAAATTCCGCTGAGAATGGCAAAAAATAATTTAAAGAAATATTTTTTGTTTTTATCATTTTATCGTAAATTTGTGTGTACAATGTTTATTTGCAAAAATAATATTTGGACCGGAAAAGAGTACAAACATAAATATGTATATATTTTTGATTTTGTAAAGAATATATGTATCTAACACGTGTTAAAGTTTATTGTCATGGGGGGATTTTATACTTCCTTAACTTACTTTATAAACATCTAAAATTTTACAAAATCACTCTAGAACTTTTCTTAAATTTACCAAAAATATTTTTATTTAAATGCAATTTCAGCAGTGTTTTATTAGAATTACATATGTAATTGTCCCAAAAGAGAAAAAGTTTTGGACCAGAAGAAGAAGAAGAAAAAGAAGAAAAAGAGGAAGAAATGAGAGAGTTAATAAAAATAAAAAGAGATAAAATGTGTGCATTATCAGTACCTTTTTATGATAAACACGTGAATTTCACCAATTACTAAATGTACTTTTACATGTCACTGATTTTTCTGGTGTTTACGTTGAGAAGATGTTCTGCTTTTCCCACAAACATTTTTATAGCTTCTCTCTTTATTTAAATGAGTTAAATGGTGCTTTGTCTGTACTTTCGACCCAACCCTTTAATTATTGCCGAAAACTCTTTTTTCTTGTTTAAATTAATTGTGGAGTATAATCAACACGAGAAAACAATTCTCTTCTTTTTTTACGATGACAATTTTATATTTTTCTTTTAAATATAATTTTATTACCACACAAGCGACAACCGGTATTAGATAGTAATAAAGAGTTTATTTGAGTAAAGGGTAAAAAAAAAGAAATTAATTTTAGTTAAATAATTTTTGATGAAAAATAAAACTTCTAAATTAAATTTCTAAAAATTATTTAATTTAAATAATTTATTTAAAATAATTATAATTTATTTTCTTTATTAAATTTAAATAATTATTTATTTATTTAGACTCTAAATTACTTAAATCTCTTTTTCCTTTCTTGTTGTTTTGCTACTGATAATTACTGCAGTTATGTGTAGCAGTATATTTATCAGTGCGCACAAGTCAATTTTTGGGAAAAATATAAAAAGAAACGGGAAAATGATGAAAAAAAGAGAAAATGGCAAATAATTTTTTAAATAAAAATTGTAAAGAAAAATTATTAATTTTATTTTTTATAAAAAATCTTTAATGGAAAAATATACATAATTAAATTTAACTAAAATACATATAATTAAAAATGTAAATTTACATAATAATTAATTACACCAAGGGTGAATTTAAAATGTGTTTAAATCAAGGATGGATATGAAATAAGTATTAGATATGAAATACTTGAAGATTCTGATTCATGATCGTTGATAACGTTTAGTTGAGATATATCAAACAATTTTACATTTGAAAAGCCTTCAGCGCATATTGTAAATAGAGATAACTCGCTAAAAATAAACTAGGATCCATAAAAATAATTATTTTTTTTAATTATAATATCTAAATTATGTAGGCAAATCAGAAAATAAATATGTAGTATAATATCACATAAGCTACTATAAAAACAGATGAATTTTCAATACTGGTAACCCTTCAACAACTTGATCCAATTGTTACGTCGACAGCTGCTCTTCTCAACTTGGCCTTTGCACTCCAGACTTCACAACGGATAATGGCACAACCGAAGATGACCTTGGCGGAGGTGGATGGTCTCATCGAGCGCATTTTGCTAACGAACTCGCAGCGCTTCACGCAACTGGTTGGTTTTATTTGCTCTTTTAAACTTTTGGAAACAAAAAACAATTTCCAATTTTTTAAGGTTACCGCATCAGACATCAAAGCTCTGTGCAATAGCGCCATTGAAGTTCTTCGTGTTCAACCGTCTCTTGTGGAGATCGATCCGCCAGTGGTCGTATGCGGTGACATCCATGGACAGTTTTCTGACCTGATGCGCATCTTCTCTCGAGTTGGCTTTCCACCGCTGAAGAACTTCCTCTTTCTCGGAGGTAAAGGACCAACCACCTTTTTATTAACCTTTCTAACAAATTTTCGTAGATTACGTCGACCGCGGCCGTCAAAGCATCGAGACAGCTGTCCTGCTTCTGGCCTACAAGACAAGATATCCGGCAAATTTCTTCCTGTTGCGCGGCAACCATGAATGTAGCAACATCAACCGTGTCTATGGGTTCCTCGAGGAGATCCGCCGACGATTCCCACACGACACTCAATCGCTCTGGATAGCATTCAACAAAGCGTTCGCTTGGCTGCGTTTTGCGTATTCTTTGTTCATTCAATATACCGTAAATAGTACTCTAATATAAGCCCACCTTTTGTAGAAGCCCACCTCTAATATAGGCCCATCTGAGTAGACCCATTGAAAAATATAAGCCCAGGGTTTAGATCAGAGTATTTACGGTATTTGTATATTCTTACAAAAATGTTTTATAACCTAATACATACAAGGTAAATATGCTAAAAAGTTACAAATATAAAAAACTTCTTCAAATGATTCGATGTAACAAGTTAAAGGGAATTAAAGCCCGTGACTTCTATTTTTCAATGAGTCTCATTGAGTGGGTTTCTAATAAGGGCTTCTAAAAATTAAAAAAAAACATTTATGGTAACTAAGAATGGGCAAATGTCCAGTTGACTTTTTTTCTTGCACTATTTTCTGCTAGGACTTTTAAAAAACATTTTCGGTCTTAATTAGAATTTATTTATTCTAAATAATCTTTAGTTTAAATAATTATTTAAATCTGTAAATTTTTTTCTATTTTTCTTTAAATTTTAGCTTCGTTGACTTTAAATTTTTTCCAATTAAAAACCAATTTTTTGCATTGTTTTTACAAAAAATTATCAAACAAACGACCAAAATATTTCTTTTTTGTTTATCAAAATATATTTAAATTTTCTTTTAAAAAATACCCCCAAATATAAATAACAAAAACAAAAAGTACAAACAAACAAAATATATTTTTGCTAATCTATTCTAGCAATAAAGAATATTTTTTGTAATTAATCAAAATTATTTAGTATTTTCCTTTTATTTTTTTTGTTCCTAGAAAGGAGTTTCTTTTAATTTTTTTTTGCTGAATCGTCCATTTTTATTTAATCATTTTCTTCCTAAATAATTAAATATTTTTTCGCATTTTATTTATTTTTTAGCGTTCTTCCCTACCTCTTTAACTCTTCGATTCCCTACCTTCTTTAACGTTCTTCCCTACCTTCTTTAACTTTTCGATTATTATTTTATTGTAAATATGTTCGTGCCTGGCTCTGTCCTTATTTTATCTATTGTTTATGTACTTTTTAATTTTTATTAAATACTTGTAAAGCAATTTTTAATTAATTAACTTTTTCCTCCTCCTCCTTTTTGTTAAAATTTCATTGTTAAAATTTCGAGTTTTTAAATATTTTAATATTTTTAGATTTAAAATTAATTAATTTTCTAAATGGACAACAATAAATCAATTTGTCATAAAAACAATAACAACAAAATTATTTTAAAATCATTTTTACCTTTATTTCGCTTTGCACAGACAAAACGTTATTTAAGTGTTAAAATTAAAGTAAATGATGAAGAGGAGGCAATGCAATGGGTAAAAAAGAAAGAAATTAATTTTAAATTAAATTAATTTTTGTAGAAACTTTTCTCTTTAACTGACTCCCTTGGATTAGTAACAACATCAGAAGAAATATTTTATCGAGTACCTAAAGGTCAATTAAAAATTCGTTTTGCACATCCAGGGAAAGATATTGGAGAATTAATTTCAATTTCTGTTCAAAGCTCTTCAATTGACCATGATAGTAAAGCTTTGGGGAAATTTTTACATTTTTTTGAGGCGAGAATATCGACATTAAAAGAGGCTGGACAATTTAGAGTAAAAAACTTGAAAAAAATTATTTTTTAAAAAATTACTCTTTAAATTTCAGCACACATTAGGTTTATGTTTGGAGGAATTGGCAATAATTCGAAAAAAGCGAAAGACTTTTATTTTGGGTTCAGTTAATTTTCATTTGGATATTGTTGATGGTTTAGGGACTTTTCTTGATATTGAAGTAATTTACTTTTTAATTAAAAAATTTATTTTTTTTTAAATTTTCAGATTCATCCACAAGAGAAAAACGATAAAATTGACGAAAATAAATTATTTTGTAAAGCTCAGGAATTACTTAAACAATTAAATATTTCTACAAATTCTTTACTTTTTTATTCTTCTTATTTGGAATTATTTTTAAGAGGAGAAGAGAAAAGGGAAGAAAGTGATGAATCTGCATTTTCTGATGAATCTGTTGCTCCTTAAAATTTTGTTTAAAAAATATTTTTATTTTAAAATCCAAAGTATATATTGACTTTTTAATTGGTTAATTTTAAATAAATTTAATTAAATTTTAATAATATTTTAATAAAAAAACTAATTTAATATAAATATTTAAAAAGGAATTTAAAAAATATTTTCTCACAAAGATTTAGATAAAAATAAACCAAATTATTAGTAGAAAAAAACAAATACATATGTGTTAAAGTTATGGAATTAAAGCTATCAATTTGCCTGGTTGATAGCGGCGGATTATTATAAAAAGCCTATTTACAAGAGATTTTTTAATTGCTGCTTAGAAATTCGTTCTACTTTTCTTAAATAATTATTTAAGAAAATTTTTCTTTATAGGATCCAATCCGAAACTTTGGATATCTACATACATATATCCGGTATGGAATACAGAAATATTTAGATATCCAGACTCTTCTACGTAGTTGGATTAGATAACTTTAATTAAACAATTAATTTATATTCATACATAATTTCAATTCAAAAAGACAAGATTTAATGAATTTTAAATTAATATATTCATTAATTTTGACTGCTGTTTTAATTTTAATTATCAAAAATGACAAAACAATAAAATTTAAAGTGAACTTTTAAATTTTTTAAATTTACCCACAAATTGGTTAATATTTTCTTTTTTTTTCAAATCAATTTCTTTTTTTTTTAATTTATTTCCTTATATATTTGTCTATGTAGCCAAAAAACCTAAAAAAGTACATTTTTTATTTAAAATTTATCGATTTTCTTTTCTTTAATTTTAACAATTTTTTTTACTTTATTGGCCCTATCTTTTTTTTATTTTTTCGAATCATCCTCAATTTCATCCGCTTTGACCCTCCTTCACCTTCACCTCTTCTCTCCAAATATTTAAAAAGATGTGCAAATATGACAAAGCATGAATGAAAATTTATGAAGACAGAAAATAGATTGGAAAATGAATGAATGAATGAATGACTAAATCTAATAGCGACAAATTCATTAAGCATGAATATATTTTTTGTTTCTCTAAATTATTTTTTAGAGAGCTTAATTTAAATAAATTGTCTTTTAATATATCAAGCTAAAACTGCCAAAAAAGCTTCCTTCTTTTAAAAATATTTTTTTAATATTTATTTTTATAAATTAATATAATTTAAATAAATAAATGAATAATTTACAATCAAATAATAATTTAAATTATTATGAGCATCAACGAGCATCTTTTTCTACTGAAAGTATTGTTTGTAATAATAACAGTACACCTTTTCCTCATAAAATATCTCCAATACAAAATACACCGAAAATTCAAATTTCTTTTCCTGGTAAGAGAATTTAAAAAACAACATTTATTTTTTAAATAAATAAATAATTATATTGGATATAGTTTAGTATACCGGAGTTTTAGTTCCGATATAAGACCCATACCATTCGATTCGTCTCGGCGAGCTGAGTCGAACGGTACCACTCTCCAGGCGCGGAGATGCCTGTGGGCCGAGATATAGGTCCCCGAAAATCGAAAAACCATAGGGGGGACCAAGCACTTTTTTGAGGTGAAAAATTCGAATATGCAAATTATACCTCATTCGAAAGAGCTCATCGAGCTGAGTCGAAAGACACCAAAATCAGCTCGAGATCTTGCTTCTGAGCCAAGATAAACAGGTTCAAAATGGTCATTGTAACCCTATGGGGCGGCGGCGAGGCGCTTGTGCAAAACCCCGCGCTTCGCGCGGGGTTTTGCGGCACGCGCCTCGCGGGGAGTCTACGGGCGCTGGGTCTGGGCTCGTAACATTGTCCTATTCCTATAATCATGAGGTGGGCATCCCAGGCTTCCTCCGCGGCAGCAAAACCTCCACAGATACCATAGGTAAGGAGCTAAAACAAACGACCATAACTTTGTCCAATCTTGTTCAATCACGGTGATTTTCATGTCATTCGACTCAGCTCGTCGAGCTCTTTCGAATGACGTATTATTTGTAAAAAAAATTTTTATTCCAAAAATCGTCCCTTGGAATTTTCTATATTTAGGGGTCTATATCTCGGTCCAATTAAGTCGGATTTCGTTGATTTTGGTGTCATTCGACTCAGCTCGACAAGCTCTTTCGAATGAGGTATAATTTGCATTTTCGAATTTTTCACCCCAAAAAAGTGCTTGGTCCCCCCTATGGTTTTTCGATTTTCGGGGACCTATATCTCGGCCCACAGACATCTCCGCGCCTGGAGAGTGGTACCGTTCGACTCAGCTCGCCGAGACGAATCGAATGGTATGGGTCTTATATCGGAACTAAAACTCCGGTATACTAAACTACAGCCATTATATTTAGAATCCAATGCTTTACCTCCACCTAAACCTATTAGAAATAGACCATCTTATCCATTTACCAAAAAAGTTATTGGTAGAAATAAAACTGCTCAAGTTAATTGGAAAAAAATGGGAGAGGCCGTACTTTCATCACAATATAAACAAAAAATGGTTTTTTTTAATCTTAAAATAATTTTTTATAAAAATTTAAAATAAAATATATATTTTATTGTTTGAAAACCAACAAGTAGTTTATGTATATTAATTTATTTATGTCGAAAAATATATATGTAAACTAAATAAAATTAATTTGTAAAATACGGCAAATTTCTTTGTTATCCTTTCACCATATTCCTATAATTTGCTACCGTTAAATTTGGTTATTTTTATAGGCTTCTCAATCTACATTAAAGACTATGTCTAATATTGTAATACCCAAGAAACGTTATTCGACTTGGCGTAAAGATTCATTAAGGGATTTTCAAACATCAACATTCACAAAGGTAATATAATTAATTTCTAAATTAACAGGTGATATTTTAAATAATTATTTTTTAAATATAAAATTAAAAAAAGGAAAGACGTAAACATAAATCTGTCCCAAGTTCTTTAAAAACAGTAATGGCTTTATCTGGATTATTTGTTTGTGGTTTAATGTTATTATTAAGTGGTATAATTGTTATATTTTCTGTAGGTTTATTTTTAAATTTAAAAAATATTCTTATCAATAAATTATAATTTTTTAGTTAAAAACATCGAAGTAAAATTTTTTTAATTTCGATTTTGGTATTCGTATCAGGGTTGCCGCCCGAAACCCGAAACCCGGCCTTTTTTTGTACCCGAAACCCGATACCCGAAAAGAAAATTTTCCAACCCGAAACCCGTACCCGAAATTGGTTAAAACCCGAAATTTCTACCCGAAAATTTATCCTTACCCGATTTTTTAAAAATAAATTTAAAAAATTATAGAAAGAGAAAGAAACAAAAGGGAAAGAAATATTTATAATTTCTTCTATTTTTTCATTATGTCGACGGTGGTTTAATGGTTAAGGCGACGGGCTCTATATTTTCATAGGGGTGGGTTCGAGTCCAGGGCGAAAATGAGGCTAAAAAAATTTTCTTTTCAAAAATAAATATTCTTTAACTTTGATTTTCACTTTAAAAATATTTTTTTTAATATTTTAAGCTTGAAAAAGCATTAAAAATTTTAATTCAGTCATGAATTTTGCAAAATTTTCGCCTGCGGCGCATAAAATTAAGAGTTCTGGCTTCATGACCAACTAAACTTCAATAAAATTTTTTGCCTGCGGTTCTGACAATTGGATTTTTTCTCCTAAGGCCTTACAAAATTCTCAAAATTTTCGCCTCCGGCGGTGAAAAAGCTAAAATTTGGCTTAAGGATCATCAAAATTCTCAAAATTTTCGCCTGCGGCGCAAAAAAACGGGAGAAAATTGGAGGCTTTAATGGAGATCAAGCGGAGAGATATTAGTATATAGTAGGTTTTATCAAGGTGGGATTTTACCAAGATATCCCTCTTAATCCCCAAATCCCACAATGTCTCTTTAATCTCTTCAAATTTGCCTCTCTCTATCACCCAAAATCCTATTATGCAACATAGCTTGTCTCCTTACAATTTAATTCACCAATACCCGAACACCCAAAAATAACCCAAATTTTTCGCCAAACCCGAAACCCGTACCCGAACTTTTTGCCAACCCGAAACCCGATACCCGAAAAGAAAATTTTATAACCCGCAACCCGAAACCCGTACCCGATATTTTTGCCAACCCGAAACCCGTGAACCGAAATGAAAACGCTCCAACCCGATACCCGAAACCCGTACCCGAAGATTTTTTGTACCCGCGGCAACCCTGATTCGTATACAGACAAGATTTAGATATTTTACCTTGAAAACATTAATCTCGATGGGTACACCCCAACGTACCGCAGCCCAATGTACCGCAGCCCAACGTACCGCGCCCAACGTACCGCAGCCCAACGTACCGCAGGCCCAACGTACCGCAGGCCCAACGTACCGCAACCCAATGTACCGCAGGCCCAACGTACCGCAAATCAATAATAATGAATAATAGTTGTTCCAACAACAACTACAACAAAAATATTTGTTATATTGATGGGGAGAGTTGACCCAATGACTTGGGAACTTGTTTCGACAACGGGGGATTTTTCAAACAAATATTAAACTGTTTAACAACGGGGAGGTTACTTTGTAACGGGGGAAGTTGTTCCAGCAAAGGGGGAAGTTGTTCCAATGACGGGGGAAGTTGTTCCATCAAAGGGGGAAGTTGTTCCAATGACGGGGGAAGTTGTTCCAATGACGGGGGAAGTTGTTCCAATGACGGGGGAAGTTGTTCCAATGACGGGGGAAGTTGTTCCATCAAAGGGGGAAGTTGTTCCAATGACGGGGGAAGTTGTTCCATAAAAGGGGGAAGTTGTTCCAATGGCGGGGGATTTTGCTTCAATAACGGGGGATTAGTCAACAACCAAGGAAGAGTTCCAAAAAAATAAAAATTTTGTTCGGCGGTACGTTGGGCCTGCGGTACATTGGGCTGCGGTACGTTGGGCTCGCGGTACGTTGGGCCTGCGGTACGTTGGGCTGCGGTACGTTGGGCGCGGTACGTTGGGCTGCGGTACGTTGGGCTGCGGTACATTGGCCTGCTCCCAATCTCGATTATAAAACAAAAAAAGGCCAAAGCATTTAAAAATTATTTCTCTCATACAAAATTAATCATTTAATTCTAAATTAATTTTTAAGCAAAAAGATTTTGTTTTTCGTGCAGCCGGTGCCGGTCTTTCATTATTTGGATTAATTTCACTTTTAATTTGTGCTTTATTACAAAGAAAAAATGTTGGAAAATGGTTTTCAGATATGAGCAGGGATTTATTTGCTTTAAGAGAAGCAACAACAATAATTGAAAATAATAATAATAGAGAAAATAAAAGAGAAAGTTTTAGTGTTATTGATGAAATACCGGATACTTTTATTAGACAATAAATTAAAAATAAGGAAAATGCCTATTGTGTTTTTAATTTTTAAAAATATATTTTCTAGTCATTTTATACATTTTTTAATATTCAAAGCATTTATATTTTTTAATTATAAATTTTAAAAATTTATTTCATCCTTTTATTGTTCTCATTTGTCCTAAGTTCTTTTCTTTTCATAATTTAAATTTATTAAATATCTTTTTATGAAACTAAAATTTTTTATTGACAAATCCATTTGTATCAGAGATTAAATTTTGACAATACTAATTCCAAAAATAAATATTTTTGACATTTACTATTTTAAATTAAAAAAATCTTTCAACATTGTTCAAATTTTACAAATTTAAAAATGATTGATAAAATTAAGAAAAAGTTTTATTTAAATACATATTAAGAAAAAGTTCAAAAAAATTGGTTGGTTATTAAAAATTAAATAAAAAGGGAAGCATTATCATTTATGGAAAATTTCTAAATTTATAACAATTCTTAGAAAATTTAAATAAAAAAAAGAAAATTATTAATAATTTATTTAATTCCAGGCATTTTTTTTAATTTTATTAACCGAAATAATGCTTAATTAAAAAAGAAAATAAAATTATTATTGCAAAAAAAATCATTTAATTTGAGATTATTTTTAAAATTTCTCTATAGAATTTATTGTTGTTTGTAATTCTTTGTTGTTTTCAACACCTTCATTTATTTCCACCAAAAATTCATTTTTATTTTTATTATTTTTAAATTGATTGCAATGTGACTATAAAAAATAAATAAAATTATATATTTTTTTAAATTAAATTCACTTGAACAGTCGAGAAACGAATTCGATGTATTTTAGCAAGTAAGTGTTGTGCCATAATTGAAACTTTGTTTGCATCAGAATTTTCTTCCAATTCTAAATGTACAGTAGCTGCAAGTGTATCACTTTTTAATGCCCAAACTCGGAGAGAATGAATTCCAACAACATTTGGCAAAGATAATAAATTTTTATAAATTTTTTCGTGAGAAACAAATTGGGGGCTAGCCTCCATCTTTAGAAAAAAGGATAAGATTTAAATAAAAAATAATATTTCCAAACCAAAATAGTTATAGCATCACTAAAAACAGGGACACTTGTAAGTAAAACAAGAAAAGAAAAGAAAAATGTGCAAATAGGATCAGCTATAGCATAACCAGTAAATTTAATTATTATAGAAGCAATTAAAACACCCAAAGATTGACATAAATCACCAAGAACATGAACAAAAGCAGCTCGAATATTTAAATTATTACTTTTATTACTTCCACTACATTGACTATTATTTTCTTCTTCAATATCTGAAGAGGAGGAAGAAGAAGTACTTGTATTGCTATTGTCTACCTAAAATAAATGAATATTTTTTTTCAATATAATTTCATTTAATAAAATTAGTTATAAATAAATTTTTAGATTTTTTTGTCTAAAATACCTCACCCCTAACCCTTATTTTAATTAAATAAATAATGATTTCTAATTTAAAATAATTAATTTTTAATTATTCACCGTTGTAGATTCAATAGAAACAATAGAACCATCTCTTCCTTCTAAATTTATTTTTATTGGAATTGTTGAATTTGTTGAATTCTTTTTTTCTTTTCCTTCTTTATTATTTAAATTTAATTGAATATTTTTATTTGAATGATTATGTGAATGTATATGGGAATGTCCACTTCCTCCTCCATTTCTCCAAACTATATGAAGAAGAGTCCCAATAAGTAAATTAAATAAAACACCGATACCAGCAGTTAACATCATCTACAAAATTATTTTAAATATTAAAATATTTTCAAAGTCAGAAAGTTGGCCACAAAAGGGAATAATTAAGTAAACATTAACTAATTAAAATATTCTAATAAAAATTACAGTATCAGGTTTAACTTCATATTCATTTGCCACAATCCGCCAAACAGCCATATACAAAAGCATTCCAGTAAGTACCCAAATAACAAGAACACTTAAAAAATAATTTAATCCTAATTAAATTTAATTAAATCACCTAGATAAAGCCCCAAGTACTTCTGCCCTTTGGAATCCATAACTATGTCGAACATTTGGTTGGCGACGGGAAAGACGAATAGCCAATATAGAAACAAGAAATGAACTTAAATCTGATATCATGTGAAAAGCATCTGTCATTATGGCCAAACTGGAAAATTAAAAAAAAATTTTTATTCTAAAGAAAAAAAAATAATTTTAAATTTAAAAATCTTTATTTAATTACCTATGTGCTAGCCAACCACCAATAACTTCAATGGCTACAAACAATAAAGTCAACAAGGCAATTAGTGCAAGAACACGTTCTGCTCTCCTTTTTAGGAAATAAAAAGTTTTTTTTAAATTACTCATGACGAAATTAAATTTTGATTTATTTTAAGAACATTTTTGTGTTCATGTGAAAAATTAAAGAATATTAAACGGATTTTTTTATTAAAAGATGAGGATTTTTTATGTATTTGTTAAAAAATTGATTTAATTATTTTTTAAAGATATTCTTTTATTAAAAATAAAAATCTCAATTTTACATATTTACACTCTCTCTTTGACTGAAAATTCTATTTAAAAATCGAGTGACATCAAATTTTAAAAAAGTTCCATAAATTGAAGCTACCAAATTGTGGGTTATGTAAAATTGGGACCCTTTTATTTAAAATAAAATTATTTGTTTACATACTTAGATTCATTATTTTCATTTAAAAGAGAATCAACAGCAATACTTTCTTCAAGATCACAACGATTATTAAAACACTTTTTTTCATGAGAAGAGCCGTTTTTATTTAAATTAAAGAAGGGCATTTTATATAATAAATTTAAAATTCTAAAATTTAAAAAAAAATAGTATTATTTTTAAAAATAAATTAGATACAAAAATTGGACTATTTATAGATGATATATTTTTTAAATAAAGTAAATATAAAGGAATAAAAAAAGTTTGTTTTTAATAATTTAAAGTTGTGTTTTAACTTATTTTTTGTTTCTCTCAAAGTTTTGTCTGTAATTGAGATTTATTTGAACAAAAGATTAAAATAATTTTATTTTCTTTGAAAAATGGATACACTTTATTTATTTAATTTTTAAATTTATTTTTAGTTAATGACGCATTTACTAACTAAAAATATTTTGAAAAATTAAAAGTAGATTTTGTAAGAGAAAAATTTAGGTAAAAATATTTAAAATAAATTTAGAAAAAAATAAAAATAATTTTGATTTTTAAAATCAGAAAAAAAATAAATTAAGAATATTATTTTCAACAAAGAAATTGCCAAATTAAATATAAAAATGTTATCAACTCTTTTTAGTAATTGCACATGGAGGGAATTAAAAAAAAAGAGTTTGTCTAAATAACAAAAATAAAGGTTAGAAGAAATAAATGAAAACTGCCAGAATTGTGTTGTTTAAAAAAAATTAAAGTATTTATTTTATATAGGCGACAATAAATCGAAATTGACTTGAAATATGTACATATATTTTTTTCCTATTTAAAATGGTTCAGATTGCGTAACTGACAGAAAGAAAATTAGAGTATTTTAAAAAAAGTTTTAAATGCAGTCAAATATTAATAAGACGTCTCATTCGGGACCGATTTGATCATACTATTAACTTTATATTGTGTAATATTTAATAGAGAGCGAGATTTTCAAAAAACCTTGACCTTGATTTCGGTTGGGTACCTTGACCAGATTCTTGACCTTGAGTCAAGGAAAAATCAGGGAACTCTGAAAAATGCCTTTATCTGGACTCTGGATCCAGGAAAAATCAAGGTCTGGATCCAGCTCACTCTCTAATATTTAATTTAATATTTAATAGTAAATTAACTTTAAAATATTTTATACTTATTTTTAATAAAATTATTTAAAATATTTTTTGAACAAATAAATATATTTAAAAAATATTAGCAAACATTAAGTGCTGCTACTTATTCATTTTTTATATTTTTTACACTTAAAATATTTTGTTAAAATGCGAGAAAAAAAGAAAAGGTCGCCAAAAAGACTTTTTAAGTCATCAATCTCGTCCCGATATTTTTTTAAGTAGACGAAAATAATTAAATAAAAAATAACTTTAATTTTTGTTTAAAAATATTTAAATTAAATATTTTATTAATTAAAAATTAGTCAAAAAATTCGAATAATTAAACTAAAATGGATTAATATTAAAAAGAAAAAGAAAAAAATGAGTAATTAGATAACTAAAATAATTTAATTTAACAATTTGGGAAAATATTTTAAAATAAATTATTTGTATTTAAAGTTAATGAATTAATTTAAATATTGAGGGGAAATAAAAATATATAAAAATTTAATTAAAAATATTTTTAAAATTAAATAGTAACTTATTTAATTGTGTATAGGTAAATGTTTTTAAATAAATTGTGAGAAATCAAAACCACCCACACAAGCGAGAAAATAAAAATATTTGTTGCCCTTCAATTAAATTAATCACTGTCTTTTAAATAAAATTAAACAATTCTGATTTAAATTGACAAGATTGATTATTCAAAAAGTGATCTGTGATATTAATTAAAGAACTTTATTTTAGAGAAAAATTTTAAAAGATAATTTAAAATATTCTAAATGGAAGGGATTAATAAACATATAAATTTATTTTTTTCCTCAATTAATTTAAATAAATAAATTGGGCTTTAATATATCTCCTCGACAATTAATTTTTTGAATAAGAGAGAAATCATTTTGAATGACGTTCCCTTTTCATGTGCCTAGAAACATCACCCCCTCCCCTTCCCCCCCCCCCCCCCCCCCCCCCCCCCCCCCGTCCCCTCCCCTCTTCTTCCTTCCACCTTCTGCGCAACACTTTATTTAAAGTAAATAGAGAGGGTGGAGGGGAGATAGTTTTATGTCTTAAAACGGTTTTGACTGATCTTAACACGTAATTAAACATTCTTTGTTTTTTTAAATGTTTAAATTTTGGAACATTTAATTTATTTATATATATTTTAATAATTTAATAGACAAAACTTTCAAAGTTTTAATTTATTTAAAAATAAAATATAAACTATTTAAGGGTATTAATATATTAATAATAAAATTTATATTATTTATAAACATTGCTTTAGTTTTTTTAGATTAAATTTCGAATTACTAACTTGAGAAAACCAGAAAATAAAATAAACTTTATAAATGTTCATAAAGATGCTGAGAAAAATAATTTCATGTGTAGTTTGTCCAAATTTATAAATTGTTTGTAACAAACTTTACTATTGTAGTTAGAAAAAAATCAAACATATGTGTAGGTATGTCAAAATAAAATTTTAACAAAAAAATATTTTCAATAAACAAAAAAGTTAACTTTTTTAAAATTAACCTCAAATGTTAGATTAAAATATAAATAGAAAAATAAAATTATTTTAAATTAAAGTCTTTATACAAAAAAGGAAATATATTTATTTTTAATTTAAGAACAAAAAAAACTTTAAAATACAGCAAAATTTTAAATATAAAAATATATTTTAACTAATTATTTTTTAGTTTTTTAAATTAGGATAAACAAATTGTTAAGAAGAGTTAAGAAAAAAAGAAAAAAATATTTGAATAAATTAATTAATGAATTATGGAAATAATTGAAGAGGAAGGAAAGAAGAAGAAGATAATTGAGGAAAAAATAAATGGATATATGTAAATAAATACTTGGTTGATAAAAAATAAATAAAGAAAAAATATATAGAGAAGAGAAAGATTAAATTAATTAAAAGAAAATAATCAAAAGACTTTTTTGATTAAAGTTTTTTAGTAAAGAATTAATATATCCAGTTTTTAATTAACTAAAAAAGAAAAAACTGACCAAAATATAAGGTTTTAGCCAAAGAATATTTAAAATTAATGGAATTAGAAAAATTACAAAAATTTGGATTTTTTTCGCAAAAAGTAAAGGGAAAAAACTTTTATTTTCTTTCATTGGAAATTATCCAATTTATTTTTGATAAAATGTGTAAATGTATTTATGTGTGTGTGATTTAGCGGCGGTATATTTGGCGGTCATTCATCCAAACAAGCATCTTTTTCTTTTTTTATTTTGTTAAAAATATACAAGAAAAATTTACTAAAAACTGCAGTGATCTGCTTTTTTTAAGTTGGGTGCTAAACATTTTTTATAGGATTTTTTTCTAAGATTTTGGAATAAAAAATTAAATAAAAAATATTTTTAAATATTATATTAAATTATTATTTTTCCCTTATATATATTCTCCAAAATACAAAAATTCAGGTTTAAATATTTTAATTAGAATTCTTTTCGCTAAATAAAAATTTAAAATCTAAAAAAAATAATAATTAATTTTTCTTCCCTACATCTAATTTTGGCATATTTTTTTAAGTTTCAAAAGAATATACAATAATAAATAGCTCTAATAAACTTTTTTAATTTTAAAAATTAATAATTCTTCGCGATAATTAAAAAAGAAATTTAAACAAAAAGATAGAGTAAAATATTATAGGTTTGGACGAAAAGTGTGAAAAATTTTAGTGAAAATAACAAAGAACTGGATTTTAGTTTTAAATAAATTGAATTATTTAAAAAAAATATTTTTTTATTAATTGTGTTATAAAAATATTGAAAAATTTATTACACAATTGTTTCTTCTGGTTTATTGCTCATTTATTTTTTGTTTGAAATATTAATATATTACACAGACACAATTGAAAATCTTTTTATTTATTTTTGATGATAATAATGCCGTTATTTTATTACTTCTTTAATATGTCTATAAAAAATAAAAACGTCATTATTTAACAAAAATAATAATTATCCATAAAATATTATTTTAAAATTACAATTTTTAATTCAAAAATTTATTTAATATTTTAACGTTTCATTCTCTATATCAAATTTAGGTAAAATAGCACAAGAAAATGTTCCATTAACTGATGCGGGAAATCTTTGACCACAACAAGTTGGCTGTTTTGGATAAATACAAACATTTAAATTACAAACTTCCTCTTCTCTATTTTGCCTTCAAAAAATTAAATTATTTAGATATTTCTAGACAATATACAGAATTTTCTTTAAAGAAAAATCTCAAAAAAAATCAAGTGAAAAAAATCAAGTGAAAGTTTCCCTCAAAATCACTTTTAATTATTTACCAATTCATTTATCTATCCCCCCCTCCCCTTCCATCCAAAACATGATATTAACTCTATCAAGGAAAAAATTCCCCGATTTCCGGTGATGGGGACAAGAAACAACCCTCCTACCATATTTTTTTGAATTATTACCCAACACAATTACATTCATCTTTCTTTTTTAAGCATTCTCTATTTCTCCATCTAATTCCACATCCCCCACAACTTTCTGTACATTCTGTCCAATTACCAAAATTACTCCATTTAGATTTATTTTCCTCTATCAAACATAAATCAACAGAACGTCCAAAATTTAAAAAAAAATTTTAAATTAATTTAAATTAAAAACTCGGCAAAGAATTGTTGTTCCAACGGAAGAATATTTATTTTCAATTTTGGATCCCATTTTCCTTTAGCCATTACAAAAAACAAAATAATAAAATTAAAATAAAATAAAAATATTAGAAAATATTTTATTTTCATAATTTTTAAAAAATAACTTTTTAATGTTAAGCTTAAAATTAAAAAGATATTAATAATTAGCTTCTCGCAATCAAAAATATAATCATAAATCTTTGAAAATAAATTGCGCTTTCTTAAATCAGGTCAAGCACAGAAAGAGGAAATGAAAAAAAAATAAAAAGTGAATTTTAAAGCATAAAAGTAAAAGGCCTCCTATTTTTTCCACAATTTTTTTCTCTAAAAAAGCATCCTCTATTATGGCTCCTACTTAAAATAAACACATTATTTAATAATTTTATATATTTTATTTAAAAAACAAACAAATTTTTAAATAAAAATTTAAATAATTCTTTGTAATTTGCAAATAAACATGGGTCCAAAATTAGAAACAATATAAGGCAAAACAAGACTTCCTCTTTGTTGTTGATCACTAAATCTGTAAAGCCCCGTTCTTTTTAAAAGTTTTTCCATTCTTTTTAATGAACGTTCTACAAATTTAATTCCATAATGTTGTTGAGCCAAAACAACTGCATTTTCAACTACTAATTCATTCTGGGTTGGTGCTAATGTACAGGTAGAGTAAACTACTGAACCTCCAACACGGACTGAACGAAGGGCATTACTAAAAAATTAAAAAATACATATTTTCTAATTTAAAATCTCACTAAATGTTAACTATTTTTCTCATCGCTAAATGTTAACTTAACTATCGTTTAAAAATCAAATTCCCATTTTAACAAAAATTAATTTTCAAAAAATCCCTACATTAACATTTTTGTTTGTTTTTGTGGCAAATCCAATCGTTCCGTTGTTTTATCTGTTGCAAAAATGTTATTATCATCTTGATTAGCTGATAACCGATCAGAAGTACAAGGAGCGTCTAAAAGCACCTAAAAACCCAGATTAATTCCCACAAAATTTTTTCCAAACTTTATCATAAATTCCACATTCATCCCAAGATTCAACACTAGAAACATCCTTTCTTTTCAAAATAATGCGAGATGCTGCCTCACTTCCAGCCGGGATATACATTGCCAAAGCTCTTCTAAGTTGGCCAAGTCTCGATAATTTATTGTCATTACAAACAAGAGAAGCTTTTTTAAAGAGAAAAAATTTTTTTAATTCACAAAAAATACCAAATTTCCCAGTTTGAGTAATTAACAAACTTTTCCCGCCAGGAGATGCACACATATCTAAAACTATATCATCCTCGTTTAAATCTAAAGCAAGTACTGGAAGAATTGATCCCCCATCCAAAAGCCACCAGCCTTAAAAATGTTAGAATAAATAAAATTATTTATTGAAAAAATTGTAAAAAATTCCTTTTAAAGTTAATTAAATAAATTTAGTTAAAAACAGAAAAAAATTTAAATTAAGAAGAAAACCTGAAACATTTTGTTCATCTCTAATTGGACCAGGAAATCCATCAATACATTGCGGAGGATGTATAAATACTTGAAGATCACGTGGATAAATTAAAGAATCATCGACAGTAATTAATGGATCTGCATCTAATGATTCTAAACCTGTGACTCTGAAAAATAATTTTAGAGAAAATTATTTTATTAAAATTATAAAAATTATAGAATAAAAGAAATTCCTTCGTTTTTAATAGGGTTTTATTGGTTATTTTTATATTTTGTAAAATTAGACTGGAGGAAGAGCCTCTTTTTTCCAGAAAATTTATCAAAATACTTACTTGAATTTGCTATCATAAATAATTCTTCTAATATTTGGTTCAGACCCTTCAATTAACTCCATTTCCTTATCTGAAGGGTCTAATTCTCCATGTTTTAATTCATGTGTTGGTGGAAGATAGAACTCCATTCCTGACTCTAAACGGCTTTCAACATCATAATCAATTGGATTTGAAGAATTTGTTGAAATCTTAAATTTTTTTTAACTTTAAAAATATTTTTATAATAAACCTAACCAAATTATTTATTTTATTTTCTTGTAATTTTGAAAGTTTTGAATCAAATCTTTTTCTAATTATTTCAACTTCTTTAGGTGGGTCTCTATTATTAACAATTTGTTTAATTAAATTAATTGTTCCAAGACTTTCCATAATATTTTTATTTACCTTTAAATTTAATTAAAAATCCTTTCCCCCAAAAAAACCTCAAAACTTGAAGAAAATCGATTAACAACAGCAGCAAATTTATTAGGCGTTAACAAACCTAAACGGATTGATGGCCATTTATTTGTAAATAAAGGTCCATAATAAAAATCAAAATTGTCTAGAGCAAGCATTGATGGAGTTCTTAAAGGTTTTGTTTTTAAAATTTTTGGTTTAAAACGAGGAGCGCCATAATTAGCTTTTTGTTGGAAATGTTGTAAATAAATTTGTAAATAATGTTTTGAATATTTTTTAGGTAAAGAAACAAGATTGATTGACATTTTTTAAATCAAGATCTGAAAAAATATTAAGAATTATTTGGGCGCTCCGACTTGGGCACAGTGATCCATTTGCACAGTAAGACAATTGCACAAAGAACAATTGCACAGTGGACAATTGCACGGTAATTTGTGGTTAAGTGGATTTGTGTTAGGTTTTACCACTGCAGACTAGCAAGGGCCCCAGCGGAGTTGAAATTTTGGTTAAGTGTTAACTACAAAATCGTTTAAAATTGGGTAGCGGGTTCGAAACTTTTCATGGTTAATTAATATTTTCTTATTAAATAAATAAAATAAAACATCAAAAAAGCATTCTAAATAATATTTTAAGGGCAATTTTTTTAACTTTTTAAAATAAAAAAACAGGTAAAATTTTAAAAAATCGGATGTAATTTTTTAATGTGGTTTTTTCATATTTGGATTGATTTGGACAAATGAGATGTCACTCGAAAGAGCTCTGAAAAACTACTATTTAAATTTAAATACAGTCAAAGCTCATATAAAGCTAATTGACCCCCATTTCATTAAAATAATCTCCTTAACACCGCTCATTTTTGACGGCCTGTTATATCAAAAATATACTTTGTTGAAGAGTGCTACCACACACCCCTGTAGTCCTGAGTAGTGTTAGGCAAATGGATTTTTCCGGTACCGGTACCGGTAGTACCGGAAAGTACCGGTACCGGACGAGTACCGAAAATCACAAAATCTGACCGGTACGGTTCCGGTACCGGTAGTACCGAAAAGTACCGGTACCGGTCAGTACCGGAAAAAAATTTCCGGTACTACCGCGGTACTCCGGTACTAACAAAAAATGAGATAATATCCAAAAATATCTATGTTTAAGCAATGTTTTCACTGAATTTAATCAATAAAAATTTTAGAATTAAATTTTTAAAGATGAGTATGTCCTTAAACATTAATATAGCAGGGGATTTGATGAATATAGTTGGATTAGGGGATATAATTGCATTTGAAGGATATAGTGGGATATAAGTAGAATCGAAGGGGTATCGGGTGAGTTGGATTATATAGAGGATATCGAGTGTTAATGAAGGGTTAATGGGGATATCGGTTGATTTGATGGGATATCCTGATTCAACGGATATCAGATGATTTGGATATAGACAAAAATTTGAATTTTTGGAAGCCTTGTAAGTAGAGTTGTACCTAACTCTATTGGCGGGGTTGTCGGATTACGAGGTTTTCGAATTTTTCGTTGCGAGGGTCGGTTCGGGGTAGTAAAATATGTTCGGGATTCGTGTCAGGGTACGGGGGATTAATGGAAAATTTTTTAGACGTTCTAAAAATAAAACGGTTTGGTCTATTTTCGTTAATTTATTCAAAAATTAAGGATGATTTGGAAAGATTAAAAGGATATAAGGGCATTTGGATGGATTATGTGGGATTTGATGGGAATAAATAGTATATCGGGGACATAAGGGGAAGAATAATTAGTCTTATTCCATCTTTTTTCAGCGCCGCAGGCGAAAATTTTGAGAATTATGGAAGGCCAAGGGAAAAAATCTTCAATTTTTCTATAAATTTCCCAGTACCGAAAAACCGGTAGTACCGCGGTACTGGAAAGCTGACCGGTACGGTACCGGTACCGGTAGTACCGGAAAGTACCGGTACCGGTCAGTACCGAAAATCCAAAAATCTTACCGGTACGGTACCGGTACCGGTAGTACCGAAAAGTACCGGTCCGGTACTGACGGTAGTACCGCGGTAGTACCGAACCGTGCCTAACACTAGTCCTGAGTCTGCTCTATCAGATAACACCTTTTCACTTTTTTAAAAAATTTCTTACGGGACAGCCAATTCACTGATGAAGACGCAAGATCGTTGGGGTCAGATTTTTTAAAAGGGGTTGTTTAAAAATGTTGTTAAGACTTGGGGCAATTATTATGTTCAGTTAGATTTTTTATTCATTTGATTATTTTTGTGATTTATAGATTTTTCTTAGAAATCTTATTTTTGGAAAGAACGAACTTTTTATGACTCAACCTAGTACTTATGTTAAAAAAAAAAGAAAGAAAGAATTTTGAATTCTAATAAAATTTAAGATTTTTTAGTAAAGGTTATTATAAAATATTAATAAAATTTTTTCCAATACATATGTATAACATTAGTAAAATCTAACACAAATGCACTTAACCACGAATTACTGTGCAAATTACAGTGCTCATATAAAAGCAAGAGATGAATGAATACATCTAAACTTCAATTTGTCATTAGCGCCTAAAACGACATCATTGGCACAACAATCTCACATGGCTGGCGAGCTGCATTCTCACATGGCTGGAGTATCCTTGTTGGATAAGCAATATACCTGCGAACGTCAACTGGTTCCTTCGCCCCTAAGGATGATAAGCGGTGGTCCTGCCCAGGCTTCAGAAACTCGTCAATGCGAAGTTGAATTGTTCGTCATTCGGGTTCAACATGAGTTCACCAAAGTAAGTTTACTTTACTTTTTAAAACTAAATAATTCTATTGAAATAATTTTTATACAGAAAGCTGTTTTGCCTCCATTGGGTGTGTGGAAACGTGTCTTGGATCATGGCTCATTCCGGTTTGCCTCGTTGGATGTGACCATCAAGCGTCGTGGGCTGTTCGGAATTGAACGTGCGGTGTCCTATGGCATACATACATGTGTTCTGAGCAAGCAAGGTCATCTGGTCATCTATACGGACAATTGGAAGCACGAGGGCTTCACCGTTAATCTGAGCAAGGCTGCAAGAGCGGAATTCAAATGCAAAACTCAGAAGGTAAAAATTTGGAAAGTAAATACAATTAAAAGTTGTAATATTTCCTTTTAATTAGCAGATGTTTCTATCAACAACAACGCAAAGAATCTGCAATGTTCGTGTGAAATGGAACTTTGGCTCGATAAAAATCCGTCTTCCAGAGTCCCTGGTCTTAGATTGGGGACGCGCGATACTTGAAGCTGTACGTGGTAAAGCTGAGGCTTCTTACAAATCTCATCATTGTTCATCGACTGTTCATTATCGACCCACTACTCCAATTCTCTTCGAAAGCGGCACTCAGACAGATTCTGTGTTTGAGGAGCAGGCAAGCATTCCTTTTTGTGCATGTTTAATGAATTATATTTCAGACTGTCACCTTCGATGGAAATGTTGGCGATATCGCTCCAGTTCCTTCTGTGCGTGCACCTAAGTCCGACGATGGAATATTCCAACTTCTTGATCCTGATGATTCATCTGGTGAGTTGATTTGTATTGCTAAATAATGTTTAATGATTCTATTTTTTAAGCATTTCGTTCGGATGATGAATCTCTCCATCTGGGCCAAAATTTTGGGAGCAATGATCAGAGCATAAACACCGCTAAAGAACAAGAGATGCAACCACATTCCGTTGAAAAGAAGGAAGATGTCGATCATGATGAGAATGAGGAGAAAATCGCTTTTCCTCTTGAAAAGGCGCTGTTGTTGAACTTCCCTTCAGAGAACAAAGAGCAACAACAAGAAGACTACATTCCTGAAAGTGCCGTTATAAGCTCAGGTTCATTGCGACGACGTGTCACCTTCTCAGACCTGAACACTATCTTCGAGGCACCAGAGAATGAAGATCCAGTGGAAGAAGATGAAGCTCCTGAATTGAAGCAAGACGATGTCATTCCTAAAATTGGTTGCAACAACCGGAATGATGTGAAGGACACAGAGGGAATTGAGGAACGCAGAAAGGTGATAATTAGTTAGGAAAAAATTATCTATATGTAATTTTTCTATAGGAACACATTGTTCAATTGGCGCTTGATCAAATGCGCATTGTTGGTCAACACGGAGTGAAGGAAACAACAACAGCTGAGGAGGTTTCCATCAAGGATGAGAGCGGCAAAAATGCTAATGAGGATATACAGCAGGAAACTGGGGCACTGCAACCTTGTGAGCAAATGACTAAGACCAACGATGGTGACAATTTCGTCTCGACGCAGCAACTGGCTCTCAAAATGCAATTTCCTTCACAATCTGAGCGCTTCGATCGAACTCGTTGTCTCTTCGAGCACGGTACTGGAGGTGTCAACACCGATGAGGAAGATGATAAAGAAACGAACAAACAATAGGAAGAGAAATAAAAATTCTCATAATCTTCTATAAATAACGTTATTGTATTCCCCCAATGTTCTTTCACCTGACTTAATTTATCTGCATTTGTAAAATAATCTAATTCTTCTATGCATTTTTCTCTTAAAAGTTCATTTGTTTCTAATATTCACAAATAGATTTCTGTTGATTATATTCAAATGTGTAGCATGTAAATAAAATATAAAATTGAGAGATTTGTGTATATTTTTGATCCCCTACATGTCATTTTTGTACGTTATAAATGACCGTATTTCGATGGCCGAGCTTCACTGCGGTCATGCTTGCTTCGTTCGCGGCGACCGTAGACTCAGCTCGAAGAGCTCTTTCGATGAGCTAACATTTGCATAATCGAATTTTTCACCCCAAAATAATTGAGCTTACTTCCCCCTATGGTTTTCGATCTCAGAGGCTCGGCGAGAAAAATCGAATGGTATATACCGTAAATATCCTAATAGAAGCCCAAGCTCTATTATAAGCCCACCCGATGGGGGGGGGTATTGAAAAATACAAGCCCATGCCCTAATAGAAGCCCATGCCCTATTATAAGCCCATCTGTTTTCTGAATGCCTATTTTTCTATTACTTTTGTTATAGTCGATTAAAAGTATTGATAACGAAATTCCAATGGCAGAAAATGAATATAGAGGGATATGGATGGAATCAGGGGTGAGCGCAAGAGACAATCTCAAAAAACGCAAAACGCAACGCAAGGCCAAAATTTAACGCAAATAACGCAAAACGCAACAACGCAAAATTGGGGAAAAAATTTTTTAAATTAAGTATCAGACATTTTTCATTTAAAAATTGGTGTATTACTATAAATCAGCGAGTCCTAATTGATTTAGTGATACATGTAAGTTGGATGGGTAATGTTTTGGAGAGAGATAAAGGATTTAGAGGGATTATGAAGGATATCAGAGAATTTAGAAGGATCAAGGGGTTTAACGAAGTGGTGGGGGATTACGGAGATTATCATGTAATTTGGAGCGATCAAGGAAATTTAAAAAGATACCATTGGCTTACTGAAGGATGTCGGGTGAGTTAGGGAGATAACGGAGGACAAAAGACTATCAGTATTTGTAAATTGATTCCGGGGATATCAGGTGATTTGGAGGATAACTTGAGATCTGAGCTCCAGATACTGAACCGATATTTTCTGAGCCGTTCCATGATGAAAAACTGGTATTTAAATACCCTACTTTTAGCGCCGCAGGCAAAAATTTTAAGAAATTTGGAAAGCCAGAAGCTAGATTTCTTTTAATTTTTGACCTCATATTAAAAAGATAAAAGGGATTTGAGCATATAGTAGGTATCAGGGGTTGAAGAGATATAGCAGGATATCCCTACAAACTCCCGATATCTTTTTAAATCAACCATAATCACAGTAAATCGACCGATAGCCTTTTATCCTCTCAGTTCCGCCGATATTTCCCACTTAGCCACTTTATCCCTCTTCCATTTTCAGCGCCGCAGGCGAAAATTTTAGAATTTTGGAAGGCTAAGTAGCCAGATTTCTTCCTTTTTCTGCGCCGCAGGCGAAATTTTGAGAAATTTGGAAAGATAAGAAGCCAGATTTCTTCAATTTTGTCCTCAGATTGGGTATATTTTTTGCGTTAATTTCATCGAAAATAACGCAAAACGCAAAAAATGGCCAAAATTTAACGTAAATAACGCAAAACGCAATGCGCTCACCCCTGGATGGAATATTAGGAGTTTTAGATAGATTAAGTAAAATTTAGTATGATTCATTGTGAGGAATAAGGAGGTGTTGAGAGGATTAAGAGGAATTTAGAAACTTAAGATATCTAAGGAATTGGAGTTAAGAGAATAATGGATGAATGAGAGTTGGATACTTTTGGTATCAAGGAATTAAAAGAATATAGAGGGATTTAAAACGAGTAGCGCCATAATTAGCTTTTTGTTGGAAATGTTGTAAATAAATTTGTAAATAATGTTTTGAATATTTTTTAGGTAAAGAAACAAGATTGATTGACATTAACATTTTTTAAATCAAGATCTGAAAAAATAAATAATATTAAAAATTATTTGTTTAAAAAATTAAAAATTAATTTTAAAAATGACATAATATCCCAAATAGTATTAAAATGCCAAAAAAAACTTCGGCTGTCACAAATTTTATTATTCCATTTGTAATTAATTTTTATTTTCTTCTTATCACTCCACAATTATTTATAATTTACTATTTCTCTCATTCATTTTATTTAGTAGAAATATTTTAATGAATAAAATTCAATATAATAATTCACTTTTAAATAAATTAAATTTTATAAATTCGACGGACGGTCCATTCTTTTGTATTGAAGTTTCTCCTCCAAAAGAAATTAATGAAATTAAAAATTTTATTTCTTCAATAAATAAATTAATTAATAACACAACAACAACAAATTCTTTTTTATTTTTAAGTATTGTTGCCCATGCCGAAAATAATCCAAGTAAAAAAAAAGAAAAATAATTTTTAAATCCAAAATAATTTTAGCTAACTTTTCATTACCTAATTCATCAACTTCAATTGCCTCAAAAATATTAAATGAAGATATTCTTCCAAAAAATTCCCATTTAATTCTTCACATTACTGGAAAAAGTTTTATTAATTTCCCCCACTCATTTGTCGATTTTTATTTTACAAAACTTAAACAATTGGGAATTAATAATTATTTTGTATTAAGTGGAGATTTACCAAAAAGAGAAAATTATAATTATTTAAATTATAATTTAGAGGTTGTCTAAATATAAAATAAATATTTATTTAATTTAAAAAAAAGATTTCACCAAAATCTCCCCAATTAGATTCCCTTCATTTAATTAAAAGAATTAAATCAAATAAATATTCCAACAATAATAATAATTTATTAACATTTGCTGTTGCTGGATATCCAGAATGTCATCCTTTTGCTTATAACAGAAATTCTGATATTTTATTTTTAAAAAGAAAAATTTTTGAAGGAAATGCTAATTTTGTTATTTGCCAATTTTCATTTGATAGGGGAGCAGAAAAATTTTTTCAATTTGTTGCAGATTGTAGACAGGCGGGAATTAATGTTCATTTTATACCGGGAATTTTACTTTTTCAGGTACAATGTCACTTTTCGGGTAAAAAAAGAGTGAAGGTTCCATAATTTATCAGATTTTCCTTTAGTGTAACATCAATAAAATAATTATATGTACCTTCTTTAAGTTTTTATAAAAAGGAAAAGACAAAGTTAGAGAGCACAGAGTAGGTTATTCTACTCATGCTAACAATTGACGTTTAGGTATAAGTCAGTTTATCCCGTTTGAGTCTTGAACTCTACAAGGGAATAATTGTTCCTGAACATCCTTTCTTTGGCTAGATAATCGTTTTAAGGGAAATTACAAATCGAAGTGGTCTACCTACATAATTATTAAATAAAAATTCCATTTAATTTATTTTTTAGAGTTTTTCTTCTCTTCTCAAATTTTCTTCTCTTACAAAAATTAAAATTCCACAAGAAATGTTTAATCTTTTATCATCACATCGTTATAATGATAATTTAATTAAATATTATTCACTTTGGCTTGCTTATAATATTTGTCAAAAATTATTAACTAAATCTTTATTAAACAATATTAGAGCCATACACTTATTTAATTCAAATCAATGGGAAATGACTCGGTATTTATAATTAGAAAAAAATATTTTTTTTAATTTTTTAGTTCTTTACTTGTCAAACTTGGATTTTTATTAAAAATAAATACAAAAGGATATCAACTCTTTCATTCTTCTTTCTTCTTTTTTCAAAATTCCATACAAAAATCCAAAGCAATTTGTCTACCAATATCAGCATTTTGCTGTAAAGAAATTGTTGTTGTTGGTAAAGGAGTTGAAGTTGATGAGGAAGATGGGGGTGGAGGTGTATTAATTGCTGAATCTGCTGCTGGGAGAGATTGAGCTTCTTGAATATTATTGCCAAAAGCAGCATTTTTGTTTTCCTTTTTTTTAAATTAAAATAAATTTATTTAAAATTAATATTTATAGAAATTGTGTTTATATCCCTTCTTTACAGTATATTTGTAATTTTTAAAAGAAAAGGAGAAAAAGGGATAGAAAAATATAGGGGAGATAAAGCATATTGTAGTAACAAATTTAAAAATAATTTTTAACCATTTTCGATGCTTGTTGTTGTGCTAGCATTTGTCTTGCAAATTCATCGAGTTGTGCTTTCTCTTTTTCATTTAATTCTCGAGCAAATTTACCGGCAATATAAACTTTATTATTTTGTACAGTACAACCAGCAAGGATATAACTATTTTTAAATTTAATTTTATAAAGTAAAAATATTTTTATAAAGCATTAAAAAATATTTTTTTAAATTAAAATTAAAAATAACAGTGTTGTTTGATTTGAAGTACAGAATGATGGCAAAGCAGGCCTTGGAGGGATTATTGGTATAGCTGTATTGTTTCGTTGTACAGCTTGTTCAAGACGGGCATATGCCTCGTCAACTTGTTGTTTCCATTCAAGCAATTTATTTTTATATATTTCCATTTCAGACAATTCTTTTCCATTAAGTTCTCGAATAAAATTCTGAATTTTAAATTTGAATTTATTTTCCCTATAATATTTTTAATTTTTGAAATTAGAAACAAATCTCCAAAATAATTTTAAAAATTGAAAAAAAGTCCCTTACTCCATGTGAATATAATTTATTTCCTGTAGCGACACAACCAGATCCGGTCATTGGCGGAGAATAAAATTGAGCGTTAACAAAGGCAGAAAATACAAAAATTAACAAGAAAATAATGAAAGACATTGTTTTTTTAAAGTTAAATTAATTAATTTTAGACTAAAATTAAAAAAATTAAATTGAGGAAATATTTATTTGAAAGAATAATTTATTAAAAATGAAGAAACAAATTAAAAAAGAATATTATATTTACATTATCTACTTCACTCACTGTTCCTTACAGCCATAACAATAACAACAGATTTTTTTCCTTTACAAAATAAACATTAAAGAAAATCGGCGTTTTGTGCAATTAAGAAGAAGAAAAACAAAGGAAATTGAAGGATTTGTGTTAAAATAAAAGAAAAGAAATATTTAGAAGAGGAAAATTTTGTGGAAAAGCTTTTTTAATGGGGAAGAAAATAAAAATCCGGATTTAAAAATGTGACGATTTTTGCTTTGAATAAACAAAGATGGGGAAGATTAACTTAAAAATTAAGAACTTTAATGGGTTGTGGGATAGTAAAATGCTTTGACATCTTTTAAGGTCCCAACTAAAATTAATCATAATTTTTAATTAACAAAAAGAACCCAGTAAAAGAATAACACAATTCCTACAACCACCTAAAGAATTATTGGAATAAAATAAATTTATAAAAAAAATTTTCAAATTTCCAAGCAGAATAAATGAAAAATAAAAAATCTTTTTAATATATATAATATTTATTTTAATTTAATTCCTTTAAGTACTTGACTTGAGTGTAATCGCCAGCTGACTAAAAATAACTGGACAAATAATTTTAATAGTCTCAATCATGTAAAAAATACTCTTGGGAAATATTTATATTCTAAAAATAAATATAAAGGTTGAAAATAAATAACAAACAAAAAATTCTCTTTAAATGTCCAAGTAAATATATAAATTAGTCAGAGAAATTTTTGTTATTTTAAAAATTTTGAGTCACTCTATATGGAATTTAAAATGTTAAAAAAGGACAAATAAGTTGAGAAATAAATATTAAATATTAATAAATTAAATGTTTTTTGTCAAAACTTATTAGAAAGGATATGTTTTTCAATTCCTTAAAATAAGTTGGAATTGTATAAATATAAATTTAAAAATCCATTTAAATAAATTATTCTAAATATTTATTGCATAAAAATCTTGAAAAAATATTTTTGAATAAATTTTTGAAAAGAGATTGGTCAAATATTTGATATTCCAATGCCAAATATTTGTTTGGCCCAATCTTTTGTTTTGAGCTCCACAACTTTTTTACATAGTCTTTTTAATAACCTGTTAAATTTTTATTTCATGAATAAATTTTTTATTGTATAATTAAATACGTAATTTACATTTTTAAATAAAAATAATTAATAAGTACAGTACAGGCCTCAAAATGAAAATATTTCGAAGGTCTCAACTAATATTTTTCTCATAAAATTCCACTCACTTTTTGAAAGCATGTACAAAAATTCGTACTTGTATGTGAGTGTGAGTTTCCTTTTTGAAATAGATTCCTGTGCCCAATCCATACACAAAACTTTGCTAGCATGTCCACGGAGTACAAGCATTACAAGTACAAACATTGAGATTTGATTAATTTCCTTTCGTCCTTTCTGTTCTTATTGTTTTTTAAATATTTTTTTGGATATTTTGAATATTTTGTCTATTTGTTAAAATCCCTTAAACTAATTCAGAAATTAAATAAACAAAGAATTAATTTATTTAATTTCTCATATTTCAAAAATTAAACAAAAAGCACTTAAAAAATATTTGGTGTCAATTTTTTGTATTACTTAATTTTTTAAATAATTCTTGATTGCCAACTAAGATTATTTCAAAAATGTTTTTATTTTCTAATTTTTTAAAATTTATATTAAATTTATTTCAATTTTCCTTTTTATTTTACTCTGTAAGTATTTTAATAAATTAATTATTTTAATAATACTTTATTAGGTAATTACAATTAAAGAAGAAAATGAAAATTTAATTAATAAAGGTGATTTATCACAATTTGATTCTTCAGGTTGTGGTCTAACAAAAGGGTAATTAGTACAAATTATTTGTTGAATATTTAAAATAATTAAAAAGTTGTTTATTTAAACCACCAAATTGTAATCCATATAACGACTGTTCTTATGTTCTAAGTTATATATCTGATGATGAACGTGTTTATTTTGAATTATTAGCTCAGGTTGCTGGGGAATCTAATGTTTGGGCGGCTGTTGGATTTTCTGTGGATGGACTTATGGTTAAAATAATTTGTTTTTAAATAAATATTAAATAAAGGGGGGAGATACAGTAACAGATTGTTCTTCATTAGAAGGAAGAGATTATAAAGCTAGACTCTCTTACAATCCAGGTAAAAGATAAACAAAATTTAAATTATACTCAAAAGCCTTCTGTTTAATTAAAATTATCTTCAATAGAGAAAAAAATTAGTAAGAAATAGATTTAGGTTATACTCAGATAAAAATAATAAAGTTTTTAAACAAAATTATTAAAAAGGTAAAAGTAATCGAAAAGCGCCATTAGCTTATGGACTTGAATCTAAAATTCTCCACACCCATCATGCTAAAGTAGCCGATGGTATTATTTATTGTCGTTTCTCCCAATTAATTCAGCCGCCTGAATCTGTTCAGCCACAATTTGTACGTCCATTAAATGCCCCAATATTTATATTATTAGCATCCGGAGTTACTAGAGGAAAAGGTAATTTAAATAATTAAAATTAAATATTTTTCCCTCTTTTTTAGATTTAACAATTCATTCATTAAATTCTGATTCTTCTCTTTTTCCCTTTTCTTCTCCCCACCCAATACAATTAACAAAATTTAATTTGAGCCCTGAAGAATTAGCTAATGGAGATTGGGAAATAAATAATAATAATAATAATTTTATTAATTCTTCATTAAATTTGTCAAAAGAACTTTCAATTCCTTTTAATGAAAATAATTCATCTTCGCCTGTTATTGAACAGACAACAATAAATAATTGTATTTATTCTTAATTATTTTAATAAAAATATTTTTAAGTAAAAATTAATTCATCAACAACAGCTAGCTCAGAAAATATACTAAATAATATTAATGAAGAAAAATCTCCAACAAAAATTTTAGAAAACGAAAATCAAATAAATAATTTAAATAATGAAAATATTTCTTTAAATTCGAATCCAAAAAATGATTGTTCTGATTCTGGAATTACTTTTGGAACGACTACAAATAAACCAGAAATTGGTTCCGATGCTTTTTTAACTTCGAATAATTCTGAATTTCGTTTAATTAAGACACACGGTGATTGAAATAAATTTTTAAAAAACATTTTTTATTTATACGTCCAATTTATTAGCATTTTTCTATTGTAATAAATATATTCTTGTATTAAATTGTAAGTAATAGAGAGGTAAAGGTTTACCCGCGAGCAGGGTTAACCACGTGCAGGAGCCCTCTTTTAATAGATCTTAAACCCCACCTAATAAGCGTTTTAAATGCTAGGGATCTCTCTTCTTCCTTAAACTTAATTTTGCCACAATTTGAGGAATAAGATTTAAATTATTTCTTAATAATTTTTATTTAGAACCATAACCAATAAAATTGTTTTAACAATGTTAGGAAAATAAATAATTCAAAACCCCTCCCGAAAATATTATAAATTTTTAAATTAATCTCTTCCAATTTTTTCTAATTATCAAAGTCCTAATTATTTTTTAATATTCTTTTTCTTCAATATCCTAATTAGCTAAATTAATTAATTGGACGTATAAAACTTTTATTTTTAAAAAAATAATATTTTGTTCATTTTTATCTTAAAGGTATATTAATGGTTTTTGCTTGGTTATTCCTCATACCCGGAGCAATTTTATCAGCTCGTTTTCTTCATCATAGAAATCAACGAGAACCATTAGAATTATTTGGAATACAACTTTGGTTTCAAGTTAATTTAAGAGAAAATTTCTAAATATTTTTTCAATTTAGATTCATCGTTTAGCCAATTCTTTAGCTTTCCTTTTTGTAATTATTTCATTTCTATGTATTTATTCTGCATTGGACGGTTTTTGGATTGGTCCACGATTCTCAAATCGTTCAGAACAAAATTTTTCTACACAATCTTTACACGCTTTATTTGGTATTTTAAGTATTTTTATTTGTTTATTTCAACCAATATGTGCAATATTTCGTTGTTCACCAGAATCTCCAAAACGTTTTATATTTAATTGGATACATTCAATTCTTGGTTATATTGCTTGGATTTGTTCTGGTAAAATCTTATTTTTTTCAAAATATATTAATTAAAAGCAATTGCTATTTCATTGGCATGTCTTAAATTTGAACAATTTTTCATTGACTCATTTTTGGCTAGGGATGTTTTAATTGCTTCTTTAGTTCTGACATTTATTTCATTTTTTTCTCTTCAATGGTTTTCATTAAAAAGAAGAGAAAGATTTGAATTATTTGAAGAAGAAAATGAAAGACGAAGAAATACTTCTTCTTTATGGCAAATTAATTTACCTAAAGAATATAATATTCGAAATATTAATCAATCTACTAATAATCAACATTTAAGACCTCCACCACAATTAATGGCTATGGCACCAAGTGAATGTAGCGATGTTGGGGGGCATAGGGAGGTAAAATTTAAAGAAATGAAAATAAATTGAAATTTTTTAATTGAAAGAGTTTAATGATCCAACAGGCAATAATTGGCTTATTCTTTGTCGCCTCTGCTGTGTTAAGTATGTGTTTGGCTATAACATTGATGTTGGCTTAATTGAGAATATTTCTTAAATAAATTTTTATTTATCTGTATATAAAAAATTCAAAACATTATTTAGAAATACCAATTTTGTATATTTAATAAAGCTTATTCTATAATGTAAATATACGATTCGTAATGAAACCTCCCCCAAAATACGCAATTATATTCAACCAGTTTAAATTAGAATAACTTCTTTCAGTTAAAAAAAAAGTAATATAAAAAACAATCAGAATCTTTTACTAATTTAAAATTCTTAATATAAAAGGCTGTTAAATAAGTTTAATTAATTTCATAATAAGCTTGTTAACGTATCCTGCGCCCTTGTGTTTGTCAACATAATATAGGTAAATTAACTATTTTTTAAAATATTTATAAATATTTTTTATCTAATTTCAGAGGAGATAAATGAAAGACGACGATTTGATTGGTTTAATTATTTGGTGTATTTTACTTGTCTTCATTGCTGTTTGTTTCCTCTGCGTCGTTTTCAATAGTTCGAAAAAGCGAAAGGGTGCGGTTATCCGTGAGGGAGCACCAAAACAAATTACGCCGCCAAGATCGAGACAGCCTGCTGTAATAAATAATTTCAATAGTTTCTTTTAAAAAAATCTTTTATTTTAGCTTTTGCCTTCCGCTCCACCACAACTTCAACGACAACCAGTTACTCCTCCACCAATGTACAATCCTGGCCTTGCTCGTACACAAAGTTCACCATCGTCAATAACACCGCCGATCGTGTTAGTGATTAGATTATTTGAATTACCATCAAAATATAAAAAATTTTTTTACAAATTTCAGCTTTGTGCCAGTACATCCAGCACCGGCTGCTTTACTTCCTCCTCCACTACCTAATAATGTGCCACCTCCTAAAGAACCTTCAATTCGTAAGCCTTCTCCTGTGCAAGCACCACCTCAAGTAAAATCTAAAGCTGTAAAGACGGCAATAATCGCTCAAGAAAAGGTGAAAAATAATTATAATTAAAAGACTCTCATTTTATTTAGGATTCTCCAACTACACCACCAAGTTCTACACCAATTGTACCACCAGATTCTATAGTTATTCATCCGCTTCCACCTTTGGGCGGAAAGGGTCGTCTCAATAAAAAAAAGAAAAAGAAGAAGAGGGACACAACAAGTTCCAGTAGTAGCTCCGATTCTACTTTTGAGACCGAAACAGAAGGAACACAAGATGATGATGGTGGAATCCTCTTAACAGGTCCAATGAAGAAGGGAAAGAAACGCCGTAAGAAGCACAAACGCAAGAAGCGCCACTCAAAAAAGAGGAAGAGATAAAAGAGTTGAAGCAATGAAGGGCAATGTTGATATGAATATAAGATGATAGGAAACGATATTTGTAGTAATTGGAATAATGTTAATGTAGTATATATATTGTTAATTATTGTTAATTGTAATTGTAAAGTAATTTGTCTTTAAATATTTTTAAACTCAAATAATTTAAATAAAAATCAGAAAAAAACAAAAATTTATTATTTCACACGCACTCGGGAACTATAAAAATAGCGTGATGAGGTAGGAAAAAACTGGACGGATTAAAAAAAAAGAATCAAACCTAAAATTTTAAATTTGGTAAAACAAATAAAAATACAGGGTGCGGCAACTTTTGCGCCCCTTTTGTTTTTGCCATAACTTTCTTTAGAATCAATGAAAATTCATAATTCTTTTTTTATTTTATTCCCAACACTAAGAAACTTTTTGATAGCAAATAATAGAGATTTGTATACAGACAAAAAGGATATGCCCGAAATAGTCTATAAATCGCATCAAGAAATATTTTTTCATGACAAAGTTTACTTTGCCATAACTTCGCTCAAAGTCGTCCAATCTTACTAATTTTGGTACCAATCGACTCATCTCATTGAGGAGCATCGAAATAGTTCAGAAAAACAATTTTGAAAATTTTACTTAAAAATTGAAATTTAGCACCTATATCCTTTAAAAATCCATATCTCAGCTCATCGAGCAGATAAAAGTTTTGTTTAACCAGTATTCGAATCAGTATGAGGAGCTTATTCGAATGACATAAAGTTTTCAAATATCAAAATCTTAACATTGAGCCCAGGCTAACTTAAATCAAAAAATTCTACTCAAACTTTGAAAGAAAATTAAGCAGGCTAATATATAAAATTTAAAACCAATTTTAGTATCAAAAATTTTCTTAGAGTGTTGGGAATAAAATAAAAAAAGAATAATGAATTTTCATTAATCCTAAAGAAAGTTATGGCAAAAACAAAAGGGGCGCAAAAGTTGCCGCACCCTGTATTTAAAAAATAAACTGGGAAGAAAATAAACACAAATTTATCTAAATATTTTTAATATTTTAACTCGTAAAGTGTGTGGAGTAGAGATAATTTAAAGAAAAGTTAAAGTAAATTAAGTAAATGATAAAATGATAAGTAAAAAATATATTCTCGACTAAAATAAATAAGTATATATATGTAGTTAATATACCCGTAATTAATTCAAAAAAATAAGTAATAAAATAGAAATGTGAAATAAAATAAATTCTCTAATAGAAAATTTGGGGAGGGGATTATATTTAAAAATATTCAGAATTATATTTTAAGGTTCTTGGAAATGTGTTAAATTAATCGAATATAATTCTGATGGAGACAAATTTATTTTTATCAATTTAACTAAAAACTTTACCAAACAGTAAATATATATCTAGTATTTAATTAATAATAATTTTAAACATTCTGGAAATGAATCAGATGGATTTAAATTAGAGAATTTAAATAAATATGTAAAAGAGATTAATTTTGATAGAAAAAGATAAGAAAATAAATAGAAAATACTTAACTCTATTCTCTTTAAATAATATTTAAAAATATTTAGATAAATTTGTGTTTAAACAAAATTTAATTGAAAGAAAATTTAAATTGAAAACAAAATTTTTTTCTAATTATTTAAAATTATGCAGTAATCAATCAAAAATTTTAAATAGCCAACGCTTGTTGTGCTATATTTACTCCTGAAGGAGAAAGTTGCCCAACCGAAGAGGCAGTAATTAATGTTGTTGATGGAATTATTGTATTACTACTTTCCAATCGTTCATCCTAAATTTAGAAAATTTATCTTTAATTAAAAATATTTTTTACCTTAATTAAAAGAGAAAATTCACTATGAGAAGTTAATGGGGATATACTAATTTCATTTTCACATAAATTATTTGAAGAAGAATTTAATTTATTTTCTTTTTTTATTTTTTCTTCATTTTTGTCTTTACGATTTCTTAAACAAATTAAAGGAATTTCTTCATTTTCAATAAAATTTTTGGATGAAGACGTTGGTTTTTGTTGTAATATTTGGTGGTGATCTTCTTCTGGAATACTTGGCAAAGGTTCATTATTGCTAGACATTCCATTTTCTGTTAAACGTTTAGTTGAAGTTTTGTTGTCATTTTTTGGAGAAATATTAGTATTTTCTTTAAAAAAAGATTAAAATTATTTTTTAATTAAATATTTTCAAAATAATCACCATCATTATCATCATTATTATTTGTTGATTCATCAACTTCTGAAGTACCACCACAATTTCTATCATCACATTCACTACTTTCATCACGTTCTGTTTGTTGTTCTTCTGTTTCTTCTTCTTCCTCCTCATTTTGATGTTGAACTAATTCAGTAATCGAAATACTATATTTATCAGTTCCAAGAAAAATAGAGCCAAAACCCCGACATTGATAAGGACGAGAATCATCTTTAAGAATTGTTACAGCATCCTTTAAAAATAGTCTTTCTTTAGTATCCAAACAATTAAAGCAAAATTACTTGTAAAGTATCAGGCAAAGGTTGATCTCTAGTTTCTGGTAAAAGCATTACTAATGTTCCGGCAAATAAAGAAAATGTTGCAAATATAATCATAGGCACAAAAGCAAGTGTAACGTCCGAAAGAATTGCAATATAAGAGGAAACGCCAGAACCAAAACGGGCAATCTATTTTGTAATGAAAGAAAAAAAATATTTTTAATTATTTTTTATATTAAAATCGAATCCCTAAAACAAAATTAAAAAAAATAATGGGCCAGATATCTAACAAAAACAAGTTTAAAAAATAAAAAAATTTAGAGGTATTCGGCCTATTATAATTTAATTAAGAAAAAAAGAATAGCTAACCATAGAGCAGAAACCGACTGCACTAAAAATTAAAAAAAAACATTTTCGAATTATTAATTTTTAATTAATTTACCTATTTCTAATAACTGTTGGATATAATTCTGATGTAAATATATAAAGAATATTAAAACCGCCTTGAATAAATATCTTTCCACCAAGCATTAATCCTAAAGAGAGCATTGGACTTCCAAAATTCATTGCACACATTGCTAAAATAATAAAGAGAGCAGCCCCAACAAGTGTAAATATTTGTGAACTTTAAAGAATATTTAAATTATTAGAAATTTAATTTTTAAATTTAAGCACCGTTTCCTTCCAAATTTCATTAAATAAACACAAAATATTAATGTTGGCAATTCAATAGCACCAGCAATTGCATTGTTTAAAAAGAAATTGCCAGAAAAGAGAACACGACCGGGGGCAGATTGGTCAGATAGAGCTTTAAATAATTTGAAAAAAAATAAAAAATATATGACAGTCTCTTTAATTAATAATATTCAAAAATATAGAAATTTTGTTTATAGGGAGAAGATATACTTAAGGTAGGCAAAAAAAGAGTAAACAGATTTCCTATCTCCTTATCTGCAATATTATTTTTTATTTAAATAAAACTTTATCAGATAAAAAACTTTAATATTTAATTAACATTTTAATTAAAATCTACCAATAATTAATCCATAATATACAAGGGCAGTAGCAATCCAAACAATACAAATAACCCCAGTTCTCATACAAAGAGCTCTCGATTTAAGTAAATGAAGAATATTTGCACGTTGATCACGACGTACCCATTTACGTTGTTCTGCATGTTTTACCTAAAATTTATAAAAAAAAATTAAAAAATAATAATTTTATTTAACCAATTCTAAATCAGAAGGTAATGAACTTTTATTAAAATCAAAGAGATTGAAAGGAAATGGAGGTTTTCTACAAGCTCGTCGAATGTAATTCTCTGCCTAAAATTTTTGTTTTTATTTTTTAATTTTAAAATATTTATATTTACTTCATCAACTCGATTATTCACAATTAACCAACGAGGACTTTCTGGTAATACACAAATTAAACAAATACTAATTGTGTGAAGTGCTGCAGTAATTAACTAAAAAAAGAAACTTTTAAAAAAAAATTTATTAATTCAGGTAAATGCTCAAATAATTACCCCTCCCAAATAATTTCAACATCGGCGAGAGGTTGAAGCAATACTTTCCTCTAAATGCCCTACTACAGTCCAAATTTCAAAACTCAGATAATTGCCACTTCTCGATTAATTACCCCCTCAAACGAGAGGTTGAAACAATAACCACTCACAAGGGAACATATGTTACTGTCACCACGAATTCGGTATTTTTTTTGGTACCATTCGATAGAGGACCCTCGATTTACTATTGCTGTGTGCGGGTTTTCTTGCAAAATTAGTTTGGGCCGAGTTATGGCCGTTCAAAGTTAGATTGCTAGAGTCTGGAGTTATAGGGCAAGTAAGCAATTTCTCTCTTATTTTTCATACTCAAAAAACGGGCACACCCATCTTCTCTTTATTTACGGTGTCTAACATTTTTTCTCCCTTTTTTCCTTCGCGCCTCCTGCGTTCTTTTTCAACGTTGTAAGTCAATATAAAGAATGCAGAGAGAGTGAAAAAGGACATAGTTCGCTCATTTTCCCTCTTCTTTTTATTTTTCATCCTCAAAAAACCGACACGCCCCCTTCTCTTTGTTTATTGTGTCTGACATTTTTCTCCCTTCATTTTTCTTCGCGCCTCTTGCATTCTTTTTTTCTATTTGTAAGATAATGTTAATAAAGCAGAGAGAGTGAAACAAGTTATAGATTGTTTCTTTTCGCTCTTTTCAATATACTCAACCAATCCCAAGGACTGAAACTTTGACTGGCCATAACTTTTTTTAAAATTTTTTTGCAAGAAAACGGATAGCACTTTGCAATAGTAAATCGGGGGTCCTCTATCGAATGGTACCAAAAAAAATACCGAATTCGTGGTGACAGTAACATATGTTCCCTTGTCAGGATAATTATTTAATCAAATAACTATTTATTAAATACTTGTATATTTTGCCAACTTTTACAAAAATAAGCAATCAAAGCCAGCGTAGCATAGCCAACAGCCCATGGAGCTTGTAAAAGACTACCAACCATTGCACGATATCTAGTCCCAGTAATTTCCATACAAAGAACATAAGCAGCCAAATCGGCAGCTTAAAAATTAATTTTAATAAAAGTGTTATTTATTTTTTAAACCTTCATTACAAACAGCTCCACAAAATCGAATAAATAAAAACATAGGAAAATATGTTGAATAAGGAAGTAAAAGGCCAAATAAAGAAGAAAGAATACCAAAACTTTAAAAAATATTTTTATTAAAAATCTTCAGAAGACAAACCCAATAACTGTTGGTTTCCTCCCAAATCTATCCGAAGCAAAACCTCCTAATAAACAACCAAATAAAAATCCAAAAGAATAAAATAAATGAGCGTGTGCTCTTTTAAAATTATCATCACAAACTAAATTCCATTCTGTTACAATTGTTGAACGTAAAACATCTTGATCATAATACCTTTTAAAAAAATAAAATTAGAAAAATAAATAATTAATTAGTAAATACCATTCCTGACATTTTACTATATCCGGACTTTCACCACTTTCGTTAACAATTTTTTGGGCTTCATCCAAAGGCACTCGTCTGAGTTGGTCATATCTAATTTTTTTTAAAAATTAAATTATGTGAATTAATTATAATTTAAACCTTTCTTCTCCCCTATCATAAAAATGGCATTGTGAATGGAAGTTAAGTGTGTCTCGCTGTTTATTTCTCGTTCTTGGATAAACTACAGATCCCTGTAATGCATCTGATAAATCCCAAAGATAAGGACTTTGTGTTGTTGTTTTTGGAGAGGAGGTAGTTGTAGAGTGGTAAGGCGACTTAGAAGAGAATTGAGTTGACGAAGGATGGGGTGAGGGAAAGGAGGAATTGACACCTGGCACTTTACACCAATGATCTGGCTAAAAATTTAAAAATATTAAAAAAATATTGGCAATAACGGAGTGTAATATCCAACAATTTAATCAACAAAAAAATCTCATAAATTACCTGATACATCATATAAACTACGGATAAATTAAACATGGCATGAGGAATTTGTTGTAAACTAATTAGAAGATAAACCCATATTTGCCACCAAGAACAACCTCCAATTATATTAAGAATACCTAAAAATATTTTTTTTTAATTTTCTTTTTCAATTTCAGAAAACCTTCAAAATCAACAGGATCTGTATAATGTCTTTTCTTCGAGGGTCTATAACGTTTTTGTATTTGTAAATGTGTATCCCGTATTTCTCCAATTGAAAATGATTGTTTGTGTGGTAAATAACTAATTGATGTACTTATGGATGGCTGACTTTCTGATGAAAAAAGGCAGGAAGAGGATTTTGGGGTATTGGCTCTAGAAGCTTTGTCACTACGGGCGCTATTTATATTTGAATTATCTTGGGGTTGCTGTTGACTTGAAATGATAGATGCATCTATTGTATCTGTAGCACAGCTCTATATAAAAATTAAAAGTAAACTATTTTTTAATTATGATAGGAAAATGAAATTAAAATAACAAAGCCTGCTTTAACCCTTTAAAAGTGGAAATTCAATAAAAGTAGTGACATTTACATGAATCCATAACTCCATAATTTTTGCTAAATATTTTATTGTGAATATAGTCAATATAGTTTAAGGATAAAGTTTAAGGTCAATAATATTGGGGAGAATTTATTTTAAGCATTTTTTCATTTTATTTCAGAAAAACCTGAGAAAGAGTTAAATCAGAATATGCCCAATGATAATTAGACATATTTGTTTGTTGTCCAGCAATATCATTTAAATGCGCGCTAGGTAAAGCTGGTTCAGAATAAATTAAAGCAGTTGAAAGGAAATATTGTTGTTGAGGGGAAGGAGAAGAATATTCATTTTCAATATCTGGCGGGGAAGAGACTTCTAAAAAATTATTTTTATTTGAAGAATTTTGTTGATTTCTTTCTCTTTCAATTGTTTCTGTTTGTCTTTGAAGTAAATCTGTATCACTCTTTAAAAAAATAATTTTAATAAAAATTATTTTACTCTTAAGTAAAAACCTGAGAGAAAGAAGCACAACATTCGCCTGCCAAGGAAGTTGGCGTTAAAAGGCATTTTTCTTCATCATCACTAGCTTGTTGATGAAGTTGAGGAGTGCTACTGTTTACTTCTAAAAATTAGAATTCTAATAAAATTAAGGAAAATGAATGTTAATTCTAAATAATTTTAATCAAAAAGATTTTAATAAAAATTTCCATTTTAATATTCTTAAAATTATAAAAATTAAATATAAATTACCCACCCCCTCTACTACCCGCATGTCTTGTTGATAAAGCAGATGAATCAGTATTTGTTGACATTGCCGTTTTTGAGCATTCGGCAATAGCCATTTTTATTTTCTTTTCTCAAAAAATATTTTTATTTATTTTTAATTTCTTCACTTTGTGTGGCCGTTGATTGTAAAGAAATTAAAAGAAGAAAAATTTTTTTAACCAGTCGATGGGCGATGGCAGCAATTTTTTATGGTAACGGCATTGAAGGCAGTGAAAAGGTAAAAGAGGTGCATTTTGCTGCAAAAATAAAAATAAAATTTATTATTGTCTGATTAAAAAAGAATTGTGTGGATTTTAAAAGTTAAGGGGAAAAAATAAAAGAAAAATGAGGAGGACATTAAAAGAGACGAGAAATTAAGGGAAATGATTAGTTAAAGTAAATTAAGAAGAATTTAAAAGAGAAAAGTAATTTAAAAAAAGAAAAATCAGAAAAGAGAAGAATTAAGAGAAGAATTTAAAAATTTGTAAAAAGTGGTAAATAATTGAAGGAATTAATGGAAAAATTATAAAAGATTAAAATGAAGAATGAAAATTTAATGATAAGGAAGAGAATTGAAGAAAAAAAACTAAAGGAATGTGAAGAGAAATTGAAGTGAATGGAAAATGGAAGATAATAATAATTATTTTTAATTAATTAATTAATAATTAAGCTTTAAAAGAACTGTTTAAAAATAAAAATTTAAAAAAAAATAAAAATAATCATGTGCGAATAATGTTAAATTTTAGTAAAAAAAATAAAGTTAGTAGTAAATAAATTAATGTCTAGGCCTTGTTAAGGAAAGCACCAACCGGTCCTAAAACACCTAATTAATTATTGATGACAGCCGATGATTTCAGCGCAAAAAATCATTAAAAATATGATTGGAAGGATTAAAAGGAAAGGACAAAAAAATAAACGGAAGGAAAAGAGGAGGGAGGGATTGATTAAATTATTAAAAAAAAACTTTATTTAAATAAATTAGGTATATACTAGGGTTGTTATAGTACTAATAAATTAAAATTAGCAGCAAATATTAAAAATTATCAAATTCTCAAAAAAATGTTAGTAAATGAGTGGGAAAGTAATGAAAATAAAATGTGTATTATTTCAATGAAATCAGAACAAGTAAATAAAAAAGTAAAAAGAGAGAGGTTGAAAATTTATTTAAGAAAATATATGATTGAGTATATAAATAACCCTTTGCTTATTGGGGGCAAACTACATATAGTTAATATAGTATATTATGTGATGTGTAATGGGAAGACAAATCTTGGATAAAAAAATATTTCAGTTTTGAAAACTTTCAAAACTCTAACTTGATGATACACAACAAAATATAATCAAATTATTACACAAATCTTTTATTTAAAATTTTTTCTTTTTAATTGCTATGTATAATACAAAAATATAACAGTAGACTCCCATTATTAAAGGCCTAAATACCTATGTAATAAAGACGCTTAGTAGTATAAATTATTTTAATAGTTAATTAACTGATTCCCTGATTAGTATACTATGTACCGTATTTGCTCTAATAATCCCCCAGGGGGATTATTGTTTCAACCCATCTCTAGAGTGGGGAATTAATAGAGACTGGGGAATTAAAAGAGACTGGGGGATTACTGTTTCAACCCATCCGTAGGATGGAGAATTGTTTTGACTACTTAAGACATCACAAAAAGATTATTGGCTTTTTACCGCAGCCCAACCTACCGCCGAAATTTCTTTTTGTTGGAAACTTCCCCCGTTGATGAATCAACCTTCACCTTTGTTGGAACGGTAATACTGAAGCATACAGACCCTATTTCTTTCTCCCCAATTTTCCCCCCATATTTTTACAAAATGGTCAGACTTTTTCCTTTCTTCCATCATTTGCCTTTCTAATTTTTGCCTACAATCAAACAAAAAGGATTATTTTTTATATTTTTTCCCGTTTTTCCTTTCTTTTCTTTCTTCATTTTGTAAAAATATGGGGGAAAATTGGGGAGAAAAAAATAGGGTCTGTATGCTTCAGTATTACCGTTGGAACTTCCGATTTGAAGTTTTTTTCGTCCTATTTCCAAGTTCCAAAATTTATATTAAATTTCCGACAGTTCCGACTTCTGGTACTTCGTCATTTCCGACCAACCCTGATTGGAACAACTTCCCCCGCTATTGGAACAACACCTCCCGTTGACGGAACTGCATCCCCCGTTGTTGGATCAACTTCCCTCGTTGAATTAAAAACATCCGCTTTGACGGAACAACTTCCCCCGACATTGGAACACTTTATTGATTAGTTGATATAGTTGTTGATTAGTTAATTTATGAAGTTGTCGGCGGTAAGATTTTCGCGGTAATTGGGCTGCGGTAAGTTGAAATATAGAATGATGAATTATTAGAGACTGGAGAATAATTTTTTCAGTGCATCTCTAGAGTGGGGAATTAATAGAGACTGGGGAATTAATAAAGACTGGGGGATTATTTTTTCAACCCACCCGTGGGATGGGGAATTAATAGAGCCTGGGGAATTATTAGAGACTGGGGAATTATTAGAGCAAATACGGTAAATACATATTAAATTAAAAAAACATATTTTATGTATTTAGGTTCAAAGTCAACTGCCTATACCTACTACCACCTATTACTATTCAACTACAATTCCAACAGCTATAAATAAATTTTAAAAAAATTCCTTCCGCAAACTACTACATATTCTTTTGCTACTTTTATTGCCAGTCAGCCGTAATCCCCCAGTTTTCCATATATTGAACCGCGACATTTATCGGAAGAAGGAGAATACTAGACTGTAAAATTATTGAAGAATTTGGGAGAAAATAAAGAAATATGTATATGTACGTAAGGGAATTGGTGAAAGAAACGATAGAAAAGAGAAGAATAAAGCTAACAGACACAAAATATATTAGACAAACAAACGGGGACAGCCGGGTACATAGACACACACACACACAACTGCACTGACAGTCGGTACACACACAAATGTGAATATAATAATTCTTTAAAAGAAAGGGAAAATATTTTTAAATATATATTAAAAATGTTAATTTAAAAATATTTTTAAGAAATTATGTTTTATCTTCAACAAATTCTAACAGCTCGGAATTAGAAATAAGCTCTCAATTCAGACCCAACCAACGAGGTTGAAAGTCTCCAAATTAATAATAATAATTAATCCATTCGGAGTAATGTAAAAATATGTACATAAAATTAATTATGTTAATTTTTGGACAAAAAAAAGAGAGGAAAATCTAAAATTAGAAACAAATTCCCTAATTGATATTGGTTGATTAATTTAGAAATTAAAATGCCCGTTTTGAATACTTTTGTTAATTAATTTGAAAAATAATAATTTGTTTTAGTTTAAATACTTAATCATAAAAATTAATTTAAAGAATTTAAAGGAAATATTTAATAAATACATAGTAGGTTATTAAAATATTTTAATGTTTTTTAGCCGGATAACATAAAACACACAATTATTATTATTTATAAATTTACAGGATTTTAAATGATTTTTAAATTAAAATTAAAAATTCTTTTTTATTCTTTAACTAAATTTCGAATTAATAAATTTTATCCTTTTAAATAGATTGATTAATAGACAGTTGTTAGTTTTTAAAGGGACTTATTGTCGGTAAAAGTTTTAAAAATTAAGCTTAAATTTGCACTAAAAATCAATAAATTGTCTGAAATAAATAAAAAAAAGTGATAATAAAAAAGAAAAGTTTTTTTACTTCCAGTTTTTTTAAATTTATAAAAAAATTTAAAAAATTAAGAAGGGGAAGGTTTAAATAAAATATTAGAGAAAGGATTAAAAAGTTAGAGAGCATAGAGAGGGGAAATGAATGATGAAAAATGAATGTCATTCATTCATAAAATATGTACATTTTCTTCTTCTCTACCAAAAAATTTTTAAAAATAATTAATAATTAGGTGAAAATAACAAAAATTAATAATAATAATTTTTATTTTGAATTAACTTCCTTTAAATGTTTCCCTCAATTAAGACTCTAATATATCTAAATAAATGTACAAAGTTATTTTTTATTTCAAAATTCTCGTTTAAATTGATAAGAGAAGGATACGAGAACGTAAATTAACACAACGAATAAAAAGCTCTGCTAGACTACACGGAGGGCCAAAGACCAAAGTTTGTATTTTTTGAGGGGTATTTTATTGGAAAAATAAAATAATTAGTAGAAACATTTAAAATATATTCTTTTCACAAAATAATGACAATTAAACACAAAAAAATAAAATCTTGAAAGATCTACTAAAATTAAATATTATTAAGAAGATATATGTATTAGTTAATATTTAGAGAAAAGATTGGGGGGAAATTATTAGATTTTCTTTTGTTCAAAGATCAACAACTGACATTTATTAACATAAAGATTAATTAGTATTTAAGTTTTTGAAGTTTAAATTGTTGCTAAAATTTTATTAAAATATGTATAACAAAAAAGAATTTAACTAAATACAAATCAGGAATAGGAAATTTATTTAAAAACTTCTTTATAAAGTGTAAATTTCTGCAGACGTATGTATATTTTAATTTAAGAATTTTTGAAATTATTTAATTAAATACTTAGAAATATTTATACAAATATGTATTTTTTATTTAAAATTTTTACTATTTTTTATTCATTAAATAAATTTAAAAAAATTTCTATTCTCAATTGGCCCAGAAATAATGAATCAGAAAAAGAGTGAAAGAAAGACATTTATTTATTTTTACTGAAAACAACTTTTATTTTTCTAAAATTATTCATTCTTCTACATAAATTACTTATATCTAAAATTTATTTATTTTAGTAAAAATGTTTAGTCTAAATATTAGCAGACATTAAAATTATTTTGATAAATGGGGAAGGCACAGAAAAAGGGAACGCGTGTTTCTTTCGGTGGTTGTCAATATCTGGAAAAGGAAGAATTGGAAATTGAACGGAAACAAAAAAGGAAAGAATGTTTTCGAATCGCGTAAATTATTTCTTTTTTCTATTTTTGGATTTTTATTTAAAAAAATATTTAGAAATAATTAATTATATACAATAAAAAATAATTTGTTTATTTAATCAGAATGGTCTCCGACTTTTTTTGTCCAAATACTGGAGGAGTTGAGACACACATTTATCAACTGGCGAAATGTCTGCTCAATAACGGGCATAAGGTTTTAAAATATCAGACAAAAGTTTATAAAAATAAACAAAAAATAAAGAAAATAATACTAAATGTACTTTTACACATATGGTGTTTTAAATATTTACTTAAAGTTTTTAACTATAAGATTTATTTTTGTTATTAAAAATGTCTGGAAAAATATTTTTAAAAAATATAAAATTTAATTTTATGGAGAATTTTTTAATTTATTAAAATTAAATAAAAAAATAAATTTAATTAAAATCCAAAAAATTATCAATCTTTAATCAAGATATTCTATTCCCTTAATATACTATTTAATAATAATTTTAAAAAATTTTTAAAAATTGAGGTTATTGTCTTAACTCATGCTTATGGAAATAGAAATGGAATTCGTTATTTATATTCAGGAAAACTTAAGGTTTTAAATTAAAATTACAAAAATTTAAATTAAAAAAAGGTTTATTACCTTCCTTGTTTGGTTATTGGAAATAATTATTTACCTTCAGCTTTGGGTTCCCTCCCTTGGTTTCGTAAAATTTTTTCTTTTGAAAATATTCAAATTGTTCATTCACATTCCACATTTTCTACAATGGGACACGAAGCTTTATTGCATGGATGGACATTGGGACTTAAAACTATTTTTACTGATCATTCGCTTTTTGGATTTGCGGATGCTGGGGCTATTTTAAGTAATCGACTTGTTTTGCGTTATTCTTTAATAAATGTAGATAGATTAATTTGTGTTTCTCATACAAGGTTTTTTTTAAAATAATTTTTTTAAATATTAAATTAGTAAAGAGAACACAGTTTTACGTGCAGGTATTTCCCCATCAAATGTTTTTGTTATTCCAAATGCCATAGATTCAAAATTATTTAAACCACCAAATAAAAATAATTATTCTGAAGTTATAACAATTGTTGTATTGTCTCGTTTAGTTTATAGAAAAGGAATTGATTTGTTAGTACAAATAATACCTGAAATATGTAAATTAAATAAAAAAGGTTTTTAATTTTAAAATTAAATGGAAGAGTGGAAGGAGGGAGGAAGAGTTTTTTTAATTTTTAGTTCGTTTTGTAATTGGCGGTGATGGCCCAAAACGTGTTGATTTAGAGGAAATGAGGGAAAAACACAAACTTCATCATCGTGTTGAACTTAAAGGGGAACTTCCACATGATAAAGTAATTAAAATAAAAAGAAATATTTTTTTAAATAAATTTTTGAGGTCCGCGAAGTTTTAATACAAGGACAAATATTTTTAAACACTTCTTTAACTGATGCTTTTTGTATGAGTATTGTTGAAGCAGCTTGTTGCGGGTATTTTTAAAGAAATTAAAAAAATAAATATAAAGTTTACACGTTGTTTCAACAAAAGTTGGAGGAATTCCTGAAGTTTTACCTCCCGAATTTATTACTTTAGCTGAACCTAATCCAGAAAGTTCTTTCTTTTTATTTTAAATTTAATTATTATTTTTTAGTTTTAATCAAATCAATTTTAAATTCAATCAAAAATTGTCAAAATAATTTATTTCCAAATTCAAAAGAAAAACATGAAAGAATAGCTAAATCATATAATTGGGAGGATGTTGCAAAAAGAACAGAAAAAGTATATAAAGAAGCGATAGAAGAAATTGAAATTAATTTTGGAGAACGTCTTAAAAAGTAAAAAAATAATTTTTAAAAATAATTTTAATAAAATATTTTTAAAGTCTTTTAAATGCTGGTTTCTGGTTTGGAATTGTTTGGGTTTGGGGTGCAGCACTTAATTACTTCTTGGCTGCGTTTCTTGATTTAATAAATCCTCGTTATCGAATTAAAAAAAAGGAGAACTAAACAGAATAAATTAAGTTTTTAATTAAAGTAAATTTAAAATTTAGATCTCATAAACTTTTTAATTCTACAATTGTTTTTTATAAAAAAAATAAAATTTTATTCTATATTTTTAATTTCCAATTTGTTATTTAGTCCCCGATCATGGGTCTCCAAAAGCCTTGTTCCCGTGCCTTGTTCCCGTATATTTATTATATTTCTGTTGTCGGTTGTCCATAGTAACTAAAATGAGAGAGAAAAACGTAGTGCATAAATCCGCGACACGGAGATCGACTAGCACAAGTTTATAATGTTTGTTCAAGAAAAGATTAAAGTAAAATAGAACGAGAATATAAATAAATAAATCTATATATTTTTAAAATGTATTTTTTGTTAAAATTTTTATTATTTTTAGACTTTTTCTGGTAAATTTTGTAAAATATTTACTAATTATAGTACATATGGGCAGCACGTATTCTGCATTAGCTAATTTAGATGATAATGATTTAATTCTTAATCAAACAGAAAATAATCTAATAAATTCTTCTAGAGATCACCAACCACCATCAATATCATCTCAATATTCAATTCAACGTCCACCTCCTGTACATAAAAATTCTATAAATTGGTTAAGTGTTGTTAGACCAGAAATGATTGTTTCTTGTAGTTCTGACAATACAATTGTTTTAAGTAATATGGATACTTGTAATTGTGTAACTAGATGGAAAGGACATGAAAAAGAAATAAATAAAGTTATGTATAAGCATAGTGGATCTCAACATTTTGTTTTGTCAGGCTCTAAAGATTGTTGTAAGTATACATCAGTAATAACTGGGGATTATTTGTAATTATAATTATTTTTAATATTTTGTTGATTAGCTATTCGCCTTTGGCGTTTTAATGAAACAGAATGTGTACAAACATTTAATGGTCATCAATTTGGGGTTACCGGTTTGGCTGCCCTCGGAGGTAAATATTTAGAAAATAAATTTGAGGTAATTAAGAATTTTATTTTTTAGAAGAAAATTTTGTTTCTGGTGCTCGTGATGGAAAATTATTTATGTGGAACATTGAACATGCTAATCAACCTATATGTTCTTCAAATATATCTAATAGCCAAAATATTGTAATAATTTATTAATATTAAATACTAAAATGTATCTTTTCTCCTAAGATAACACACATTGAAGTAGACAACGAAAATAAAATTCTCTTCCAAACATCTGAAGATGGAGCTATAAGATTTTGGGATATAAATAATCTTTCATTAATAGAAACAATCCCTTCTTCGGGTGGTCACCAGCCAATATGGCATTGTAGTAGATTAGCAAATTTTGAACCAAATGCTTTATTAACAGCGGAAGGAGGGGATGGAAATGAAATTAAGGTAAAATAAATTACTTCTCAATTCCCAATAAAATAGCATTGGGACATTCGACAAAGGGGTTTAATTCAACGATTTCGTGGACATGAAAAGGTAAAACAAAATTTAATAAATTATTTTAATTCTCGTTTAAAAAAGGATGTTAGAGCAGCAATATTTCTTCAATCTCAACCACAAATAACTTCAAAACGTTTAATGCTTAGTGTTAGCAATGATAGAACAATTCGTTTATGGGACGTTAATAATGGAAGTATTTTTTGAATTTTCAAATTTAATATTTTTAAAATTTTAAAAAGAATGTATTTGGACAGAAAATAATATCACAGCAGAATTAAATTGTTGTGCAGATTTTACAAATGGAAGAGTTGTTGTTTGTGGTTTGTTTTTTATTGTTTTAAAACTTTTTAAAAAAATTTTATTTTTAGGGAGAGATGCAACTTTATGTGAATTAAGACTTATGGCAAAAGCAGGCCGCCCTTTCTTGCGTTGCATCTCTTATCAATGCATTGAAGATTAAATAATTAGAAAGTTTCCTTATAAAAAATAAGTGCCATAACTTCGTTTAGAAAAGTTGAATCAGTTTTGATATCGTTCAACCTAGCTCGATAAGACGGGTCAGAATAAGCTAGAATAAGCTCACTCAACTCCAAAAGCATCGAAAAAGATTTGTTTAAAGCTTTTTTTCGAGGATCATTAATCTTTACCTTTTCCAGATAAAGATAAAAGAGAATAGCTCTGATACGTAAATTTATCAAAATAAAATTTTCTTTCATTTATTACAGTATGATTTTAAATAAAAGATATTTCAATTTAAATATATAATGCTAATTTGTATATTTCTCTTCTAATTTTTAACGGTGTACTACGTTGCTCGATTGATTTTCTTGCATAATTGTTTTCCATTTTTTTTTGTGTTTGAGATTATTATCTCGAAAGTGTTTTTGTGTGCTAAATTCTTAATTTAATAAAGGTTAACATTTATCTGATTTCATTTATACCCATTTCTACGACTTTAAAATTTAAAAAATGGATAATTTCCGTGTTGTTCGTAATTTTGGGGAATATGCTGGAAATGAAGGTTATGCTACTTCGTTAGCTGATCAAAGAGCAGTTGCTCGGGCTGCAGCTGCTCCCTGGTATACTGGTCATATGAATATGTATGAGGACTTTGGTGCATTTGCTCCACAACCGCTTTCTTCTGCTATTGGTGGTGGCGGAGGAGGTAGTGGTGGTGGTAGCGGCGGAGCTGGGAGTGGTGGAGGACGTAAGGGTGGTGGAGGCGGATCAGGTCAAGGAGGACGTTATGGAATGCAACGATATCCAATGAAGCAAAGAAATATTCGTCGACAACATATTCAATATCCAGTAATTTTTTTCCTTTTAAAAATATTTCAACATTTTCAGTATTCTCCTGTCCCAGACAATGTTCCCCATAAAGAAATTTCTGTTACTAGCAACAGTTGTTTTTGCTTCCATGGATATGCCAATATCTTTACTTTACAGCATCGAGTATCAAAAATTAAATTATTTTTTGTAAATTTTTTTTAGTTTGACTTTATTATTGATGGAGAAACATACAAAAGTATTGATCAATATTATCAACAACAAAAGGTTAAAGATCTGACTGGAATCTCTTCTGGAAAATTTACTGATGGTTCAACTCGTGATTATTCGTCCTTGGCTCGTGAATTGTTGCGTCAGGCTTCGGTATTGAATTTTTCAACTTTTTAAGATTTTGTATGTAATTTTTAGATTAAACGATCTGATGTGGAAAGTTGGCGTACTGGTCGTGGACTTGATGTTATCCAGGTTTAAATTGATTTTAAAATAAATTTTAATTTTAAAAAATTAAAGAAAGCAATACTTGAAAAACTTCGCCAATGTCAAGATATGCGAAATGCTTTGACCAGTACTGGCGATAAAATTCTTGTTCAAAGCTTTGGTGGTGACGATTATTACGGATCTGGCACTCCTGCCAAATATGTTAAAGATTGGTGTTCTGGAATTGAAAAGAATAAAGGTTCACTTAAGGTAATAAATTCTCTTTATTATTTTTCTTTTGTAATATATTAATTTAATTTTCAGTTTCCAATGGTGTTTCCGTTAACCGAAGAATATGTTAAATATATTCCAGTCATTGGAAAGGTTTTTGTAATTTTATTTAATTTAGATATTTTCTATTTTTAGGGCAAGAATGTTTTGGGTGCGCTTTTTATGATTTTGCGGGAAAAGGTTTATTCTTCTTTGACTTTTTTTGAAAAAAATTAAATATTTTTTAGTTAAACAATTCACAGTTAGACGATTTAAACTTTTCTTTTTCAAAATCTGCTAGTGTTGGTGGTGGGCAAACTGGAATGGATTTTACTGTTGATTCAAATTCTTGAATGATTTAAATTGAGAAGTAATATTTGAGGGTTTACGTATTTTATTTGATGTTTTTTATTCTGGAAATTGGCTTTTTTGAAAAATCTTTTGATTATTAAAATCATTTATTTTTTTGTATTAAGTAAATGTTTACTCAAATTCGCGAGAGATAATGGTAATCTTTCAGAACATTGGTCCCGATAATAGAATGATGAAAAGTGGTTTTTTCGGTATTTTTTGGTTTGCCGCCAGTAGGTATCAAGTGTGCTGAGTCCGAATCTGTATTCAAATTTTATTTAGAATCCCCGACCCGAATTCGACCAAGTTGAATTCGGGGTAATTACCTACCGGCAAACCTCAAAAATATCGAAAAAGCACTTTTTCATCACTTTTTATAGGGGCCAATGTTTTGCAGACTTACCGAGATAATAATTTTTTGATTGATTTGTTTGACTCGACTCCTCTCAAAAATAGTTTTTTATATATTTAACATCAATATTATTTGGAAACAATAAATATTTTTTGAGTACTTATCTATTTAATCCATATAAATCCCTCGAATTCCCTCTCAAAAGTTTAGGTTTAATTGTGAATGTCCGTCCCTCTCGCGCATTATACCTTCCGCATATAATTCCAAATCCCTCGATACTTCTTTTTAATATCCGCTTTCGAAAGTTCGAAGGTTTTTTCATGGACATTTTGGCTGTAGTGGGAGCGCGAGCCAGGAATCAAACTATATACCATTCGATTTTTCTCGCCGAGCCTCTGAGATCGAAAACCATAGGGGGGAGTAAGCTCAATTATTTTGGGGTGAAAAATTCGAGTATGCAAATGTTAGCTCATCGAAAGCTCTTCGAGCTGTCTACGGTAGCCGCGAACGAAGCAAGCATGACCGCAGTGAAGCTCGGCCATCGAAGTACGGTCATTTATATCGTACATAGGTATGTATAAATGTAGGGGATCAAAAATATACAAACAAATTTCTCAATTTTATATTTTATTTACATGCTACACATTTGAATATAATCAACAGAAATCTATTTGTGAATATTAGACACGATTTAACAAATGAAAATTCAAGACAAAAATGCGTAGAATTAGATATAGTACATATACATACAGATAAAGTCAGGTGAAAGAACATTGTGGGAATACAAATAACCCTATTTATAGAAGATTATGAGAATTTTTATTTCTCTTCCTATTGTTTGTTCGTTTCTTTATCATCTTCCTCATCGGTGTTGACACCTCCAGTACCATGCTCGAAGAGACAACGAGTTCGATCGAAGCGCTCAGATTGTGAAGGAAATTGCATTTTGAGAGCCAGTTGCTGCGTCGAGACGAAATTGTCACCATCGTTGGTCTTAGTCATTTGCTCACAAGGTTGCAGTGCCCCAGTTTCCTGCTGTATATCCTCATTAGCATTTTTGCCGCTCTCATCCTTGATGGAAACCTCCTCAGCTGTTGTTGTTTCCTTCACTCCGTGTTGACCAACAATGCGCATTTGATCAAGCGCCAATTGAACAATGTGTTCCTATAGAAAAATTACATATAGATAATTTTTTCCTAACTAATTATCACCTTTCTGCGTTCCTCAATTCCCTCTGTGTCCTTCACATCATTCCGGTTGTTGCAATCTTGCTTCAACTCAGGAGCTTCATCTTCCTCCACTGGATCTTCATTCTCTGGTGCCTCGAAGATAGTGTTCAGGTCTGAGAAGGTGACACGTCGTCGCAATGAACCTGAGCTTATGACGGCACTTTCAGGAATGTAGTCTTCTCGTTGTTGCTCTCTGTTCTCTGAAGGGAAGTTCAACAACAGCGCCTTTTCAAGAGGAAAAGCGATTTTCTCCTCATTCTCATCATGATCGACATCTTCCTTCTTTTCATCAGAATGTGGTTGCATCTCTTGTTCTTTAGCGGTGTTAATGCTCTGATCATTGCTCCCAAAATTTTGACCCAGATGGAGAGATTCATCATCCGAACGAAATGCTTAAAAAATAAAATCATTAAACATTATTTAGCAATACATATCAACTCACCAGATGAATCATCAGGATCAAGAAGTTGGAATATTCCATCGTCGGACTTAGGTGCACGCACTGAAGGAACTGGAGCGATATCGCCAACATTTCCATCGAAGGTGACAGTCTGAAATATAATTCATTAAACATGCCCAAAAAGGAATGCTTGCCTGCTCCTCAAACACAGAATCTGTCTGAGTGCCGCTTTCGAAGAGAATTGGAGTAGTGGGTCGATAATGAACAGTCGATGAATAGTGATGAGATTCGTAAGAAGCCTCAGCTTTACCACGTACAGCTTCAAGTATCGCGCGTCCCCAATCTAAGACCAGGGACTCTGGAAGACGGATTTTTATCGAGCCAAAGTTCCATTTCACACGAACATTGCAGATTCTTTGCGTTGTTGTTGATAGAAACATCTGATAATTAAAAGGAAATATTACAACTTTTAATTGTATTTACTTTCCAAATTTTTACCTTCTGAGTTTTGCATTTGAATTCCGCTCTTGCAGCCTTGCTCAGATTAACGGTGAAGCCCTCGTGCTTCCAATTGCCCGTATAGATGACCAGATGACCTTGCTTGCTCAGAACACATGTATGTATGCCATAGGACACCGCACGTTCAATTCCGAACAGCCCACAACGCTTGATGGTCACATCCAACGAGGCAAACCGGAATGAGCCACGATCCAAGACACGTTTCCACACATCCAATGGAGGCAAAACAGCTTTCTGTATAAAAATTATATCAATAGAATTTAGTTTAAAAAAGTATAGTAAACTTACTTTGGTGAACTCATGTTGAACCCGAATGACGAACAATTCAACTTCGCATTGACGAGTTTCTGAAGCCTGGGCAGGACTACCGCTTATCATCTTTTGGGGCGAAGGAACCAGTTGACGTTCGCAGGTATATTGCTTATCCAACAAGGATACTCCAGCCATGTGAGAATGCAGCTCGCCAGCCATGTGAGATTGTTGTGCCAATGATGTCGTTTTAGGCGCTAATGACAAATTGAAGTTTAGATTTGTTCATTCATCTCTTGCTTTTATATGAAAAAGCGGGCAATCCCGGAGAATTGGGGAATTTTGATAATAATTTTGATAATAACTGAATAATTTTGATACCATTCGACTCAGAATAAAGAGACGAGTCAAAATTACCCTAATATCGTAATTTCGAATTTCTACCCCGAATTCGACTTTGTCGAATTCGGGTCCGGGGTTCTAAATAAATAAATTCTAAGCATAGATTCGGACTCAGCATGGTCGACTACCTATATAAAATTATTTTCAGAAAAAAAAATTTTTTAAGGTGTTTTTAAGGTGTCTCCCGGATTGTCCATGATTACCAAAAAGCGCATATAAAAGGCAAAATCTTTAAATGAATATCTATCTTCTCCAGCAACTACTCGTACCTACTCACGCTCAAGGGCTAGGGAGTTATGGTAAGTACATAATTTTTACGTTATATAATCGAATTCATAATTTTAAGCGTGCCGCTGCGAAACAACTAAGCACTTCTCCTCCAAATGCTCTCCGTCGTCTGCAACAGGAGCTTGTTGATGTGACTGATAATCCAATTGAGGGTATCAAAGTTCATTCTGTTGCCGAAAATATCTTCATATGGAAGGTTGCCATATTTGGTGCGCCTGGAACGATCTATCAGGTCCTTTTACAATACTCGTTTTTGAAAGTACTACACTGCGGTGCATATGTTTATGCACACTAGTTTTTTGTTCATAAGTTTATGCACGCTTATTCAAAAAATACGTTCTATACAGCATTCGAAAGCTCTATCTGTATCTCAGCTGACATGTTTCTGCATTTTTCGAAATTCTGATATTTTCGAAAACTTTTCGACCGGTCTAACAGGTACTACTTTTTCAACTTTTCGGAAAAATTTTTTTGAGGTCTGTAAAAAATATATTTGGCAATCCCGGAGAATCGTGGTCCCTGCGGAAAAAAATCTTAAAATTAAGAAAAGAGTTTTTTCTTGTGTAAAAAAATGTGTTGATTACGAATATGAGCTCGGATTTTGAAAAAGTCGTACCCGGACCCGAATATAGGTCCTACAAAATCGAAAAACCATAGGGGGGACCAAGCTGATTCTGGGGTGAAAAATTCGAATATGCAAATAATAGCTCATTCGAAAGAGCTCGACGAGCTGAGTCGAATGACACCAAAATCACCGTGATTGAAAAAGATCTGGCGAAGTTATGACACAAAAAACAAACAACGTAAACCTATGTTTTTTGTGTTGTAACTTTGTCTGTTTTTGTTCAATCACGGTGATTTTGGTGTCATTCGACTCAGCTCGTCGAGCTCTTTCGAATGAGCTATTATTTGACCAATTTGCGCTCTGTTAAATTTTTCCCAAAATGTCGAATGTCCGACTTCGGGTTCGGGATTCGACTTTTTCAAAATCCGAGCTCATATTCGTAATCAGCACATTTTTTTACCCTAGAAAAACCCTTTTTCTTAATTTTAAGATTTTTTTCCGCAGGGACCACGATTCTCCGGGATTGCCATATATTTGATTCTCCTCTAGATTCTACATACAATACAAAAAAATCATCCAGATCGGTCGAGATTCGACCGAGTTATGAATTTTTGAAAATTGAAAAAAACGCGATTTTTTGACGATAAATGGCAAAAATATGATGTTTTTTCGATTTTCAAAAATTCATAACTCGGTCGAATCTCGACCGATTTGGATAATTTTTTTGTATTTTATGTAGAATCTATAGGAGAATCACATATATTTTTTACAGACCTCAAAAAAATTTTTCCGAAAAGTTGAAAAAGTAGTACCTGTTAGACCGGTCGAAAAGTTTTCGAAAATATCAGAATTTCAAAAAATGCAGAAACATGTCAACTGAGATACAGATAGAGCTTTCGAATGCTGTATAGAATGTATTTTTTGAATAAGTGTGCATAAACTTATGAACAAAAAACTAGTGTGCATAAACATATGCACCGCAGTGTATATATTGAAATTTTTAATTTTACAGGGAGGCTACTTCAAGGCGGTTGGTTACTTTCTTTGCTTCTACATAATTCAATAACGTTTATTTTTTAGACGCTCAAGTTCCCGCCCAAATATCCATTCGAGCCTCCTTCCATGCGCTTCGATAACCCAATCTTCCATCCTAATGTGTACAAGGACGGAAGGGTATGCATAAGCATCTTGCATCCGCCTGGCCAGGATAAGCTGAGTGGAGAAGTAATACAACATGAAGTTTACTAAAAAATTTCGTTTGTTTTTTAGTCGGCCGCCGAACGTTGGAACCCTGCTCATGGCGTCCGCAGTATTCTACTCTCCGTGATATCGATGCTGAATGAGCCTAACATTTCTTCACCGGCAAATGTGGATGCTTCTGTGAGCTACCGCAAGTATAAGGGTAATAAAAGTGTTTAAAATGGCCTCCAAAAATAAATAATTTTTTCAGAGAATGGCAACAAAGAGTTCCCAGATATAATCAAGTATGAAAATAGTGTGAAAACGATTAGTATATTATTTTTATTTCAGGAAAATGGTTGAAAAGTCGAAGGCGGAGGCAGCTAAGGACGGAGTGAAGGTACCTGAAACTGAGGAGGAGTACGTAATCAAGGCTAGAGTAAAGCGTCAGCAAGCGGAGAACGAAGGCGGCACTGATAATGGCGATGTTGGCCTAGAGGGTAATTATTAATAACTGGAATATTTTTAAAAATTTCGCATATTTAGAAGAGTTCTATGATGCTTGATTCTGTTGATGCACTAGCCCGATGTGTAGGAATTGATGTATGTATGTACTATAATTAAGGAAGAATAGATGATTGTAAATATGACAAACTATTGTATATAAGTCCCTATTTTTATCCCTATCCTTAAATGTGATTAAGTAATTATGTACTATATGTATATAAATTAGAATGTATATTCCTTTATTGTATCGTTAAACTTATTTCGAGTATAAAATTGGTAAAGAGTAGAATTAAGAATTTTAGGATATATGTAGTATAAAACAAATTGTTGAACCGAAACACTTATGGTGTATAAGAAATTAGGCTGACAGAAGTAAGTACACTTTTCAATTCACCATAACCTTTTTTCACGTTTAAATTTTTAAATATTATTTAACTTTCTTAGAAAAGATTTAGCGTTTGCAAAATTTCACATCTCCCCAGCGTTTAAAAAAGCCTTAACCAAGAACAATTAACAAATTCGATCCGACACGTTTTCTTAGACCCAGCCCATCCCTGTTCCGCACTAGTAACATAATCCTATTCATTTTTACGACTCTCAGCCTGAAATACCTAATCGGTTTCCGAGGCATATGGCAGAATCACCTAAATTAAATACACGTGAATTCGTTTTACATAATTCTTTTGGTGTATTAAAATTCGAGGCTTTATTGCACAAAAAATGGCAGTAAGGTTTTTAAGCTTTATTCATTTTTAAATTTAGAAAAAAATTATCAAATCAATTAACTTTTAGTATTCATTTTATTTCTCGTTCTTTTAACAAGACGCATCAATGCATGTTACGCATCAAATGAGCGTTAGCCATTAATGGGCAAATTCCAATAAGTTGACTAAAATATGTAGAAACAAATATTTTTTTTATAAATTTCTATATTTTTACCGAGCCCGATAATTTTTGATAAGACAGCGACATGAATCGTTTGCATCTCGATTTGCGTTTTGTTTTGTACATTCATTGTAGATTTTTAAAGCATTTGAATTGTCAAGAGGAAGTGAAATTGCACATCTATAAATTCAACAAATTTAATTATTTTTATTTACCCTTTATTACTTACTCTCCTTTTTTAAAACATTCAATAGAAGAACGTTTTGCGCAATTGTTCATACATTTTTGAAAATTTCGAAAAATAAGGAACGCTGCTCTCGCACGACGAATGAAAGATCCTTGATGCGGTATCTGTTCAATTGAAGAATTTTCCGTTAATTGTTCTATCCATTTATTGTAGTCGGGAGAAGATGGAAGAAAAAGTGTTTCATTATTAGAACAACTTTAAAATTAAAATAATTTTTTTAGTACATTATCGGTTATCCCTCTCGAACTTTAAATGCTCACAAAAATTTCGAGGAATAACCTCAGATTTAAATAAAATATATTTTCAAACTAATTTGTAATCCTTTTGTTCAAACACTTTGTTAATTTAACACCCCTTTTAAGAGCTCCACTTTCTTTATCTTTCTCCTCTTTCCAAAAACAATTTGTTAATTCAGTTAAATTAGTTTTTCCATTTCCTTTGTACTCATTTAACAAATAAGCACATTCTTCTTTACATTCCCCATTTAGTTGATTAGTAGCTTTAGTAGCACACTGTTCAGCGACGTGACAGCCACAAAGTTGAATCTAAATTTAAAAATTATTTTTTAAATTAATTTTGCTTTAAATATTTAACCTTATCAGCTTCTACCAAAGAAAATTGAATAAAGATTATGGAAACTATTAAAGAAATTTTAGTAAACATTATTCCTTATTCTAAAATAAAATTAGAAAATATTTTACTTATGAAAATAAATAAGGAATAACTGAAAGAAATTATATTTAAATAGCTGGACAGCAAGTTATCATAAATGTCCGCCCCATTATAAATTTGAATGTCTTGGGAAAATGCCCTGAAATAATAAAGGTATACCATGTATTTTTTGAATTTATTTTCAAATTAAGAAACAGATTATTAGAGAGAGTTTTTTAGGTCCAAAAAACCGATAATAGGTACCTAATTAGGTTCGAAAAAAGGCTAAAATAGGTTTAAAAAAATTTTTAAAAACTGGCAAAATAAGTGCGAATTTTTAAAAATGGGTTTGAAGTTCTAGTTTTTTCAATTTTGTGTCTTCAATTTATGGTTTTTTAATTTTTACGGATCTGTAACTCAGCCCTATAAAGCCAGATTGCGCTGAGTTTGGTATCATTCGACTCAACTTAAGAAGCTCTTTTGAATAAGCTACCAGTCAAAAAAATCAAAATTTTCACCTCAAAAATGGCTACTCCCCCATATTGCTTTTAATCTTCTATTTGTGAGTCCACACCTAAAGATATACATTTTCTATGTTATACATAGTATAAAATGTTATTTTAATTTTAAATTTAACTCATTAATAATATTAATTAAATTCATTAAGAATATTAATAATTTATTTTATAAAAAATTTAAATGGCAGTTTTTGAAGATTTGGTAACAATAAAAAGAAATTCTGAGAAGTAAAAATATAGAAAAACAATAGGTGTTACGACAATTGCGGATTAAAAATTTTTTAAAAATTTCGAAAATTATTAAAATGATATTCCGTTTTTTTGTCCCGGCTGTCAGCTTCAGACTTCTGACGGTTTCCGAATCATTTTTAGACAGATGTGGCACTGAAAACTTTAAAAAATCTTAAACTTTTTAAAAATTTTATATCCGCAATCGTCACATCCGCACGTGCGTATCCGCAATTGTCGTACCGCCAGAAAAACAATAGGTTTTTTAAATGATTATTAATGGAGTTTACTGCTTTCTTTTTGGACAAGATGTTCAAGCTTAAAAATTTATTTTTTATTTTTTAATTAATTAATTTATTTACTTGTTTATTTTGTTGTCCAATTTTAGTTAATTCTGTTTCTAAATTAATTATTTTTCTTTTAAATAATTGTTCTGCTCGTTCATCTCCATCTTGTTCTAAACGTTCAACTTGAGATTGCAAAGAACGACAATATTTTTGTAATTCAGAATTTTCACGTTCCATTGTATTTAACGATTTATTTAAAGCATTCCTTTCTAATGTTGTTTGTTTTATTATTGCATCAACACGACGACGATCCATTTCAAGCTTAAAAAATTTTTCTTAAAAATTTCTTTTAATATTTTTAAATAATTTAATAAGTATCCCAGTACAGTTGAATTTAGTTAGAGTATTTTTTCCTCCTTAATTTCCCCTTTATAAAAAACTTACAGCCTCAATTTGTCCTTTATATTTACTTATTTCCCGTTCAAATATTTTTAATTGGCTTTCCATTTCTTGTCGAGAAATTTTACATTCACGTAATTCTTTTTGTAAAATTTCTAATTCTTTAACTGATTGCCTCCAATGTAGACGAAGTTCGTGTAATTCTGAACGTAATTTATCTTCTAACATTTTAGCTTCTAATTCTCTCTAAAAATTAAAATTTTAATAAAATTTATTTGTTTTTTTTCTTCCTACTTTTTCTGCAATTTCCAATTTTTTAATTAAAGAAATATTTTCAAATTTAAAATTATCCATTTGTTTATTTTCTTTTAATTTAATTTCTTCTTTAAAATCAGTAGTCATTGTCGATTTTGTTTTAAATTTTATTGGAAATAATTCTTCAATATTTTTTTTTATTTTATTATTATTTTTTTCTTCTTTTAATTCCCTTTGCAACTAAAATTAAAATTATTTTATTTAAAATTAATTATAAATTAAATAAAAAGTGCATTTGTGAAAACCAAAAACAAAACAAAAATTAAAAAAAATATAAATTTGTGACCACCACCAAATTATATATAATTACAAAAACTATACATTTAATTATTAATTAATCCTTTCTTTAATTTCATAATATTCTCTATAATATTTTGTAGTTTTAAATTTATTTTTATTAATTATTGAAGAACTTTTAACAGGAAAATGTGTTGTTGTTGAATTATTCTAACAAATTATTTAGAGATAATTTTAAAAAAATAAGAAAATTTTTAAAATTATTTCATCAAAGATAATTTAATTAAAATAAAAGTGTATTTAATTGTGTGCTTAAAATACTAAAACATCTTTTTACAAAACATTTTATAAAAAACAATTATTTAATTTAAAGCTTTACCTTCTCAACTTCTTTAATATTTTCCATTCTTTCAATATTTAAAGTTTGTTCCAATTCTTCTAAACGTCTTTCCAAAATTCTTTTTCTTTTTAGCCAATCCCTTTCAGCTTCAGAATATTCTTCATTTAATTTAATTTCTTTTTCATTTTTTGATTTTTCAAATAAATTTAAAAGTTTGTTAAATTCATTATTTTTTAAAGAAATTTCCTCTTTTAATTTAATTATTTTTTGTTGTTCAGAAATTAATTTATTTGAATAAAAATTATTTTCTTTTTTTTTTAAAAAAAATATTTTTTAAATTAATTTAATTTTAAATTAAAAATTACCATTTTCTAATTCATTTATTTTTTTAATATTTTGTTTAAATAATTCTTCAATTAATTCTTTTACTCTTTTAGTTAATTTATTTTCATTTTTTACTAAATTTCCAAATATTTTTTCTTCCCAATTTTTAATTAAAATTTCAAGAGAATTTAAATCTTCTTTAATATTTAATTTTTGTTTTTGTTCTTTATTTTTCCATTTTTCAAAAATATTTTCAATTCTGACACGTTCTTTAAATAAATATTATTTTTTAATTTAATTTTTTTAAAACCTTTTTCTAATTGTCTAATTTCTGTTTCTAATTGTATATTTCGACGTTTTTGTTCTTCTAAAGAACCTTTATAAATAATTATTTCTCCTTTAGCTTCATCCAAATCGGCTAACAATTTCTCTGTTGACGTATTTTGAACAAAACTTTTTTCACTTTAAGATTAATTAAAAAATTAAAAAACGCCTTCTCCCAATTAATTTACCTAAGTTCATCAAGTTCTTTAGTTAATCTTTTACATAATTCACTCGCTTTAGTAAGTCTGTGTTCAGCATCTTCAAGTTTAACAGTTAATTCTGCTTCTCTTTCAATTGTTAATGTTAATTCATTTGAACGTTCTAATAATTCAAATTTTAATCTTAAAAAATAAATATTTTTTTAAAAAATATCTCCCCCCTCCTTCCCTTAAATACCTATCCAATTCTTTTTTAAATTCCTTTTCTTTCTCCTCAGAAATATTTTCTGCCTGAATTCTTTCTTCTGCCAATTCTTCTTTTAATTTTATTAATTCTGTCCGTAATGTTTGTTCTTTTTGAATTCTAGATTCGGATTTAATTTCAATTTCATTTAATTTAGAATTAGCTATATTTAATTCTTTAATTAGTTCTTTCTGAAAAATTATAAATTAAAAAATTAATTTTTAAAAATATTTATTTTACTTTTTGTGTTTCTGCTTTTGTAAGTAATTTACTTTGTGCTTTCCAGTCTTTGTCTGCACGTTCAATATCTGAATGCCATTCTTCTCTTTCTTTTTTTAATCGTTTTTCAGAAGTTTTTAATTGTTCTGTTTAAAAATAAATGTCTTTGTTAAAATACATATGTAGCAATTTAAAAATATTAAGGGAGTGAAAAAAAGAGAAATAAATTCAAAAATTTAATTAATCAAAAAAAAATTAAAATTACCTTTAAGTGTTTCAATTTCTGCTTCAGTATCAACAAGTTTATTAGCCAATTCACGTCCTTCTCTACGAAGTTTTGTCGTTGTCTCTTCTGTATTTTTTAAAGCAATATACAATTGGGATTCTACATTAGATAAACGTGTTGAAGCTTCAAGCAATTCTCTAATAAAAATTTTTTAAATCAAAATTTAAAATTGATAATTTAATTACAGAATAGATATAACGTATTTACTCTATTAATTACCCTCCCTCAAATAATTACCCCACCTTTATTAGTTACCCCCTCCAGCGAAAGGTTGAAAAAATAATTACTCTCCTAAAACCAGTTATAATATAATTAGCCTTCATAAAATACTCTATTAATTACCAATAAAAAAATACTCTATTAATTACAGAGAATTGCTTGAAGCTTCAAGCAATTCAGGGTAATTAATAGAGTATATACGGTACTTAGTGTGTCGGTATTCTGTTTGACCCCTACATGAATTATTTAAAGTTTTTTCGAATAATATTTATGTAAATCCTAAAGCAGTCAAAACTTACTCATTTAATGCAATCTTTGATTCCTTTAATTCATTTGTTAATATTTGAATTGTTTGACGTTCTTTTTGTTCAGCAAATAATTGTTCCTCTAAATCGGTAATAGTTGTTTGATATTCGGTTATTTCTGTTTGAAATCTTTCATTATTTTCAGTTAATTTTATTAAATATTTATTTCTTTCATCAGACAATTGTGTGGAGAGATGGTTTAATTGCTTGAAAATTAAAAAAAAATTAAAAAATAAAATGTAATTGAAATAAAAATTAAAAATAATTTTTCAATTCAATTTCTTTATTATTTTTACCTCTTCCAAACTTTGAATTCTCATTTGTGATTTATCCATTTCTACTCTTTTAGTCTCCATTTTTTCACTCTCAATAGATTTATTAGCTCTTTCATTTTCTAATTCAGTTAAAAGCTCGAGACGTTCAGCAGCCCATTCAGACTCTCGGCGTTCTAATTGGAGTTTTGCTTCTCTAAATTGAAAATATTTAAATTTTATTAATTTTATTTTAATTATTTTTTCCACTAAACCTTTCAATATTTCTAAATTCTTTTTCACTTTTTAATCGTTCATTTGTTAATTCTTCTCTTGCTTGTGCTCGATATGCCTCTAAAGAAGAAAAAGATGCCCGGTCAATTGATAAACGTATAGCAATTATTAAATTATCAATAGAAGGGAGGTAATTATCAGAAGAAATTGAAGAAAAAGGATTTTCAATATTTTCATTATTTAAAGAAGGAATTGCCCATATTTTCTCTAATAATTCTTTTAAACGGTTTTCTGATAATTCTGCTCGAGTTTCTGCATCTTCATAGGAGGAAATTAACTAAAAATAAAATTAATATATTAATTTAATATTAAACAACAGAAAATTAAATTTTAGAGAAGATAAAATAAATTTAAAAAATTTTTAACGTAAATATTTACTTTTTGATTTTCTGCGCGCAAAATATTAATTTCCCTCTCTTTTGATTTTTCGACTTCATCAGTAAATGTATGTCGTTTCTATAAATGTATATTTTTATAATTTAACTAAAATTATATTTTTAAATAATTTATTAGGTACCTATATTTTAATTAAATATTTAATTTTAAATTAATTTTTATTCATTTATAATTCCCCAAAATTTACCAAAATCATTTCTCTTTTTAATTGTCTCATCAATGTTTCCATTCTTTCTCCAAATTCAGAGTTAACTTCTTTTAATTCCAATTTAGTATTTTCTCTTAGTTGATTAATTTTTCTTTTTAATTTAATAAATTCTTCAATTAATTCTTTTGTTTTTCTTTGAATAATTAATTCTTTTTTAGTTTTTTCCTGAAAAAAATTTTCTTCTTCTAATTTTGAGGAAAGAGATTGAGCAGTAAATAAATTTAAACGTTCCATCTGTTGCTCTAATGCAGTTAAACGATTCCTTTTTTTAAATAATTTTAATTAAATAATTATTTTTTTTTGTTACCTAAATTGTCTTTCTGGTATATTAATACTTTCATCTTCATTAAATATATTTCTAGAAAATTCATCTCCAGTAGATATGGCAAATGTACTAATTTGTTGTCTTCTATGTGAAGTACTGGGTCTTTCGGGAAGATGATATGTTGGGGCACTAAAAAATTTAATTAATAAAAAATTTCGAAGAATTTTTTAATATTTTAATTAAATTTAAAAAATATTTTATAATTTTAAATAATCCTTTCTTAAATTTATAACAAAATAATAAAAACTACAAACAATCTTTCAGAAGAATTTGGAGGTGAATGACTGCGTGGCAAACGAAATGGACTAGTAATTCTTCTTTCAAATTTTGATTGTTTTGTTCTTTCTAATCGGCATTGTGCCAATCTTTCCTGAACATTTGTTAACATTTCTCTTTGCTTTCTTTGTTCTCTAACTCCAGCTTCAATTCTTCTTCGAGTTAGCCAAAGTTCACCGGGAATTTGATGTAAATCAACGAGGGACTGGATTTGGTGGGGAATATTTTCATTTAAAGCACCGGATGTCCCCTCCATTTCTTCATTTTCTTCACCAAAATATAAACTAGGCACAGACATACCTCTTCCTTTTAATGATAGAGGTTTGTGATGCTGGGGAAAATTGAGAAATTTTAATTAAAATTTAAATTTATATTTTTTAAATTAAAAGAAGGGAGAAAAAACAAAAATATTTTTTAAATTTAAAACTACCTTTCTTCGTTTAACATAACTCGAACAGAATGCGGCTGCAACAGAAGGCGTAAATAACAACATCTGCCGTTGCCTCTGGCAGTAGTTGCAATTAGCAAAAGAAGGGGCATCCGGGTTTTCAAAATACTAATTGAAGAAAATAATTTTTAAATTGAAAAGAAAATGGGAAAATTATAGATAAATATGTATATTTAAATTTATTTAAAATTTTTAAAAATTTTTAAAAGAAGAGGATTTTTAATAAAAAATTTAAAGAAGGAAGTCCATTTCAAAGAAAAATTAAAAAGGAAAAGTGAGAGATTCGCGCACTTTTTGGCCATTTTTCTTGGCCTGGTTGCTATGACAATTTTATATTAAAATATATATGTATTTATTGGAAACAGTTGCAAAAAAATAAATAAAGTAAAAGTTTTGTATTTATTTTTAGTTATTTTTTGTTTAAATTAATTAGAAAATAATAATGAAGATGATTAAAAAAATATAAGATTCTAAATAAATAAAGAAGAGGAAAATAATTTTTAAAAAAATATTTAATTATTTAAATTCAACCTCAACAAATTTCCTTTCGCTTTTTAATTTTTTGTTATTTTTTAAAATAATAATATTAATTACAATTTGTTGTTTATTTAATAAATTGTAAATTTTAATAAAAAATAAAAAAAGAATTAAAAGGATTTTCCAAAGAAGATAAAGAATTTGTAAAATAAAAAATAAATTAATTAAATAAATTAAATAAATATTATTATTTATTTTTGTTGAAAGAATTATTAAATGAATAAGTGAAATAAAAAACATTTTTGGTTGTTTTTAAAATTTTTAATTGGATAATTAAAAAATTATTGAAATTGTAGTAATACATTATACCTTTAAATTAAAAATAATTTTTTAATAAATTTATAATAAGGGTTAGATAAATAAATTTTGAAGTTGGATTAATAAATTAAAAAATTGTTTACAGTAAAATATTTTACTTAAAATTAAATATGTAAATATTTAAATTTAAAAAATATATTCTTAAGAAAAAAACAAAAATAATTTTTTAAATAATAGCAATTTTTGTATAATTGCGTAAACTTTAAATATTTTCTCTCCATTATTCTTTTAAAAATTGTTTTGGTCTTTTTATTAGGAAAATAAAAAGCAAAAGGGTGGCAGCAATGACCAGAGCTGGGTCGATATTTTTGCCGGTTGGAAATTGTTTTGGATGGAGGTAGATGGAAATACTAGAATTGAGGGAAAGGGATATGTAGAAAAGGGAATAAAATGCATGGAAAGGAATGATGGAAAAGTATTTTGTTGAAAAAAAAGATTTTAATAAATTTGTCAAACTTTGATTTTTTAAATAAATATTTAAATAATTTCTTTTAAAAAAAGTGTGAGAAAGAATTTATCTGCTGAATTCAATAAATAATTAAGTGGATATTTCGTTAGTTAGCTTAATTAATTATTTGTATGTTTACTTCAAGTAATGCTAGCTCGATTCTTCCGCTCCTTCGATTATTTGATATATCGAGATATTTAATAACAATTTATTAAAAGATAAAAATAATCTCAAAAAAAAACTAATTTATATAAAAAACCAAAATAATTTCAAAAATTTATTTAAAAAAACAAAAATATTTTTTAACAATTATTTAAAACATTTTCCTTCTCTTCTAAAAATCTTCTTTCATTCTCTTCATTATTTTTAATATATTTTCTATTTGCAACAGCAATTTTAAAAGATGTTGGATGTAAATCTTGTTTTGTTTCTTTTAAAATCATTTCTTTAATTCTATCACGGAAATTGCTTGAACATAAAGTATATAATAGAGGATTTGCTGCTGAACAAGCTAATGTTAAAGCATTTAATAGAAGAACAAGTCCATAAGGAATGAAAAATGTTAAATTAAAGAGAGACCTTTTTTAAAAATAAATATTTATTTTTAATTAATTTAAATTACTTTGCCAAGAAAATTGCTTGAATTGGTGAATAACAAAGTAACTTTAAAAATAAATATTTTTTATTTTTATTTATTTTCTCAATTAATTACCTGTACAGCAACACACCCAATTAACAATCTAACAACTCTCCGTCTTGCATATATACGTTTATAAGTATTTTTGTCAAGTAAAAATACTTCTTTAGATAAACTTGAAAAAGAGCCGGTTGTTGGGTTTTTTAAAGTTAAAAATAATTGAGAATACAACAAAACACAACAAATAGCTGGAGTAAAGAAAAATAAAATAAATTCAGCCCATTTATAAATAATCCAAGAACGGCGACTTGACCAAGGATTTATACAAATTGCTAAAAAAATACTTTTTTTTGGATTTTTTTAAAAAATTTACTTAAATGTTCATTATTATTATTTTCTGACAAATTAATAAATAAATTAATTCTTCTATTAAATAATATATTTGGAAGAGAAAATAATAAAACAAAAATCCAAATAATTATAAGTGAATAAATAGCCTTTTTATTTGAACATAATCTACGTGCTTGAAGAGGATAACAAATTGCAATAAATCTTTTTTTAAATTAATTTTTAAATATTTAACTAACAAAAAAACCTTTCAATACAAACAATTAATTGACTTAAAATTGAAGCAAAAAGGAAAACACATTCAAAATATCTAATTAAAGGGCAACCCCAACGCCAATTTATAGGCCAATGGGGACGACCAATCCAAAGAGTTGGGGCCCATTCTAACGAAGTTAAAGCTAAATTAAATAAATCAGCCAATGCCTTTAAAAAATAAAATTATTTAAAATAAATATTTTTTAATTAACTAAATTAATTAGCATTAAATTCATTGCAGATTTACACATTTTTTTATTTCCAATTACGGCACCAATAACTAAACTATTCCCAAATAAACCACCAAAAGATAATAAAATAAAGAAAAATAATAAAATTGGGCTTAACCATGTTGAGAATTTTTCGACAAAAAATAAAGAGGAGGAAGACATTAAAAGTTTTAACTTTTTTTTTATTTTTTATTTTAATAAAATAACTTTCTTTAAATATTGTAACTTACTTGAAAAATTAAATTAATTTAGAAAATTTAAATGAAAAAGAGAGAATGTGTTTATAAAATAATAATAAAATAAAACAAATTTAATTTAAAAAAAATAAGAATATACACAAAATAAATAATAAAAATAAAAATTAATTGAAATAACTCTCGAAATTTAAAAAATACATACAAAGGATTTTTAATGAATTTACTTAAAAATAAATATTTTATTTTAAATTTAAAAAGTTATTTTTATTTAATTTTAGACATTATTCAATATATCTATTTTTTAATAAAATAAAATTAAATAAATATTTAAATATTTTTTAGTGCACTAAATGCCATTTTATTGTTCTAAATGTCAAGAAATATTAAAAAATAAATAGAAAAATCATTGATGGGTAAAAAAAGAAAGAAAAAATTTAGAAAAGAATAAATTTAAATTTTACAAATTTTGTTAGAATATTTTGAGAGAATATTTAAATTTATAATTTAAATAAATAAAGAGAGGGAATTGACATAAAAAAGTATCGAAAATTAAATAATATTTTTAAACTTAAAAAAATAAAAATTTATAGGAGAAAAGTTAAATTAATTAGGAGTTAATTTAAATAAATATTAATTTAATTTTAAAGTAAAAAAATGAAAAAAATTAATTTAATTTAATAAAAAATACCAAACTTTTTAATTAAAATATAAAAAATTGATTTAATAAATATTTTATTTGTTTAGCTAAAAATACAGAAAAAAAATAATTTTATAAAAAAATTTATTATAAAGGGCAGATGATAATGAAGCGAATTAAAAAAGAAATAAAAGTACAATTAAAATACTTTATGTAAATATATTTAAATATTTTTTTAAATAACGAATAAATTCATATCAAATTTCAAAATGAATATTTAAAGAAAAGTAAAAGAATTTTTTTAGTTTTAATTTACTCTCTAAATGTTAAATATTGGTCTCGAGTTCTTGAATTTATTTATTACACAAAATAATATCAAAAAATAATATCTCCCCTTTATTTCAATATAATAATTGAGGACATTATAATAGTAAAGAATTAAATTAATTTAAAAAGGAAGCTAATACGAGTGACGTCATTTTCACTGCTAACCACAATTTCAATTTTATTAATCCAAAAATGCAACAAAACACTTTAAATCGAGCGCTTCAACTAAATAAAAAGAATATAGAGGAAAGCACGTCATCATTTGAAAAGTTATTTTAACAGGTTTTATAGTAAGTTTAAAAGGAAATTCTTTGATTGGATTTGTAAAAAATAACAAAAATTTGGTCTGAGAAACTTTTTTGGTAAAGTATGAAAATGACAGTTGGACACATTCTCTCCTAAATAAAATGAAAAACGAAGTTAATTGTTAACTGAAGTACCCAGATGTTTTTAATCATTAAAATTGGGTCTTGGGTAATAATAAAGAAATAAAGATTATAAATTATTATTTACCGTTTTGTTCAACCACAATTTGGAAAAACTCTTTTTTCGTTAAAATCCCAGATATCTATAGAAAACTCCCTACAGATATTCAAAAAGCATCCACCGATCTGTTTTCTAAGCTCTTAAACTCCTTCGATCTATCCTACATTTTTGACAAAAATTTATCATAGTAAAATTATTTATCCCCAGACCATCAAATACAAATGATTCACTTATATTTAAAAAAATAAAATGTCACGTAATAAAATGTCACGTATTTTATTGCGTATAAATTGAATTGAATTATTTAATCTAATTTTTGAGATAAATTTTGTTTTACTTTTTTGTATTTAAATTTGATTATTTAACAAAATAATTCTTTGGAAATATATTTTTTATTTAATAAATTAGACAAGAACAGATATTTAAGGAAGAGATTTACTATGTCCGCCAACTTTAATTTAAAAGGATTAAATAAGGGTTAGAAAATAAATATATGTAAATCTCTAAAATTTATTTATTGATGCGTAATAATAAATTGGATAGAAAAAAATAAATAAAAACTTTTTTAAAAATAAATAGTAGAAACTTGTTGTTATTTAATTGCAATTATTAAATCCCTTAAAAGGACTTTAACTAAGTAAATTAATTTAAAAAAAGAGTTTTTGTTTTATAACAATTAAAGCAACATCCTTTTATCAAATAATATATAAATATATTTATTTATTTATTTATCAACCTCCATTAAAAGTTTTTTTAAAAATAATATTTCAAATATTCTTAATGTATTCCTCCAAATTTTTATTATTTTTGTATTTATTTATAAAACAATCAAGTATTTCTAATCAAAATAATTCAGGTTATTAATTTAAAAATAAATATTTAATTAAATAATTTTATTTAATTCAAATATAAATATAAATTTAATTATAGTAATTTAATAAAATTGTGTTAATTAGCAACTGAGAATAAATATATCTTTTATTTATTTATTTATTTATTTATTTATTTATTTACACCACTAGGGTGTGTCGGTCAAAAATAAAACAATTTAAAACGATTTGAAATTAAATAAAAAATAAAATTTAAATTGAAATGTGCCTAAAAAACTTAAAAATCAAAGCAGCTAAAAATAAATAAAAATTATATGTATCATTTGTCATTTAAAAACGTAGAAATATCCAACTGTGCAAGAAGTTTAGAAAACGTTTGTGGTGTATTTTTCCTAATTTCTATGGGAATAAGTGAATAAATTCTGGCAGTTCGGATAAAAAAGGAATTGTACCGAATCATGGTTGAACAACGTGTTGGTTGTATTTTATATTTTTCACCCCTTGTTTTTGTTTGTTTTATTGAATAGGAGTTATTATGGTTAATTTTTATTTTCCCGAATATATTTTGATGGAATAGCTTTAAATCAGCTTTAAGTCTACGGCTTTCAAGGGATTCAACTTTAAAATGTTGTAAAAGTGTTTTGTATGTCGGAATATCTTCTATTTTTACCTTTGTAGTTCTTTTATAAACAAATCTTAAATATCGTTTTTGTATGTTTTCTATTAGTTTAATATTTTTCTTAGTTAAAGAATTCCAAACCGGTGACCCAAATTCTAATATTGACCTCACGTATATATTAAACGCTTCTATAAGAATTTTAGGATCTTGTGATTTGAGAGATTTAATTAGTGTAAAGCAATTTCTATTTGCCCTTAAAGATATTGTTTGAATATGTTTATTAAACTTGAACTTAGAAGTGAAGAAAATTCCAAGATCACGATTCTTGTCTTCATTGCTTATTTGGAATATCTTGTGATTTCCTATAAAATATTCTTTTTTAGGGTTTGATTTGCCTATATATAAAACTGAGCATTTGTTTAATGATATGTTTAAACCGTTGTTGTTACAATATTGAGTGAATTTATTAATAAATAATTGTAAAGAGTCGTTAGTTAAGTCAGTTTTTTGTAAAATTTGATAGGCTTTAATGTCATCGGCAAATAATTTTATTTTTATTCCTGGTATATTACAGAATGTTGGCAGGTCTGATAAGTAGATGTTAAAAAGAAGGGGGCCTAAAATGGATCCTTGTGGAACTCCGCTACTAATAGAGAATTGTTCAGAAAATTCATTTCCTATCTTAACAACAGATTTTCGATTGTGTAAGTAATTGGAAATCCATTTTAAAAGTGAAGATTCAATTCCGATTACTTTTAATTTAATTAAAAGACGTTCATGAGGTATAGAATCAAAAGCTTTAGCTAGATCAAAATAAACTATATTAATTAAATTTTTATTATCCAGTGCATATGATATATCATCTTGAACTTCAATTAGTTGGGTAGTTACAGATTTGTTAAGTCTGAATCCATGCTGACAATCTGGTAATATACCATTTTGTTCAGCATAAATAGATATATGATTTGCAATAATTTGTTCAATTACCTTTGTAATTGAACATAGTAATGAAATTGGACGAAATTCTTCTATTTTGGATGTTTTTAATGTTTTCGGTATTGGTATTATTATGCTTTGCTTCCATATTTCAGGAAGTGTTGAAGTCATTAAAGAATAAGAAAAAATATAATATAAAGGATAATAGAGACTTTTAGCACATTTTTTAAGGAATATACATGGTATGGAGTCATAAGATGAATTTGTTTTTTCAGGTAGTTTAGAGATAAGATCAAAGATTTGATGTTCATTTATGATAACTGATTTACATGTATTATGGTTAGTTATAGAGTTTAGGTCTGTATTATCGAATGAATTTTTGTTAAATACAGAGCTAAATTGGGTACTTAGCATATGTGCTATTTTATTATCAGCGTATACTAATTGATTATTTGTATCCAAAATGGAAGTTATTTTCCTGTTTTTTGATTTAAGAAATGAAGATATGTATGAGAATTTTTGACTGACTGTTTGCGTTTTATGCTTTTCCCTATTTTTTAGAAATTTGTTAGTTTCAGAATCTATTCTTTTTGATATATAGGAGATTTTTCGTGTAAGCTCTGGCGTAGCTTTTTGATTCCAAAGATTTTTTAAATATAAGATCATTTTTTGAATGTGTTCAGGTTTTTTGAGATTGTTAGACTTGACTTTAGATTCAGGAACATAGGAACAGATAGCATTATGTATAATCGATTGGAAAGTGAAATATAGTTGATTTATATCAGAGCATTGTGTGAATACTATATTCCAGTTTATTTTAGAAAAATATGCATTAATTATTTCATAGTTAGCTTTACGAAAATTTGGGTATTTATAAGAATTTTCTTGGCAGTTGTTAGTAAACGATATTTTAAATTCAATTGTATTGTGGTCTGACTTACTTATTGGTGGATTGATTGTTATTTCTTTATTATCTTGGGTAATAATAAAGAAATAAAGATTATAAATTATTATTTACCGTTTTGTTCAACCACAATTTGGAAAAACTCTTTTTTCGTTAAAATCCCAGATATCTATAGAAAACTCCCTACAGATATTCAAAAAGCATCCACCGATCTGTTTTCTAAGCTCTTAAACTCCTTCGATCTATCCTACATTTTTGACAAAAATTTATCATAGTAAAATTATTTATCCCCAGACCATCAAATACAAATGATTCACTTATATTTAAAAAAATAAAATGTCACGTAATAAAATGTCACGTATTTTATTGCGTATAAATTGAATTGAATTATTTAATCTAATTTTTGAGATAAATTTTGTTTTACTTTTTTGTATTTAAATTTGATTATTTAACAAAATAATTCTTTGGAAATATATTTTTTATTTAATAAATTAGACAAGAACAGATATTTAAGGAAGAGATTTACTATGTCCGCCAACTTTAATTTAAAAGGATTAAATAAGGGTTAGAAAATAAATATATGTAAATCTCTAAAATTTATTTATTGATGCGTAATAATAAATTGGATAGAAAAAAATAAATAAAAACTTTTTTAAAAATAAATAGTAGAAACTTGTTGTTATTTAATTGCAATTATTAAATCCCTTAAAAGGACTTTAACTAAGTAAATTAATTTAAAAAAAGAGTTTTTGTTTTATAACAATTAAAGCAACATCCTTTTATCAAATAATATATAAATATATTTATTTATTTATTTATCAACCTCCATTAAAAGTTTTTTTAAAAATAATATTTCAAATATTCTTAATGTATTCCTCCAAATTTTTATTATTTTTGTATTTATTTATAAAACAATCAAGTATTTCTAATCAAAATAATTCAGGTTATTAATTTAAAAGTATTTTTTTAATTTAAAAATAAATATTTAATTAAATAATTTTATTAAATATTTAATTCAAATATAAATATAAATTTTATTATAGTAATTTAATAAAATTGTGTTAATTAGCAACTGAGAATATACCCGAATTTATTGTTTTTGATTTTAAATAATTTTTAATTTATTGAAAAACAAAAAAATTAAATTACATTTGGTTAAATTATAAATATTTATTGGAAAATACAATCTGTAAATCAAAGAAAAATTTAAAAAAAAAACTTTAAAAAACATCTAATGAATAAAATTAAATTTTTTTAATTTTTAGAAATTAAAAAGAATAAAGCTGCCCATAATTTATTTAACTCTGCAGAACAGACTTTTAGACGATGGAAAAGAAGTGGTTTTCCTATGGTTGCACCACCACTTATATTGTTCCCTCCAGCACCTGTCCCTGTACCTGCACAGGCACCTGCACCTGTACCTGCTAATTTGTAAATAATTTTTTTGTTTTTTAAATAAATATTTTTATAATAAAAAATTAATTTATTAAAATAAAATTAAAATTTTTTCTTTTTAATTAATTCCCATAAAATTTTTATTCCTTTAAAGTCAGCCAGTGCAAAGTCCACAATCGTTTCAAGAACCTCAACCTGTTGGTAACGATTAGTAAGTAATTTATTTTAAATTAATATGTGAAGGCAATTATAATTAAAAATACACATTCTTTATTTAAGTAATAATCAACCAGAGCAGCCACAATATCAAGAATCTAATCAACAAACTTATCAAGAACAACCTCAACAGAATTTCCAAGAACAACCTCAGCAGACTTTCCAAGAACAACCTCAACAAACCTTCCAAGAACAACCTCAAGAAACTGTTCAAGAACAGCCTCAGCAAACCTTCCAGGAACAACCTCAAGAACAACCACAGCCTCAACAGGAACCAGAAACACAACCTCAACAAGAACCACAAACTCAAGAACAATTTCAACCTGAACCGGCTGGCGAAACACCTTTAGCTTTCCCACCACCTTCGCCCGAAAACCAAGAACCCCCTCCACCACCACCTCAACCTGAAGAACAACCATTTGGTTATAAATATATGTTTCTGTTTAAAATATCAATTAGACAATTTAGAACCCCCAATAACTACAATACCTCCTCAACAAGAAGTTGAACCAATCCAACCTCCTACAATTGAACCACCTTCACCACCACCTCCGGAAGAAACATCTCCACCATCCACTACTCTCCCAACACCAACAACAGAATCAGCTGCTGCTATTTGTGCTCGTAATGGTCTTCTTCGTTATCCTCTTCCAGAATGTTATACAAATGATGATAAAATGATGTGTTGTAATCCTGAAGTATTTACATTTAAATATGTATATTCATTTAATTTTTTTATTTAATTCAGTTGGAAGATACAATGAAAGACGCTTATAAAACTCTAGTTCGTGAAAAGGGAAATTCAACATTTCACAGGTAAATTGTAAGGAAGAAGAATGGAGATCCAGCTGGTATTAGCATTTAAAATGTTTAGGCAGAGGTTCAAGATCTATTAAAGAAGAAAGCTTAAAGCAGCGCCCCGATAACCAATTCGATAGGCAATTTACAAATCTCTTACTAAATAAAATACAAATATTAATTTTATTTTTAATTTTCAGATGTAATCTTCAAATGATGGCCAATAAAATTCAGGAAATGTCTGAAGCAAAATTTAAAACCAATTTTGAAGTAATTACTGGAATTAGTGATTTTGCTAGTAAAAGCCATTTTTTTCAAAATTATATTTGTAAAATACATAGAGAAGGAAGGTAATATATTAATTAAATAAATACTAAATTAACATATAAATAGAGTTATTTTGGTTTATGCAACACCAAAACATGATAGAGATTCTATTCCATCTAATGTTGAAGGAGAGACTGGTATAGAAAGAGTCGGTACTTATCCTTTATGCAACACCCCTTAATATTTAATGAGGTGTGCTAGTTTTCAAATTAAGGTCAATCAAGGTCTTCTATTAAATTTGGACTAAATGTCCGGTTGGTCTTGGTGATTAATGATTTGATGCCGTTATTTATTGAAATATACCTGTTTAAAAACAGGCTAACCACCGGTATACTATACTACAGCCTAAAAACAAACTATCCGACATAAATAATGATCTTAATTCTATCGACACCTTCATATTTGATTGGCCTAGTTTACCTGTTGAAATTCGTTTAATCTCGCTAATTTTTATCCGGTCGACTCAATTCTTTTTTGTTATCACCCAAAATTGGAAATAATAGAGGGGGTTTGGCATAAAGGATAAAGATATTTGTTTAAAAAATAAATAAATTATTTTAGGATTATCATTAAATGAAATGATTAAACATTCAAAGAGTATTGAAAATAGATTGCAAAAATTTGGAAAGAAAGGGAATAATAACCTTTCTGGTGAAGAAAATAATTTTAAAAAATTTGGAGAAAATAATAACAAAGAAAATGAGGAATTAAATAATTTAAATGAATATTCCCCTTCTTCAAAATCTGATAAAAACGAAGATATTTATGGAATAATACAAACTTTAACAACAACTACTGTTGGTTATGGATCAAAAAATGAGGAAATTGTTGCAGCCCCAATAGAGCAACAAACCCCTCCAACCTCTTTAAATAATAAAGGTATTTAAATTTCAAACTCGTATAATTACCCTCCCTCGATTAATTACCCCCTACAGTGGAAGGTCGAAGCAATGATTACCCAGGGTAGTTATTAAAGGGTATTTATTTTAAATATTAATTTATAAATAATTTTTAAAAAAGAATATTCAAATGAAAGAAATGTTAAAGAGGATGAGGAAGTAGAAGAATCATTAGAAAAAACAAATAATAATAAAGACGATGAAGATCATGAGGCAGTAATTCATGGAAAAAAGAAAACGGATGGAAATATTTTAAATAAAAAATTAATTGCTATTAAATAAAAATTAATATACATTATTATTATTTATTTTATTTATTTAAAATTTAAATAAAAAATTCATTTTATTTTAACTTTTAAATAGGATATTTTAAATATTTCTTTAAATTCAATTAAATGTCAGTTATCTCCACCCCCCCCCCCACTTTCCTTTTCTTTTTCCTTCATTTTTGGCATATTTATAATTTAACAACTCATTTAAAGTATTCGACGAGCTGAGTTTTTAGAAGATTTAATCATTTGCTTTAATCCTTTACATGGTTAAAACGAAGTTTTATTAGGTTTTAAAATTAAATTAATTTAAAATTTTTTATTTGGCTAAAAGTAAAAAATTATATTTTTTTGTTTCCTTTCAGTAATTTTATTTGAGTAATTCGAAGGTATTGTTAAAAGAAAAGAGAAAAAAGGATTCTAACATAAATAATTCCAAAATAATTATTTAATTTATTGAGGCATAAAAAATAAGTGAAAAGAAAAAAAACATTTTAAAAAAAACTTGTTATAAATAATTTTAATTAAATATTTATTTTTAATATTATGATGAGATTTGAAAATATTTTTCTTCTTTTTAAGAAAAAGAGAGAACAAAGAATTAATCCAAAAATAAAATATTTTCTGGGCAAAAACTCTTTTTTAAAAAAGGCTTAAAGATAATTTGTGTAAAAGTAAAATTTGGATTTGTTACCTAATGAGGTGGGACTATTTTACCTAATACTAATTTATTTAGCTAATGTGTGTTAACATATAAAACAAATTATACTTTCTAATTTCTCTCCATATTTATTTTTATTAAATTTTTTTACTTTTATTTTAAATAAATAAATGTATTATTTTAAATATTTATTATTTTTATATTTATTTTTAAATTTATATGGAATTTCTGAACAGAAAAATTATACAGGTTTGAGAGAAAAAAAAGAATTTAATTAAAATTATTAGTAGCCTTTTCTAGTGCTAGATAAAATAAAAAAGAATTTATTTACCTATTTATTAAAAATTTTTTTAAATTATTTCAGAAATTAGAAATGCCAAATTTCTCTACTACATCTTTAACTCGACCGATCAAATAATTAAAAGGAAGAAAAGAGTTGGCTTTCCTCCTTTTGTTCCACCTATTCCTCCAGCTCCACCTGTATTTCCTCCAGCTCCACCTGTTCCACCTTTATTAGTTCCTCCAGCTCCACCTGTAGGGCTAGCGGCTGGATTATCTGCGTCAGCATCTGCTCAAGCAAATGCAGCAGCATCTGCTGCATTGAATGCTGCAGCATCTGCTCAAGCGAATGCAGCAGCATCTGCTGCAGCGAATGCAGCAGCATCTGCTCAAGCGAACGCAGCAGCATCTGTTGCAGCGAATGCAGCAGCATCTTTATCGGCGGCCGCGGCTACAAATCTGTAAGCAAATATTAATAAATTAAAAAATAATATACATACTAACTTATTTTTATTTGATTTTAATCAAATATTTTTTTAATCTTTTGCTATCCAAACCAGAGATGAGCTGGGTTGAGAAAAAAGTGGGATTATATTAGAAGAACATGATATATCACTACTAACTTTCGATTGAATTGTTTTAGTAAAAATGCCAACATTAAAAGTTAAACCTAAAAAGTTAGTCTTAACAATTAGGTATCCTGCTGAATTTTGTTTAACCTAAAAGACATATTAGAAAAACCTGAAAACTAAATTGTAAAATTTTATTAAGTAACTTCCAACCAGTAAAGCCTCAACAACCATTTCAGTTGTTCCCTCCAGCACCTGTAGCTGCACAGTAAGGTTGGCGGATAGTTGGAAATCTTCGGATATCCGGAACCGATATCTGAACCGAAAATTTCGGATATCCGGCCTTTTTTCGGATCCGGATGTCCGGATCCGCCAACCTTACTGCACAGGCGCCAGCTAATTTGTAATTATTTAATAAATATTTTTATAATAAAAGAATTAATCAAATTAAATTAATTGAGAATTCCTTATATTATATTTATAAAAAAAAAGTCCTTTAAAGTCAACCAGTGCAAAGTCCACAATCGTTACAAGGACCTCAGCCTGCTGATAACTATTTGTAAGTAATTTATTTTTAATTAATAAATATGTGAAAGCAATTATAATTAAAAATATTTTTCATTTAAGTAATAATCAACCAGAGCAGCCACAATTTCAAGAATCTAATCAGCAAAGTTTCCAAGAATCTAATCAGCAAAGTTTCCAAGAATCTAATCAGCAAAGTTTCCAAGAATCTAATCAACAAACTTTCCAAGAATCTAATCAGCAAAGTTTCCAAGAATCTAATCAGCAAAGTTTCCAAGAATCTAATCAGCAAAGTTTCCAAGAATCTAATCAGCAAAGTTTCCAAGAATCTAATCAGCAAAGTTTCCAAGAATCTAATCAACAAACTTTCCAAGAACAACCTCAGCAAACCTTCCAAGAACAGCCGCAAGAAACTTTCCAAGAACAACCTCAAGAAGCTTTCCAAGAACAATCTCAACAGACCTTCCCAGAACAACCTCAAGAACAACCACAGCCTCAACAGGAACCAGAAACTGAACAACAATTTCAACCAGAACCAGTTCAACCTGAAATGGCCGGTGAAGCACCCTTAGCTCTCCCACCACCTTCGCCCGAAAACCAAGAACCCCCTCCACCACCACCTCAACCCGAGGAACAACCATTTGGTTATAAATATATGCTTACTGTTTGAAATATTAATTAGACAATTTAGAACCCCCAATAACTACAATACCAACCCCACAACAAGTTGAAACAATCCAGCCTCCTACAATTGAACCACCTTCACCACCACCTCCGGAAACAACATCTCCACCATTGTTGAAAATGGTGGAGAAAAACAGAACCAGTTCCAACACCAACAACAGAACCAACAACCAGTTCCAACACAAACAACAGAACCAGCAACCAGTTCCAACGCTAACAACAACAGACAGACCAAATTCTCCAGGCCACCTTCTCCACCCCCTCCGGAAACAACATCTCCACCATCCACTACTCTTCCAACACCAACAACAGAATCAGCTGCTGCTATTTGTGCTCGTAATGGTCTTCTTCGTTATCCTCTTCCAGAATGTTATACAAATGATGATAAAATGATGTGTTGTAATCCTGAAGTATTTACATTTAAATATGTATATTCATTTAATTTTTTTATTTAATTCAGTTGGAAGATACAATGAAAGACGCTTATAAAACTCTAGTTCGTGAAAAGGGAAATTCAACATTTCACAGGTAAATTGTAAGGAAGAAGAATGGAGATCCAGCTGGTATTAGCATTTAAAATGTTTAGGCAGAGGTTCAAGATCTATTAAAGAAGAAAGCTTAAAGCAGCGCCCCGATAACCAATTCGATAGGCAATTTACAAATCTCTTACTAAATAAAATACAAATATTAATTTTATTTTTAATTTTCAGATGTAATCTTCAAATGATGGCCAATAAAATTCAAGAAATGTCCGAAGCAAAATTTAAAACAAATTTTGAAGTAATTACCGGAATTAGTGATTTTGCTAGTAAAAGCCATTTTTTTCAAAATTATATTTGTAAAATACATAGAGAAGGAAGGTAATATATTAATTAAATAAATACTAAATTAACATATAAATAGAGTTATTTTGGTTTATGCAACACCAAAACATGATAGAGATTCCATCCCATCAAATGTTGAAGGAGAGACTGGTATAGGAAGAATCTGTACTTATCCTTTATGCAAACCCCTTAATGGAATGTGTTAGTTTCAATAAATTTAGAGCGTGTGAATTAAATTAAGGTCTTCTATTAAATTTAGACCAAATGTTCGGTGGCCTTGGTTAAAGTTAGTAATCTTAAGATTTGCGTAATATAATGATCTGATGCTGTTATTTGATTGAAATATACCTATTTAAAAACAGGATAACCACCGGTATACTATACTACAGCCTAAAAACAAACTATCCGAAATAAATAATAATCTTAATTCGATCAACACCTTCATATTTGATTGGTTTAGTTAACCTGTTAAATTCGTTTAATCTCGCTAATTTTTATCCTATCAATTCCCCTCTTTTTTGTTATCACACAAAATTGGAAATAATAGAGGGCATAAAGGATAAGTAAAGAATATTTGTTTAAATATTTTTAAAGAAAATTATTTTAGGATTATCATTAAGTGAAATGATTAAACATAGTAAGAGATTGCAAAAATTTGGAAAGAAAGGGAATAATAACCTTTCTGGTGAAGAAAATAATTTTAAAAAATTTGGAGAAAATAATAACAAAGAAAATGAGGAATTAAATAATTTAAATGAATATTCCCCTTCTTCAAAATCTGATAAAAACGAAGATATTTATGGAATAATACAAACTTTAACAACAACTACTGTTGGTTATGGATCAAAAAATGAGGAAATTGTTGCAGCCCCAATAGAGCAACAAACCCCTCCAACCTCTTTAAATAATAAAGGTATTTAAATTTCAAACTCGTATAATTACCCTCCCTCGATTAATTACCCCCTACAGTGGAAGGTCGAAGCAATGATTACCCAGGGTAGTTATTAAAGGGTATTTATTTTAAATATTAATTTATAAATAATTTTTAAAAAAGAATATTCAAATGAAAGAAATGTTAAAGAGGATGAGGAAGTAGAAGAATCATTAGAAAAAACAAATAATAATAAAGACGATGAAGATCATGAGGCAGTAATTCATGGAAAAAAGAAAACGGATGGAAATATTTTAAATAAAAAATTAATTGCTATTAAATAAAAATTAATATACATTATTATTATTTATTTTATTTATTTAAAATTTAAATAAAAAATTCATTTTATTTTAACTTTTAAATAGGATATTTTAAATATTTCTTTAAATTCAATTAAATGTCAGTTATCTCCACCCCCCCCCCCCCACTTTCCTTTTCTTTTTCCTTCATTTTTGGCATATTTATAATTTAACAACTCATTTAAAGTATTCGACGAGCTGAGTTTTTAGAAGATTTAATCATTTGCTTTAATCCTTTACATGGTTAAAACGAAGTTTTATTAGGTTTTAAAATTAAATTAATTTAAAATTTTTTATTTGGCTAAAAGTAAAAAATTATATTTTTTTGTTTCCTTTCAGTAATTTTATTTGAGTAATTCGAAGGTATTGTTAAAAGAAAAGAGAAAAAAGGATTCTAACATAAATAATTCCAAAATAATTATTTAATTTATTGAGGCATAAAAAATAAGTGAAAAGAAAAAAAACATTTTAAAAAAAACTTGTTATAAATAATTTTAATTAAATATTTATTTTTAATATTATGATGAGATTTGAAAATATTTTTCTTCTTTTTAAGAAAAAGAGAGAACAAAGAATTAATCCAAAAATAAAATATTTTCTGGGCAAAAACTCTTTTTTAAAAAAGGCTTAAAGATAATTTGTGTAAAAGTAAAATTTGGATTTGTTACCTAATGAGGTGGGACTATTTTACCTAATACTAATTTATTTAGCTAATGTGTGTTAACATATAAAACAAATTATACTTTCTAATTTCTCTCCATATTTATTTTTATTAAATTTTTTTACTTTTATTTTAAATAAATAAATGTATTATTTTAAATATTTATTATTTTTATATTTATTTTTAAATTTATATGGAATTTCTGAACAGAAAAATTATACAGGTTTGAGAGAAAAAAAAGAATTTAATTAAAATTATTAGTAGCCTTTTCTAGTGCTAGATAAAATAAAAAAGAATTTATTTACTTATTCCCTTAAACAATATTTCAGAAATTAAAAATGCCAAATTTCTCTACTACATTTTTAACTCGACCGATCAAATAATTAAGAGGAATAAAAGAGTTGGCTTTCCTTTTGTTCCCCCTTTATTTGTTCCACCATCTGGGGGGCCAGCGGCTGCATCATCTGCATCAGCCGCGGCAGCATCGGCCGCGGCAGCTACAAATTTGTAAGCAAATATTAATAAATTAAAAAATATTAGAATAACCTAAAGTCTAAATTGTAAACTTTTATTAAGCAACTTCCAACCAGTACAACCTCAACAATTTGAGCAGTTCAACCAGCAATCGTTTCAAGAACAATTCCCAGAGCCCCAGCCAGAATTTGAACAGCAACCACAACAATTTCAGTCTGAATCACAATCTCAATTCCAATCACAGTCCCAATCGCAATCTCAGTCCCAGCCTCAATCCCAGTCACAATCTCAGTCTCAATCACAGTCTCAGTCACAATCGCAGTCGCAATCCCAGTCGCAGTCTCAATCCCAATCTCAGTCACAAGCACAGTCACAGTCGTCATCGGCAGGAGAATCGCCTTCAGACTTCAATCCTTCTGACTATCAATCTCCATACGAAGAACCACTTCCATATCCGCCTGAAGAACAGCCATTCGGTTATATTTATTGAATATAAAGAGAAGTTTTTTTCCTTTTTAGAACCACCATTTCTCGCACAAGAACAACAAGTTCCACCGCCAGTCCAACCTCCTCCAGCCCAACAAGCTCCACCGCCAGTCCAACCTCCTTCAGCCCAACAAGCTTCAATCCAATCTTCTTCGCCTCCTCCACAAACATCAATGCCTCCCGCAACAACGACAGCACAGACTTCAACAAGACCAAAATCAACAGAATTTGGAAATATTCGTTATCCCCTTCCAGAATGTTATACAAATGATGATAAAATGATGTGTTGTAATTCTAAGGTTAAGTTTATTACTTTATAATAATTATTATTAATTGTTCTAGCTTGAAGACACGATGAGAGATGCTTATAAAGAATTGCTTCAAGAAAAGGGAGAGGATATATTTCATAGGTAAATAAATAATGAATTTAATTGGATTTAAATATTTTTAGAAGTAATCTTCAAAAAATAACAAATAGAGTTCAAGCTTTGACTGAAGCAAAATTTAATACAACATCTGAAGTAATTACTGCTATTAGCGATTTTGCTAGTAAAAGTCATTTTTGGAGTAACCATATTTGTAAAATACACAGAGATGGAAGGTAATAATTAATTAATTATTTTTAAATAAATATATTTAAATTTCTAGATATATTTTGGTTTATGCAACTCCAAAACATGGAAGGGTTAATTATAAAATTGGTAGTGAAAAGGAGAATGAAGGTAGGGGTATTTAATAATTTAAAAATTAAAATAAAATAAATTTTCTATTAGATGTTTGTTTAAAAAAAGAAGCTAAAGAAGGATATAATAATTTAGTAGAGCCTTCTCCTCCTCCTTATTCTACCCCTTCAATTTCTCCCGTAAGTTATGAAATACATTCAGTAAATGAAGATATTTATGGTGGAAGGGGGAAAGAAATATTAAATAATTTTTCTACAACTTTTGGATATACTAATTTTGAAAGAACATCAACAGAAGGTTATTCACCTTCAATTTCCCCATTAAATTATAAATTTTCTACAAAAACAATAAAAACAGATTTTATTTAAAATTTTAATTAAAAATTAAAGAAGTTGAATCTGAGGAAAGTAAAGAAGAGGAAAAGGAAGATGAGGGAGAAAGTAAAGGAAGTAAAGAAGAAAAAGAAGAATCATTAGAACAATCAAATAATTTAAGTGAAGAAAGTAATATAGATGAAGATCATGAGGCAGAAATTCAAGGAAATAAGAAAAATAATGGAAATAATAATAATAGTAGTAGTGCTTTAAATATGACAAGTGTTTTTAGAAAAAGGCAACATTAAATTAATGTTTAATTTCTTTTAATTTATTAAAATTTTTGAAAAAATAAATTATTTTTAAATGAAAAAAGAATAAATATTTAATTGAAATAAATGACTAGAGAAAAAAATAAAAATAAATATAGGTACCCATTAAAAATTAATTTTCTTCATCATTCTTTTTAAATTTTTCAATTAATAAATCGGATTTATCACAACTATTATCCCACCTATAAATTTAAAATTAAATTTAATATTTAAATTTAATTTTAACCATTCATTAACGGGGGCTGGAAGTGTAATTATTGGGCGTGGATGCATTTGTGTTAATTTGCATATCTGGCAAACACCAAAAAGTTTTTCTGCTCTAGGATCAGTATCTCCATTTAATTTAATTGAAACATAATCATATCTCCACAATAAATATTTCCTTTAAATTAAAAAAATTGTTAACTAATTTTCCCTCCTTCACTTATATTTGAAAAAATTTAAAATTTAAACTAGGGATGTGTCGGGGTACGGGGTTTTCGAATTGTTTCGGGAACGGGGTACGTGGTGCAACTCTGATTTAAATTAAACACATACATATATTCTTGTGGTGTATTAATTAAAGTTTTTAAATGATGTGTAAATTCTTGAATACTTTTATAATCATCAACAGCAATAAAAGAGAAAGGAGGAAGTAAATGTTGAACTAAACTTCTTTTCAAAACAATAGGAACAGAAAAAGTACTCAATCCTTGATCCCAAATTTTTTCAGTTAAATAATCTTTACATATACTATTCTCTGCAGCAAAATAAAACCAATAACTTTAAAAAGAAATAAATTTTTATTAATAAAATAGAAATTTTTAAATATTAAATTATAATGTAAAAGCAAAAATTTTGTCAAAAATTAATTTTAAAAAATATTATTTTTAAAATAATTATAAAATCACCCAAATGTTTATAGCAATTTTTAAAATATTTTTTAATAAAAAAAAAATAAAATATTTACTCAGTATTCAACATTTGCACACATTTTAACCCAACTCCTTTAGAGCATTGTAAAGTCCCACAACTACCATAAATGTCTACATTAATATATTTCTAAATTAAAAGAAAAATAAATATTTTTTGATTAAACAAAATATTATTTTGTTTTGTCTAATTTTCTCTACTTATCCCGAATTTATTTCAAAAATATCAGAATTACCTAGAGACATTCGAAACACCCAATATTTACAAGGAAACCATAAAAAATCAAAGAAAGTTTTAGGGTCAAGTCTTTGTTTTGATTCTTCGAATTTCACAGTCTCGGAGAAACCTCTAGAATTACCTGCATTTCTTTAGCAATCCATTCTCTTTTGCTATGAGTTGAACAATGACTAACGAACCTTAAAAGAAATAATAATTTCTATAAATTTTAACTTTTTGCTGATTTAAATTTTAATTTTTTTGCATTGCTTTTATTTGTATTTTTTACTACTGTAAACGCTTCAAATAAATAAATTTTAATTAATTACCAAGCTACATCTTTTCTCTTTTTAGCAATTAATTCATTTATTTGTTCATTTAATTTATTTTTATTTGGTTTTGATTCGGATGCCAATAATGCTGCAAAACCTGAAAATAAAATATTTTTAAATAAAATAATCAAACTCCTACCATAAGGTGAAGCTCCAGGTGTGTCCATTCTAAATCCAAAACTCATATTAAAGAAATCAGATTTTGAATTAATAGACATACACAGCAACTTAACCTGCAACCAAGAGCCGTTTCAGCGCTGTTAGAATAAAAAAGGATGTTTCAACATTTTTCTTTTTTTCTTTTTCGCTCTATTTTTTTCGCGTGTTATTTTGTTAAATATTTGAGATAAAATTTTTTAGCTTGAACATGTCAACTTTGAGAATCTTTATCTCGAATGAATCTTATTTTTTTTTAAATTTTGCTTAATTTAAATAATGAATGAGAGTCTTATCTTTGTTTTAAAACCAAATTTATAGATTTTTTGAATATTTTAAAAAAGTTATGAATGGCCGAATAAGTCAGGTTTAGAAAAATGCCTTTGACTAGTGAATCACGGAAAAAAATTGATGAGAAAAGGGGAGAAAAGAAGGAAAAAATGAGGCAGGTGGCTTATAGAGCCAGAGAGAAAAAAACGAAAGATGTTTCTACTTCCAATATGCCAGGTTGTTCCATTTTTCCGTAATTGAATTTTGTTTTTCTTTTTTCTTTTAGATTGTTCTTATGCTGAAGAAATGGCCGACAGAGAAGATGATCCTGATCGCATAGAGGATTTGCTTCGTCGAATTAAAGAGTTGGAAAATAAGGTGGAGGAACTAGAAGAAGGTTTTGGTATTAGACTATGTAAAACTGGATTTTTTAATTTAGATTTAAAACACGAAAGAGAATTGAACTCTCTATTAAAAATGAAGTTATTGGAAAACGATCGACCCCAATCGCCTGAACTTCCATGTCGTTTGATCGCCCCAAGTCCTTCTCGGTATAAGCCCTTGCGTGAGGTATCGCGGCAAGGTTTTGATAAGAGGGTTGAGAGTGAAGCTGCACAAATTTTAAAAAAGCACAATATTACTCAAGGATCATCCCCAGCCAAAAAATTTGCCTTAAAATTAAAAACAAAAATTTCCGGATTATCGCCAAAAAAACCGAATGACATAAAATTAACAGAAGATGAAGATATACTAATATGTGTAAAAGCCGGAATCTCTTGGAATGCCCGAAGAATAATAAAAAAAGAACTTTACTCAAGGGGATTGGATATATTTTCCCCAACAACTTCCATGGACTCTCGACGCCGGTTTATTGGTTCTTTAGCTGATTTTAAATGGGTTGGGGATGAGACAGGTAATTTCAAACGTGTATGTTTTTAATAAATGCTAACAGATGCACGTGCACTAATTTGTCTGAATATAAAAGAAGTAATTACTAACCGGATAAAAGCACTCAAGAACTCAAAGAAATTACTTCTTCGGAAGAATGGAGTAGTTTCTATTGTGATGACAGGTTATTTGTTATTTATGCCGTCTATGTTTTATGGCCGAAACGGCTTTTTTGGTTTTTTTGCGGGTAACATACTGAAGATGGCCAACCCGCATCCACTGAATTTAATACTATCTATATTTTTAAGGTGATAAAGGAGGCATTCAAGGTTCTACAAAAATTGGTCTTATGCTTGTTGACGTTGCTCATCCAAACAGTTTTATTTTATTTTTTAATATTTATTTTTTACTTAGGTCCTTCTAATATAACCATTGCCGCGTATTTTGTTGGCAATGATGACCGTAAAAACCTGGAGCGAAGATTAGGCCCACTGTTTGAACAACTCAAAGAATTGTGCAAAATATATGTCTGTGGATTACAAATTGAATTACTAATATCCGCAGACTATAAATTCCTATGTTCCTTCTTTGGACATAGAGGTGCATCTGCCAAACACCCATGCATTTTATGTAAAGCTGAACGTCCACTCCCACTCGAATCGGCAGAGGAAAGAACATTTCCACTTGGTTTGCATGATCATCTCCATAAGTTTATTTTTTATTTAGATGGGTTCAGTATTCAAGTTGGGAAACTGCCTCTACTTCCCATTGATTTAAAAAATGTGACACTTCCAATATTTCACATATTACATGGCCTAGGGCAAAGAATTATGGATATTTTAGAAAAAATGGTAGTAGAGGCTGGTAATGAAATTAAATTAGTTGAATGGTTAAAGAAAATACATTGCAAACGACGAAAAAGGGCACAAAATTATTCGGGTTACTTCCATAATTATACACATTGTAGGAATACTTTTAGGAAATGAAATACATAAAATGTTATCACATCCAAATCCAGAAGCAATGACACAACTTCTACCAAATAGAGATGAGAGCGACATTATTTTACAAATTATGTGGCTTCTCAGAGATATATCCACTCTTAGTCGTGCCGAGTCATTGTCTAGTGCTGAAATTGACCAACTTGAAGAAAAAACTCGCCAGCTTTATCATTTATGGGTAATGCTTGGTGAGTTCGACAAAACATTACATGTCACGCCCAAGCTACACTTATTAACTGCTCACCTGCATATTTTTGCAAAACGAAGAGGATGGTTTGAAGCAGTAAGTGAGCAGGGTATTGAACATATGCATGCAAGATTTAATCTTCTTGAACGTCGATTTCTCAACACAAACTCTAAGGAAGAGAGCGCTATTCGAATTTCGCGTTATCTCTTGGGGTGGTTGCATCCATTGGGGCGGTTAAGTTGCTGTGACATATGGATAGGTGATTCCTTTAATTAATTATTTTTTAATTTGGAAGAATATTCTTTTAAAATTACTGACAGAATTCGAATTATATTTAGCACAGATTTTTACGGGATATTTAAAAAATTAAAGTACTTGGCTATAAAAAACAAAATATTGTCCAGGTCTTCTCTCAACATTTGTATCAACATAATTAAAAATAACGGCACTTGCTGTAGCTAACATTGAACGATTATCCGTTGTTTTACAATTCCATTCGGGACATAAAATATTTAAAAATTTAAAAATAAATATAAATAAATGCTCACGAACAGCCACGAATTATTGAATCATCAAATCCTCCACCCCACATTAATATTAAAGATTGACCTGACTTTAAATTGAATTTAATCTTTTAATAACACAATATTCATTTACTTATTTAAAAGGACTTAAATTAAATTCCTTTCCAAAACAATACTTCCCCCCCCCTCTCTCTTTGAAAAGAGAAAAATAGGAAGAATAACCGAATAGAAAAATTCTCAATTTACCTTTAGGCTTTTTATCAGAAAGAATTGCACGTTCTTCTAAAGAAGGGCTACCTTCTGGTAAAATTAATTTAACAATAATTACTTCTTTTCCATTATTATCGTTTATTTTGTATTTAAATTGTGTATTATTTTGAAAATAATTAAATGTTGAAAGAAGAAAAGGGAAACTCTAAAAAAGGAAGAGGAATTTTATTTAAATTAGGGTAGCACCCAATCCACCAAAACCCCCGACCCGACCCCGAAGGATCTACCCCGGCAAACCCCGAAACCCGACACTTCCGTCCCCGAAGACTCGGGGTACCACCCTAATTTAAATATAAATTTCTAAAAAACTTACCATTTGTTTAATTAAGAAGAAAATAATATAGGTATAAAGAATATATTAAAAAAGAAGTAATTACAATAAAATAATAGCAAACTCTATATTTTGTTCGGAAAATACAAAAAGGATGATAACGCATTTTTTAAAATTATTCTATAAATTAAATAGGTATGTATGTATATCTATAAAAACAGAAGTAAATTTTAGAAATCAGAATTTAAAAAGAGAATTTTATTTATTTAAAAGTTTTAAGTAAAAGTCAGGCCAATTTTTAATAATTGCTTTTGACACAAAATAAATTGTTTTTTTTCATTTTATTTGGAAGGTATGTAGGTGGAGGAGGACATAGTTAAAGAGAAAATGGCACATAAGAAAGACATTTTTTGAATGAAAAGTGCATGAATCAACTAAAGAAAAAAATAAAAAAATCTTTTAAATATTTTTGCTTTTAAATGATTTTATGTACATATACAGTCGTGGAAAAAAGTATGGAAGCGCTAGAAAATTTTTTCTTAATTCTTAATTTTTCATTCTAAAAATACGTTCTATATATCAATCGAAAGCTCTATTCGTATCTCAGTTGACATGTTTCTGCATTTTTCTTGAAAATGAAAATTGACCGAGATAATCCGGATCTACCGGATATACCAAATCCCATTTTTTCGGAAAAATTTTTCGGAACAAATTTAACAAACCCATTTGATAAAGCATATTTTTCTGAGTATTTTCCACAAAACCGCTTAGATATATCTTTTTCCGGGCCAGAGATATGATTTTTTGAAAATGGCATTTTTCGTCTATTTTTGCAAAAAATTCAATTTTTAAGGGAAAAATGCGATTTTCAAAAAATCATATCTCTGCTCCGGAAAAAGATATTTCTAAGCGGTTTCGTGGTAAATGCTCACAAAAATATGCTTTATCAAATGGGTTTGTTAAATTTGTTCCGAAAAATTTTTCCGAAAAAATGGGATTTGGTATATCCGGGAGATCCGGATTATCTCGGTCAATTTTCATTTTCAAGAAAAATGCAGAAACATGTCAACTGAGATACGAATAGAGCTTTCGATTGGTATATAGAACGTATTTTTAAAATGAAAAATTAAGAATTAAGAAAAAATTTTCTAGCGCTTCCATACTTTTTTCCACGACTGTAAAATATTTTCAATTTAAATTACAAAAATTTGAAAAAAATAAAGAATAAAAAGATAAAATACTTGAAATAAAATTGAAAAAATAATTCTATTTATTAATCACTTTTTAAATATAATTTGCATAAAAACAATAAAATAAATTCTAATATAAAAAATTATTCAAAATTTATATGTAAATACTATAAAAAATATTAAATAAAAAAATTCAATTCTGTCAATCATTTTCCTCAAAATTCACCCTTTGTTATATACCGTATTTATTCTAATAGAATGGCCCCTCCATTAGAATGGCCCCTCCAATAGAATGGCCCCTTTTTGGGGGTAATGAAAAATAGAATGGCCACCTCCATTAGAATGGCCCCTCCAATAGAATGGCCCCTTTTTGGGGGTAATGAAAAATAGAATGGCCACCTCCATTAGAATGGCCCTTTTAACTACAGAGTATATACCTAAATACATTTCTCTATTTTCTTATTACCTATTAAATATTACTTTTTAGTTTGAATAATCATAATATTTTTGAGTAAATCTGGAGTCATAAAAGGGAGATTAAGAGAGATATCAGGGGATTTGAGAGGATTAGATGTGATACTACGAAATTACACGATATACTGAAGATAACTACTATCAAGTAACTAAGAGAATTAAGGTTAGATATTAGTGGATTAGATAGATTAGATACTTCTGGGATGCATAGGATTTCAGGAATAATGATAGATTTGGTGAGATTTGGTATAGTAAGGTCTATTGATATAACTTGAAATTAAGCTTGTTCCATGGAATTGATCATCTAATTTCATGTAAAATTCTGGAAATTTCAAGACCCCTTGAAGACATACGAAAATTTTCGAATTTTTAGTAGTTTAGAATTTTCAGTACTCTTTTGAATTTAACACTTTAGAATTTTCAGTACTTTTTAATCCTTCGATATCGTCCAAATTCATCAATATCCCTCAGAATCTCTTCAGATTCCAATATATTACGTCCAAATTCCAAGATCCCATACATCAAAAGTTGCCTTTTTGCCCAGCAGGCAAAAGACTTTTATGTTTTATGGTGTTACGAAAATGAAGATTCAGTAACAAAGTCGAAAATATAGAATTTTACAAAAAAAATCGATTAAATTTCGATGTCGAAAAATATTCGATTGGACATTAGATTCATCCAATCTCAGATTCTAACCTATGAAAAATAGAGTGGCCACCTCCATTAGAATGGCCCCTCCAATTGAATGGCCCCTATTTGGGGGTATCGAAAAATAGAGTGGCGGCCATTCTATTAGAATAAATACGGTAGATAGCATTAAACCAAGTTTTTATAGCTTTAATTTTACGTGGCAAAATTCTAAAAGATAAAAGCCACAAGAATCGATGAATACAAGAATTCATATAAGCATTTAGCAACATATTACCCAAAATTAAAATATTTCTTTTATTTACTCAGCTTCGACCATCCCTCAAAAATCTTCATTTTTTGTTTTAATAATTAAATTAATTCAAACTATATTTAAACAAAATTATTTTAATGTTTTTAAGTTAAAATATTTAAAAGTATTCCACACAAAAACTAAATTAATATGTATTGTTTTACATAAAATTGCAATAAATGCACATAAATAATATTGAGGTTTTTATTTTTTTATTAGTTTATTCCATTCAGTTTTATCAATCAAATAAGATTTCCAAGTTCATTTTGACCAGCCAATTCATTTAATAAACGCTGCGCCACATTTTCTACCGGTTCCAACGTACGAGGAGTTAAAGACGAAGGGTGACCGTTCTCATAACCTGCAATAATTTAGCTATTGAGCATTTTAATAAAAAGTTTCTACCTCCAATATCCTTCAAGTCACGAACTAATTCCGAACATTTGTTGACCATTTTCCGGCCTAAATAATCATATTTTAAAAATTATAGTCAGATTTTTCGGTAATTATACTTTATGCTAGACCCTTATTTGGTTATGTAACTAATTATAGCAATGGCCCGTCGATTGAATTGAATGGATTTTAAACAAGTTATTAACAATCAACTGTGGAGGAATATATTTTAGTCAGTATAGTGTGATATACATTAGAGTTAACCAAGATAAACTTCTCAAACAAGTAATCTATCATCGTATACTTCGGCTAATATTTACATTAAATATAAAAGGATGTTGCATAAAGGATAAATACCGAATTTTCTATAAAAATTTTAAAATTCACAAACTTAATGCAGCATGTAATTTGCGTTTATGTGCTTCAAGTGTGCCTTCCAGACGTTTCCAATTGGCGTAGTATTCATCCCGTTGCGCAGCCAATTTTGTCACTTCACCATATGCTACTTGAAGACCATCATGAAAATCTTTACGTTGCTTACGAATTGTTTCTTCATATTTTTCAACTTTAGACAGATGAGCAGCTTTCAATTCAGCAATAACTTCTTTCTTTTTGGTTTCCTGATAAATAAAATATAATAAAATTATTAACACCCATTTCTCGTCCCATAAAAGCGGAGTTGAGCACAGGGGAATCAGTTCTTTAAATTTAGGTTATTCCTACTCTAATTTATTTTACAAAATTTAAGGGCTCGAATTGCCTGTGTAGCCTTATATTAGCTTAGGGCTATACGAAAGAGTCAGTTTAAGAATCGGAGACTTAAAATTTTTTGCATTCGAATATTTTTGATTCAAGCCAGAATATTCTTCAATTAATTCTTACCAATAATTTCTTCATGTCATGATCCTTTTCTTCCAAAAGACTATTAAATTTGCGTCGGGTTTTGACAAGCTCTTGACCTCGTTGGTTACGATCCTCCCCAAGTGATTCAATAAGTGCATCACGCTCACGCAAATCGGCCGCCATTTGACGCTCTCTTTCACGAAGAGTTTCAATAATCACATCTCTTTCAGCTAACTGAGCTGACAAAGCTAACGATTAAAGGAAAATTAAAAAATTCAAAAAAATATTAGTTAAAGTAACTTTCTCGGTCATGTAACAAGCGATCGCGTTCCAATGCGAGATTGTTTTTGTCAGATTGTAACTTATTTAAATGCTGATTAAGTGAAGTTGATCCCTTAATAAAAATAAATATTAACAAACTATTTATAGTTAAAAACCTGATTGAGAGAAGTAATCTGTTCTCCAAGTCGAGCAATTGTCTGCTCGTGTTGTTCACATTGATTTCTATAACGACTCAAATCCAGAGTTAACGAATCGACGCGTGCATTTGCAGATTTTAAGTTTGATGTACGACGCCGTTCAGCATCCACAAATTGTCGAAGTGTTCGGATGGCTTCATCTGCCATCTATTAAAATTTTAAAGAAAGAATTTAAAAGATTCTAACCTCCTTATTAAGTCTCATTTGTTCAGAACAAACAGTTTCGGCCGTCGTTACACGCGTTTCTAATGCATCCAATCGATGAGCTTGTTGTTTATTACGTCGTTCCAATTCTTTATAGCGCATCAAATAAGACTCGGCCAATTGACGAATGACAGATGGATCGTTCGACTAAATTAAAAAATTTTTTTAAAAATATAAAGAAAAAAATTTAATCGCAAATATTTGGATTAAACAGAAGTTAAGAGAAACAATTAAAGATAAAAATCAAACTCGAAGTCTATTTCGTTCAGCCTCGATATCCGCTCGCGGCAAAGCAAAATCTGTGGTGAGTTCAGATTGAGGAATTATGATATCATTCAAATGGCACAAACGAGTATGGACTTGAGCTACATATTGCTCCAATTGGGTAATAGTTCTGTTAAATTAATTTTTAAAATTCAAAAAAAAAAAGAAAGAAACCTTGGAATGTTTTGAACGATAGGATCATCATCCTCTTGAGTGTGCTGATCGGAATTAGGCGCAGGAAACATCCTTTATTGCTAAAAAATAAATTATTTAAATTACATAAATCAAAATAATTTAAAGTAGAAAAATCAATAATAAAAAAATGTTTAGAAAATATTTAAAAAAAATAATTTGATATTTCCATTTATTTTGGGAATAAATGAAAGAATTATTAGTTAGGAGAAAACAAAGAAAGTAAAAAAATAACAATGTGTAATAGATTTGTGAAGCATTTTAGAAAAAAAAATATTTTTTAATAGAGAAGAAAAACCCCCAAGAGAAAAAATTTAAAAACTCAAAACACAAAAACTAAAAAAATTGAAGCTTTACTTAACCGGGGCGCACAGTGGTTACAAATGGGGCTCCCCCATAAAATGTCGAATCCATATAATGGGAATCCATAAAATGGCGAAAGGGCCAAAAACCCACAAAATGTCAAATCCCATATAATGTCAAATCCAGAAAATGTCAAATAATACTATAAACCCACAAAATGTCAAAAAAAGCATTAAACCCACAAAATGTCAAATAAGGCTATAAACCCACAAAATGTCAAAAAAAGCATTAAACCCACAAAATGTCAAATAAGGCTATAAACCCACGAAATGTCAAAAAAGGCAAAATTTTAAAAATTGATAACAAACGCAAAAAAACCCTAAAAAGAGAAGCACTGTTCTAAAAATTGTATTGAGCAAAATTAAGCTTGAAAAATAAAACAATTTTATTCATAAAAACACCGAATCGATAAAACAGGATAAGTACATAAATAAAAAATCACCAAAGACAAAACAAAAATAACAAAACAAAAAAAACCTGAAAAATTATAACTATTTTCATTTAACTTCATGTATTGAATGTACTGGACCCCTCTTTGAATTGTTGAATTGCTGTTTGAATTGCTGTTCTTGATTAAATCTTGACGATTCATCGATTGGAAATCGCCGTTTTCTTGACTTCTGTAACTCAGCAAGTTTAAGCCTGATATTCATCTAAAAGATAAAATTAACCATCTTTGAAGAATTATTATAACAAATACAAGATGGGAAACAATTAATAACTTTTAATTGTCAAAAAACAATCAAAGCAAACAAACAAAACAAATAAAAATAACAAATAAAAATTCTATCGCCATTATGTGGGTTTTTGGCCTTTTTGACATTTTATGGGTTCGACATTATATGATTTGACATTTTGCGGGTTTATAGTATTATTTGACATTTTGTGGGTTTTTGGCCTTTTTTGACATTTTGTGGGTTTTTAAACTTTTCGACATTTTATGGATTCGACATTTTATGGGGACACGACAAATGGACATAGCGGAAATTGTGTAGTCTCTCGTTTTTCCTCTCTTTCATTTTCTTACTCTCTCGTTTTTAGCATTACTCTCGTTTCTATTTTACGTTGCCGACTTTGAAATCCAATATCTCGGCTTAAAAACTTGAGTTTTAAAATCGGTGTCGCTATTTTGTGTAAAACTCTTTAATAAAAATTTAGGGAAAAAATTGAAATTTTTTTGCCATTTTTTAAAAAGTTGAAAGGATTTTACTGAATATTATTAAAATGCCTAGAGAATCCAATATTTTCGCCAATTAAGCAAACAAGGTCATGACGCAAAAAGAAACAAGAAAGAAGTAGGAGTTGAAAAGGCAAAAAAAGCTGTAGAAGGAAGAAACTTGAGATCAGGTTTGAAGTGTTTTTAATAGTTTTTAATTTTCTTTTATTAAGAAGCAGCCAAACGACCGTCTTCTCCTCAACCAACAACTAAAGAAGCTGAAACACAAACAGAAATTCAAACACGAACCAAGACCGTAGGTACACAAACAACAATTCTAGCAAAAGATGCTTCAACTCAAACAATTCCAGGTTTCTTTTTAGTTTTAGCACAATTTCATTTATAATTTTCGATTTAAATGATGTCTCAATCCAGTGTGATCTGGGTAATTTAGCTGAATTGTCTTTAAAATGTCAACTAATGCAACAACAAAATCAGAAACTTGAGCAAGAGAAAAGAAAACTGCTTTCAAAAACAAATAGTATTGCAGCAGCAACACCTCGGAAACCTTTCAATGAGTTAAGTTCACGTCAAGCTCGACGACGAGAGAAGCAAGAGATGAAACTGCTGCAAGAAAGAAGTCCGAGTCTTTTATCTCCGGTGCCATTAAGGAAGTTAACTCCAGGTGAGGATCTAAAAATAACACTTGAAGTAGGACTTTCATGGAAGCAGAGAGAAAGGTTGAAATCAGCATTAGACAAAAGGCTTGTTAACTGTTTTTGTGGAACAAGAGCAATATTAAAGATAAAAGCAGAAGAAACAAAAGTGGCAATTTTCAAAAGAAGGGGGGCATCTATTTACTTGTCGAATATTAAAGAAGTATTAGTCAGACGAGTTGAGAGGCTGTTTCTGAAGGGTAATAATATTAATAATTAGATATCATTTGTTTTTGTATTTAGGCACTTTAACTATGAGCAATCATAAAATCAACTTCTTCGATTATTTCTTCGATTATTTTCAAAACAGATAAGTGCAAAAGAGCTTAGCGACGATGGATTGACCACGTTGAGCTATGCCTGTGAAATGGTTGTCAAAATTTTGCATGTAATTCTTAATTATATATCTTAAAAATTTCCTCATTTTTAGAGTTTTCTCGGCAAAACAACTCCGAAGGCACATTGGTTGCTTCATTGTGTGATTTTTGCGAAGGAACAACGATGGCTTGGTTTATTAAGTGACCAGTGTCTGGAGTCTTTGCACTCCAAGTTCAACCTTCTGGTATTTTATATTATTTTTCAATAAAAATTCATAAATTAAGATGAATCGCTTCAAACATACTGGAGACCAGATGACAGCGTTGGAGGGAATGCTCAAACATCAACTGCTTTGGAATTTTATTCATGATGAGGGCCTCGATGAAGGACAACTCTTAGAAGAGGATCAAGAGGAAAAAGAAAATTTTAGCCCTTAGATTTGAAAATTTAGCTTTTTCTTTAATATTTTTAATATTATTATTTTTTATAAAATTTATACACACTTAAAATCTCAATTTTAATCATAATTGGTTTGTTTCCAATCATTTTTAATCGAATTTGACTAGTGGGGTTCGAACCTTCATCTCTGGGAAAAATACGGGAGAACTGGCTTACCGTTGCTTAACTTACCAGATGGCCACCTTAGAGCACAAGTATTTTTCTTCTGACGCTATGTCCTCTTTTTCAACTGAGTGTAACCACTGTGGGGGCGGGGGACACATCAGTCCCGCCATTTCAGTCCCGCCGTTTCAGTCCCGCCATTTCAGTCCTGCCATTTCAGTCCCGTGCCATTTCAGTCCCAGCCGTTTCAGTCCCCCCTATATGGGGGCATTTCAGTCCCCAATGATTTCTATTGTTTATTTTTTTGTTTTAAACATTTTCTAAGTTCTTTAAGTGGTCTACCACAACAATTAGCAATAACCAACCACAACAATTAGCAATAACCAACAACAATTAGTAACGAAAAAAATAATTTTTATGGAAAATCAAAATTTTTTAATTTTTTAAAATTCTTAAATTTCTTCAATTTTCTTTAAAATTCCGGACTGCGAGAATTCTACGCTGAATGGAGACGTTTCTACTACTGACACATGGTTTATTTTTTTAGTTTTTTTAGCTTTTTGAAATTTTTTTATTTTCCCCATTTCAAGAGGGGTAGGGGACGATTCAGTATCGCCGATTCAGTATCCGCCGATTCAGTATATGGTCATAACTTTCCTAATATTCGACCGATTCGAATAATTCTCATATCATTCGAAAGGTCTCGAGATTCGACATCTTTTTCATAATTGGCCCGATCTGATCTGATGATCAGAAAAAAAGTTACAGCGTGAAAACCGATTTTTTATGCCTGTGACGTCGTTTATCAGTGATAACATTTTGTAGAGTGACCAGATCAGGTCAGTCCAATTATGAAAAAGATGCAGCACCCCGAGACCTATCAAATCATATATAATAATTCCTACAATATTGATCGAGCAAAAAGTTATGGCCAAAAAGCCCAAATACTGAATCGGCTAATACTGAATCGGCGATACTGAATTGGCGATACTGAATCGTCCTTATCCGTTTCAAGAGGGAGCTATAATATTTTTAGGCGAGCATATTTTTAAATTTTTTAATTCAAGGCAATCCAGTCCTGGAATTGTTTTTATGTGTGTCGAGCAGATTGCTGCTGAGGTGATTCTGCTGACGGATTTGCTAAGACATATCAGGCAAAGCCTTCAACAACCTAACCCAAACGGCCCTCTTTAGGGCCACAAATCTAATAAGTGAAACGAGGCAATGACCTATTTATTTTTTTTGATAAATTTTTGTTTATTTGACTCATTTTTAAAAAAATTTTGTTCCTTGGAGAAAAAAAGTCGAGACCAAAACTTCACCCTAAGCCAGAAAAACCCCAAGAAAAGCCTAGAATTAAGACTCGGCAGCTTTTAAGATGTTCTTTGCGTTATAAAATGATTATTTTCTATTCTATTTTCTTATTTTTAAAGAATTTTTATTTATTTTTTTACACGGGGACTGAAACGTCCCCATATAGGGGGGACTGAAACGGCGGGACTGAAACGGCAGGGACTGAAATGGCACGGGACTGAAATGGCAGGACTGAAATGGCGGGACTGAAATGGCAGGATTGAAATGGCGGGACTGAAATGGCGGGACTGATGTGGGATGTTCCGCTTAACCCGGTACACGACGAATGGGCGCGGAGACAAATGGGCGCGAGACGAATGGGCGCGGGACGTTTGGGCGCCCGAAATTATTTTTTCCTAGAAATTTTTTTTTGTTTTTTCTGTTCTGATTTTTCTTCTGATTTTTTTTTCTGATTTTTCTGTTCTGATTTTTTGTTCTGATTTTCTGTTCTGATTTTTTCTTCTGATTTTTTTTCTGATTTTTTTTTCTGATTTTTCTGTTCTGATTTTTTGTTCTGATTTTTCTTCAGATTTTTGGATATAGTATAGTATACCGGTGGAAAGGTTTCGACAAAAAACCAATACCATTCGATTCGTCTTGGCGAGTTGAGTCGAACCGTACCACTCTTTTTTCCGGAGATGCCTGTGGACCGAGATATAGGTCCCCGAAAATTGAAAAACCATATGGGGGAGTAGGTTTGTGTGCTTCTTGCGTTTTGCGTGTTTCACAATTGCCTCCTGCGCTCACCCCTGCTCCGAAATGAGGGAAAATGGAATAAATTGAAAGAAAATCAAAACAAAAAATCAGAACAGAGAAATCAGAAAAAAAATCAGAACAGAAAAAACAGAAAAAAATTTCTAGGAAAAAATAATTTCGGGCGCCCATTCGTCTCGCGCCCATTTGTCTCTGCGCCCATTCGGCCGCGCCCATTAGTCCTGCTCCGGCTTAACCGCATTATTTTCACTTTAAATTTCTACAAATTGTCTTTATTCATTTTATCAAATAACGAGCGTTAGGACGCCGCTTCGCGGCGTCCTAACGCTCGTACTATACATTTTGATGTTCTTTTATGTTCTAAACTTTTATGTTCTAAAGCCTTAACCCTTTAATCCTTAGATTTGACTTTTAATCTTGCCAAAATCCTAATCCCTGATCCTCTAATATATCAATTAATCCCCGCAATCCCCCAAATCATGATATTACCCTTTGTTACCAAAGTCCTCCGTTAAATCATCGCAAAAACCAATATATTACCATTTATCACCCAAAATCCTCCGAAATTTCTTTTTTGCACCTATTCAACAAACCAAGGGAATAACTCTTTATTTTCCCAAATTCCCGATTCAACTTTTATCCCCAACATTTTCTGTTATATACCCCTTATTCACTTTCAATCCTCCGGTTTTACTAAGCCCCGCAAATCCCCTAATATTCATTTTAATTACATTATTCTCCGATTCTACACCGAATTCCCCGAAATCACCATATCCTCTTTACTTTTCGAAGTCCCAGATATCTCCCTTTTTACCCTGCTTGCTATAATCCTTAATTACCCCCAAATCTTCCGATTTCAATAATCCACTAATATCTTTGTTAATAGCCCAAAATAACGTATGTCGTTTGAACCCTAAATCCACTGACATCTCTCTTTATATCACTCTTTATCCTCCTTGCAAATTTCATACTTTATCCTCCCAAACATCCGATAATATTTTTTATTTCAATCCCCCAAATTTCTCAAGACACAGATATCACTTTTTCCCAAAATTCCAGCTATTATCCTTTAACACAAAAAACTACTATGTATCCACTCTTTAGTTTCTAAATCCTCCGTTATCAACTTTTAACCCCTAAACCCCCGATTTGAATCTTATTATTCACAAAGTCATAGATATTATTTTTTATTCCCGCAGAAACCATTCCTCTATCGCACGATACATATTTTATTCCATTAATACACTGATATCCTTCAGAATTCCTTGATATCTATCATAAATATATTTAATAGCTTAATCCCTCGATACCCCCAAGTTCTCATATATCATTTTTAATCCGCCCCAATCAGACATGCACGAAACGTTTCGTTTCGTTTCGTTGTTTCGTATGTTTCGTAGGATTTTTTGTGTTTCGTTTTGTTTCGTTACGAAACACTTTTTATTTTGTTTCGTTTTGTTTCGTTACGAAACACTTGTGATTTGTTAACGAAACGAAACAATTTTTATTGATTTTTTTCCTAGAAAAATGACTAGCAATAGCAAATACACAAATTATTTTATATTTGAAAAAACTAAAATTTCCTGTCGGCAACAAAATTGTGCTTATTTTTATGCACCGAAAAATGAAACTGGTTTTCCAACGACTGCTTTGCGTAAACATTTAGAGCGTAGGCATCCATCAGTGTTTTCTGAGCTCCTCCAATTCGAAAAATCAGAAAAAGAGATGGATGATGGAACAGAAAAACTTAAACAGACAAGTTTAAAAAGAATATTTTCCGTTTCTGTCGGTTCGGCTTCAACTTCCCAAGGAATAACATCAACAAAACAGCCGAAAATAGAAGAATCATTTAGTAAGAATTAATTAGATTTTGATATTTATAAATTTTTTTTAAGAACAATGGACATCTGGCGGTGAAATGACTGAAAGAGTTGATAAAGCAGTAATTTCCTTGATATGTACTGCTGGTCTTCCATTTTCTTTTGTTGAAGAGCCAGGTTTCAAAAATTTGTTACACATTATGCAACCACAATATAAAATCAGGTTTTTTGAATTAATGTTTTGAAATTAATCTGAAATTTGAGGTCAAGAAATTTTTTTGTAAATGAATCATTGCCAAATATGTATGGAGACATGGTGGTTGTAGTAAAAAAAGACGTTTTTTCTGCTCCTTTTGTTTCATTGTGTATTGACTCGTGGTCCTCAGAAGAAAGCACGCATTCCTTACTTGGCGTAACTTGCCATTTTCTTAAAGAAAATTTTGAACCTACTCATGTCTTACTTGCTGCATCGCCTATTAAAGGAAGTCACACAGGCGATAAAATAGCATCTTTGGTTGCTAAGGTTATTACTAACTTTGGAATAGACAAAAAAGTACATATGGTTATACGAGACAACGAAAGCGCAATGCAGAAGGCAACTAGAATCGCCGGCCTTGAGTCACAGCATTGTTCTTCACACAAAATTCAACTGGTTTGTTAGTATTTAAACTATTTTATCATAAATTAAGGCAATTGGGGATGGATTAAAACTTTTGAGCGAGTTTAAAGAAGTAATAGAGCACAATGTTTCGTTTTGTTTCGTTTCGTTTCGTTAAATTTTGACTGTTTCGTTTCGTTTCGTTAACGAAACGATTTTTAAAAAATTTTGTTTCGTTTCGTTTCGTCTGAAAAAATTTTGGAGTTTCGTGCATGTCTGGCCCCAACACACGATATATTCACCAAATCGCTAAATCATTCTTAATCCCGCAAAATCCTGGATCTATCTCCTGATTTTCAAATCACTCGTTGTCTATTATAACCTTCTTTAAAAGCTTTGAAAAAACTTATTATGGTTGTTTGTTACCTATCGGCTTTACGAACCCCGTCTCTTCTTTTGCCGCTTTCCGGATCGTGTTTTCACACCCTTTCGTCAGGCCCTTTTCTCTCAAACGCAGGAGTGTCTCTCACTTAAACTGTTAATTTTTTCACCCTCACTTTTTCTAAATCCACGATATTTTTGAACACCTTAAATTCCCGAAGCACTTATTGTGGTTGTTAGTTACTTCTCTGTTTTAACGATTCTAACCCCCAAGTTCGCTAAATCTTCGATATAAACCTTTTCCAATTGAAATCTCTGCGTTCATTTCTTTGTTGTCCTAATCACCTGATATCATTTATTCTAAAATACACTTGTCTTCTGTCTTCTTTTTATACACTTGTCTTATTTATTCTTTGGTATCAGGACAAAATCATACGTCATTCGTCCTTCTACACCAAAACACGCATATCACTTTTAATCAAATTGCAATCTTGATCTACCTTCCTTTGAGCTGACTCCGATCTTTTCATTTTTTTATTTAGCTAATCTCTTTCTCTTTGCCTTCCTCTGTTTTCTCGACCAAAAACGAAACTGATCTACAGTTGAGTGATCTATGCCATTTTATCCGCCTTAATCTGCTGTTATTCCTTTTTTTCATCGAAAAACCTCCTTAATACTTCTTTTTAACATAAACACTCGGATAAATGACTCTATCCCTAAAATTCGTGTTTTTTTATCTCCTGAGAACTCTTCCGCTTTTTATACCCCAAAAACAGAATTATCCCTATTTTCCCAAAAGCACCTAATATAGTTCTCTTTATCACTTTAAATACACGTCATCTCATTAATATTTATATCCTCTTTATCTCTCATACATACATCCCGATATCTATTTCAACTCGTAATCCCTATCCTTTACTCTTTATTTCCGTAAACTGAATTTCTGTCTTTTTACATAAAATCGCCTGTTAATCTCTTCATTCCCATCTCTTGTTTTTCTAAATTTCTTTCTTCTAAAATCCCCTAAAACCTCAATATTCTTCTTAAACACTTAGATCTCTCACTTCTCTCGGCATAATCTCTCACTTCTCTCGGCATTAAAATCCTCTATATTTATTTTTTTCATCTTATTCACCGCTATCCCTTGTAAACCCATTTCACCCCCGATATCCTTTCTATTCCCTCGATATCTCTTCTAATCCACTAATCCTCATTTATCACTTTCCCCTCTTGATGCTCTAATATTTCTCGATATACGCAAATCCCCGATATTTTAATTATTCCCAAACATACATTTTAAACTGCCCTAAAATTCCGCTAACTCTCGTTCTGTCCCGAACCCTTTATCGGGTTCGGGATAAATATATATTTTTTATATATATATATATTTTTTCCCGAACCCTTTAACCCTTTATTTTAACCCTTTTTTTTTTTTTTTTTTTTTAAAACTCTTTATCGCCCCCGAAATCTCAGATATCCCTTTTTAACTACTTAATAATATTATTTACTCTGAAACCACCCCTGCATATTAATCCTCAAAATTTTTCATTGCCACCCTTAATCCATGTTATATTCTTGTTCTATTTTATCAAACAAAACAATTAAATATTGCTAATCCCCCAAAACCTTCACAAATCTCTTAGTTTCTCTACTAACCATCACTTAATAATCCTCTTTTTTTAAAATCTATCTGTCAAGCCTCCAAAGTCCTTAATTTGCCTACTGTTGATCCCTTCAAACCCCTTATCTATGTTAAATCCCCAAACCTTTAATTTTTCTTTTTATTTAAAAACATTGATTCTTTATTAATCCCTCAAAACCCTTAATATCTTTCTTAATTCATCAATCCTTTTTTACGCCATTCACCAATTTCACGTTATAACGACAAAACGGAGATTATATTTGATTATATCACTATTAATTGCATCAAATCTTTTTTGCTGTATCTTTGATAAGCTTAGATTTGAGAAAAACCCGAAATTTTTCTCGGCAAGATTACTCTGCTTCGCGACGGCCGTGCTCGCTTCGCTCGCGGGGCCGCCGTCTCAGAAATCTTCATGTTCGAGATGTTTTTTAATAGTTTTTTGATTTCAGAACAAAAAATTGAAAATTCTTTTGGTCGTTCTGCCCTGATCTTTGCTTCTCACACAAAGACGTACCTCTAACATTCTGGTCCAGGGGTGTCCGCAAGTGAAAAAAAATTTTCCGCAGCCGCAATACGCAGTCCGCAATTTTTATTTTAAAATCCGCAGCCGCAATCCGCAATTTTTATTTTAAAATCCGTGTAGTAAAAGCTCAAGGACAATTTCTAAGTTTCAGCCTAACTCAAACAAAAGCTTCCAATCAATTAAATAATATTTATTTTCCAAATTAAATCAATCCAATAAATATAAAACGAGCCACAAGCAATAATAAAGCCAAAGCAATAGGTGAGAGCCAACAGTGAACCAAGGAATGGAACCCCGAAAGAGAAATTGACAAGTTTAAATAAGGGAAAAAAGGGGTGTGAAATTAGTTTAAAACAAAAAAATGCAGGTGCTAAGAAATGGAAAATCAAAACATAACTTATAAAGAAAAAGTTGTTTACTATTAAAGAAAAAAGGGGAGAATTAATTTAAATAAGTTAAACAGATAAAAATTCTTAAACATGAATAAAAATTCTTAAATAGAAAAAATTCCTAGACAGCAGGTGCGGTTAAAAAGGATAATTTTAGATTAAGCAAAAAAACAGAATGGAATTTAAATTTAGGAAAAAAATAACTTAACAAAATTAAATCTAACTAATGGTCGCGTTTAGCGACATTCCCGGGCCCCCCTCGGTTTTTATTCTTCTTGTATTCTTTCAGCAGGTCATCCACTCTTTCTGCAAAATGTCGGGCCTCTTGCGCTATCCCCAGGAGCAAATATTCGGTAGGTGTCCTCGGCCTGTCTCCTCTGCGGACATCTCTTGCCTCCATCATTTCCTTTTCCTCATTATGGCTCATTCCCTTCACTTTCTCAGCAATAGGATCAATCAGAACGGTATCTTTAACTTTCGCAGGATCGAGCAAATCGGGCGCGTTTGATTTCCACGAGCTCACTTCTTTGACAATCTCTTTCAATTCGGCGGGGTCACGTCTGCTTCCTAGGCTTCCAAGCTTTCCTTCGGGCGGTATCTCATCTTTGCGCTTCTCGGTTATTACTTTCGAGGCCCCCTTCGCATAATGTTGTGCCATTCGCATGCCTCCATCAGAAATTTTAGGTCCTCTTTCCTTCTCCATGGCATCCCTCTGCTTGTGTCGTTCCACTCTCTCTACTCTTCTTCGCTCTATCTCTTCTTCTCTGATTTCTTCTTCACTCTTCCTCTTCCTACTATACTTCTTCCTTTCATCTTTCCTCTCTTCCTTTCTTTCCTTCTTCTCTTCTTTATCCTTAATCTTCCTTTCTTCTTTCTTTTCTGTCTTCTTTTCCTCTTTTTTCTCCTTCTTCTCTTCCTTCTTCTCTCCTTCTTCTTTCTTCTCTTCCTTCTCACCCATCTTCTTTCCCTCTTCTTTCTTCTCTTCTTTCTCCCCCATCTTCTTTTCTTTTTCTTTCTTCTCTTCCTTCTCCCCCATCTTCTTTCCCTCTTCCTTCTTCTCTTCCTTCTCCCCCATCTTTTCTTCTTTCTTCTCTTCTTTCTTCTCCATCTTTTTTCCTTCTTTTTTCTTCTTTTCTTTCTTCTTTTCCTTCTCTTCTTTCTTCTTTCCTTCCTTCTCTTTCTTTTTACTCTTCTTTTCTTCTTTCTTACCTTCTTCCTTTGCTACATCCTCACCTTTCTGTTCCTCCCTTGCTTTCGCCTTATTTGCCTCCTCTTCCAGTACACGCGCCGCCAAAGCATTAAACAATATTTTCTTTACGTCATCGTGATTTACAAAAGTTGGGAGAGCCAAATCCTCAGTCACTTCTATTCCATTTGGGTTCCTTCGGTCTGTTGTCTCTCCACATTTCTCAGGTAAAATGAGCGGTACCAACCAGGGTTCTTCTTCTTCAAACTCGGATAGTGATCTGATCGACATGGATTCATCTTTTGTTGGTTTCACTTCTAGAATCTTCTTCACTTTTACTTCTTTAACTTCTTTTTTAGTACCACCTTCCAGTTTGATTTTCTTCTTTTTTACCACCACCTTCTCACCATTAGGCATTTTGTCGTTAATTAAATTAAGAAGCACAAATTTAAAATTATTTTTTAAAATGAAGAAGCGAATGTCACTTTCTGATTTTTTCCAAGGGGGCGGGTGACTAGCTAAGTTTTCCATTTCTATCGGCTCTTTTATTAAATTCCTTTTTCTATTCAAATTTTCCAAGCCGGCTTTTTCAACAAAGTTTTTATTTTTTAAAGAACTGTCTATCCATCTCTCTTTGCCTTCTACCAATGTTAGGCGATTTGAAAAGATTAAGCTTTGGTCTGAAAGACCACCTGCGCAGAAAGTGCTGGTGAAAACAGAATTAAAACAACAAGGAAGCGATTAGGTAAAGAATTTTCTCCTTTTGCTGTGAGTACGCCTATAATTGTTTTGTATACCATAAATGCGGGGTTGAGTTTGATGAATAAGATTAAGCCAACAATTCCAATTACAAGCACAAAAAAGAATAGTATCAGAGCTTTAGGGTTCAATAGCATTCTGTACAGAGCGAATGGGTCAAAATTGAAATCGAGTAGAGAGAAACTGGTATTTGGAGACTCAAGCTTTTCAGAGCGGCGATATTGTGGCCTGCGTCTTTTTTGTGGCACGTAATATAGTTCCCCCTCCAATTCGAACTCCGTTATGCCTGCCGGACAATCCACCAAACATTTTGTTTTAATTCTCGATTCTTGAACATTTAAGATTTCCCTTTGTTCTGTAGAGTTCATATTGCACTTGGCCGTAAATATCAATCCGTCATCACACTCTATTTTTGCCAATGCTTGCCCCCAATCAGTTTTACATCGATACAGCAACTGCGCGCCGGTCAAACATTTGTAACATCCGGTAAAATTGGTGACTTCTAACCAGCATTTGGAATCCTTGAGCTGCAATACCATTTCCACGTTTTTCATCTCGACGTTGAGTTGTACTGGACTGTACCCCGTATCAGCGAAAATGCGCGTATTTTCATTTTTCAAATGGAAGTGTCCTACAGGTAAAGGCAATCGTTGTTGTGGATCTTCGAGGATTTCTTCTAAGCTTAGATCCCGACAACTGCATCCTATTGTCCCTGTTTCATGGTCAGGGGAGCAGCTAGTGCACGCGGTACCAGCCAGACTGCAATTAAAATCGAGGGCCTGTTGTTCACTTTCACAATGTAAGTCATCATTTAAATTTCCAACTAAGGCCACAGCTCCATTGGAATGGATGAAATTCGAGTTCAGAACAGGTGCCGGAGGCACAGCCACCATTAAAGGGGTTAGTTACGTTATGCCATTCGAACTTCATTCCGGGGTGGAGAAACACATCAGTGGAGTGGACTTCCCCTTCTATACTATTCCTTTCCAATTTTAACTGTGCCTGAATTCGGAATTTCCATGTTGGGCAACTAATTTTCTCAAAAATAGTCTTAGACACGGGTTGGCCATAAAATCGATAGAAGAGGCATCCATTGGCAGGCCATAGTGCGCACCCTTTCGCCCAACTTCCTAGACTGTCAGCACAAAAGGTATGACCCGGTAGATGATTAACTTCTTTCAATTCCCATATTTTATCATCCGGTTTTACTTGACCACAAAAATTGGAGAAACAGCTACTATTTGCCGCCCTGGGGCATCGAAAATTTGAGGAGCTTTCCACTTTATAGGATCTAAGCCATCCCTCTGATTTGGCCACGCATTCAACAGTTAAGGCATTCAAGATTATAGTTAACGTTCCCAAAACTATTCCATGTTCATCTCGAATCATTAAAGTATTAGATTGTCCTGCGGGTAATAACGTGAGGGTAGTCGCTTGGTTAACAACACAATGAATTCCAGTTTGTCCTCTATGGCACGTTTCGGATTTGGACATGATCGAAATAGTTTGTGAAGCATTTCCTCCTGGGACTGCGCCTATCAGTATCATAATTGTCACCAGTCTTGTTACTTTAGCGAATCCTTCTCTCCTCCATTGCCTTCCTCTAATTCTCAGGCTCTCTTTTTTATTTCTTATTGTTTCCCTGGCGCGTGCTCTGGTATAGGCAGTTTTCCTCTTCATCCACCTCCAACACTGACATCCCATTCTTCCAATAGCCACTATCATTCGAAAGTTCTGATGGCAAGACCGACAAAATGTGAGCAAAGTACAAACTCCAATAAGTATGGTTAGAGTAATAACTGCCCAAAGCACACTAGCCATACTGGGGTTGCATGAGGGGTTCACTAGTAGGTCGATGCAAAACGTACAATCCATTAATAAGCATTCATTTAAAGCTGGACATGTCATCTCTGTAGAGAACATTTCTCGCGAGCTTTTCCAGAAATTTGCTACGCAATGATAGTCCGTCAAAAGCATTTCAGTAGGTAATTCATATGACAACTTCTGCACATTGTTTCTAATAACACACATGTCATCACAACATATTTCCATTTTTTGGTTTCCAATTGGGCCAAAGACCATTACTCCAGTGAGTGTGCAATGAATTAGACAGATAGAACATGATTTAATTGCTAATGCCGTCGCGTTATTTAACAAACAGAGAAAACAGAGCGCAACCAAAGTAATTGTTGCCAATTTAGCTTTAGCCCTCGTAACCATAGGATGCGGTTTTACAGCTTGTTTTTCCACTGTTGGCTTATTTTGTGGGGGATTCTCATCTTTTTTGCTCTCCAATTCACAGGCCAAATTTTCATTTATTTTTTTCTTACTTTCTATTTCTTTTTCATTTGTTTCCTCCTCCACTGGCTTCACCTCGAGGGGGTAAAGTCTGCTCACAGGCCGGGTAACAATTCTTCCGTTGGCCATTTTTATTTTGACACTTCTCACCACGGATCCACTAGCATTGAGTTCCATCACTTTCCCCAGAGGCCAAAGGTTTCGTGGTCGAAAATCTTCCTCCACTAGAACAACTTCACCAACGGTGGGTGAAGACATGGTTTGTAGCCTGGGTCCCTTGTGATTCCATTTTGACCGTTCCCGCAAAAGGATCAAATATTCCGATGACCATTTCTCCCAAAAGGTGTCCAGTACAGTCAGGGTATTTTTCCAAATTAGAGCAAGCTTTTTTTCTGGCGGTAAGCGTCTTTCGTCCACCCATTCCTCAGCGGAGTCAAAATTCAAAGAAATAGTTCCATGTGGTATTAGAAAGTCAATAGGTCTTAAAGGCAGCGGCGCATCACTTTCTCCCGAAACGTGTGAAATCGGTCGTTGGTTAAGGCTCGCTTCTACTTCAGCGGTAAAGGTTACCAGTTGGTCATATTCAAGAATCTTTCTGCCGAGAGCTCTCTTAAAACACGTTTTTGCCATGCCCACTAGCCTTTCATATAAGCCTCCAGCCCACGGACTCAAAGAGGGTAAGAATTTCCACTCAATTCTCTTTAGGGCCAATTCTTCAGCAATTAAGTCTTTTTTTAGCTCATTCATGGTTTTATTTGCTAGCACAAACTGTCCTCCATTATCGCTCATCATTCGCTTAGGGCATCCACACCGGCTAATAAACCTTCGAAATACATTTGTGAATGAAGTGGTCGAAAGATCAAGTGTTGGCTCCAAATAAACAGCGCGCGTGGTTAAGCATGTTAGCAAAACAATCCAAACTTTTACAACATTTCCCGCCAGTCTAGTAACAGTGGTATCACGACTTTTGCGCCGAGAACATTTGCGCCGCGACTTTTGCGCCGCGACTTATGCGCCGGGCGACTTTTGCGCCGCGACTCTTGCGCCGCGACTTTTGCGCCGGGCGACTTATGCGCCGCGACTTTTGCGCCGGGCGACTTATGCGCCGCGACTTTTGCGCCGCCATTGTTTAAAAAAATAAAATAATAACTAAAATCGGACCTCACTTTTGTGTACCCCTAAAGGTTAAAAAATGGTATCCAGGAACTGAAAAAAGTTCAGGAAGTACAATAGGGGTCCGGTATCTGATGAATTAGGTTTGGACTTGTAAATTCCCTGATCCGATATCCCAAATGATTTCTGATGTGCTGACTTTTTTCGGATCAGGATATTTGGATCTGATAACCTTATTCCGTTATGATTTTCAGCCCCAAGAGTGTGCATTATAGCGTAGGGTTGTCGAATCAAGATCCGAAAAAGGCCGGATATCCGAAATTTTCAGTTTAGATATCGGATCCGTATATCAGAAGATTTTCAACTATCCGACAACCCTGCTATAGTGAAGTCCAGCTGTAGTTATTCATATATTTTTAATTATAGTGGCGGCGCAAAAGTCGCCCGGCGCAAAAGTCGCGGCGCAAAAGTCGCCAGGCGCATAAGTCGCGGCGCAAAAGTCGCCCGGCGCAAAAGTCGCTCGGCGCAAAAGTCGCGGCGCAAAATTCGCGGCGCAAAAGTCGCGGCGCAAATGTTCTCGGCGCAAAAGTCACGGAACCGTAACAGTAGGGCCAAAGTAATCCACACCCGTTGATTCAAAAGGTACGTGACGCACAACACGGTCAGTTGGGTGCGGCGGCATTTCAGGTTTAGCAAAGGGAGTGGACGAAATTCTCCGGCATTTTAATCATCCACCAATTACTTTACGTACTGTTTGTCGCGCTTTCGAACACCAATAAGAACGCAAAAATTCAGTTAAAGTCCAGTCAACACCTCCGTGCTGTAAATTCAGATGAATGCGTCGGATTATGTGAGCGATGAGAGGAGAGTGACATGACAATAGTATCGGTTGCGCCAAATTTGGTTCCATTTTTCCAATAGCAGACAATCGTGTGTTTAAGCGTTTAATGCCATTTTGGTCAATCAGAGTTTTTTCACCACAATCTTCAAGATAAACCCTTTGATCATTTTTTATTAATAGTGTTTCAGCGGTTTTAAAGTCCTCAGCGGAAAAGGGTCCATCACTCGAAATAGTCGAAAAATTAGGCCTCAGTTTTTTAACAAAACGCATTACAAGCGCAGTTACTCGTATTAAACGGTTCCAGGTTCCATATCTGGTTAAGTCCATACATTGGTCATTTTTATCTATTTCCTTCACTTGTTTAGGTTTTCTTTCTTTTACCAGATAAACTTGTGTTTCTTTTTCTTCTTGTGAGTGAATATCGATTTTTTGTATTTCCCTTTTATTGACATAAAATTCCTTTTCAGCTGGCCATTTATTGGAAGAGCATTTAAGCCAGGCCGGTCCTTCCCACCAAATGTTAGTATTGGCTATCGCTCCATAGGTGTTAGTATTTGGCTATCGCTCCATAGGTGGAAACCAGCAATTTCACGTTTTAACTCATTTTTCGCAAATTCCATTGCTCTTACACCAATAAGAATTGCCAAAAGTTCCATGCGAGGAATAGTCAGCGTCTTCCCTCCCTTAAGCGGTTTTAGGCGATTTTTTGAAAAGATTAAGCTAGTCATGGCTTTCTCGTCAATATGGCTTTTAAGATAAACGGCAGCGGCAAAAGACAAATTCGAGGCGTCCACAAAAGGGCAATCCAGGAGAATTGGGGTCCCTGCGAAAAATAAGTTTAAAAATAAGAAAAATGATTTTTCTAGGGTAAAAAAATATGCTGATTATGAATCTGAACTCAGATTTTGAAAAAGTCGAATCCCGGACCCGAACCAAATTTCGAACCCTGAACCCAAATTTCGAATATACAAATGATAGCTCGTTCGAAAGAGCTCGTCGAGCTGCATCGAATGACACCAAAATCAACGTGATTGGACCTGTTTAGACTAAGTTATGACATAAAGTATACCTATGGGAGTACTGTAGGAGTCGGCGACTTATATCATAACCTTGACAAAATTTGATCAATCACTGTAATTTTGGTGTCATTCGACTCAGCTCGACGAGCTCTTTCGAATGAGGTATAATTTGCCTAAACTTTTTTTTACTCCAAAAAATCACCCCTATGGTTTTTCAATATTCCGGGGTCTGTATCTCGGTCCACTCACGTCGGATTTCATCGAATTTGGTGTCATTCGATGCAGCTCGATGAGTTCTACCTGCATATGAAAGACTGACCATTTTGTACAATGTCCGACAATGTCCGGGGTCAAATTCCGAATTCGGGTCCGGGATTCGACTTTTTCAAAATCTGAGTTCAGATTCGTGATCAGCATATTTTTTTACTAGAAAACTCCTTTTTCTTATTTTTAAACTTTTTTTCCGCAGGGACCCCAATTCTCCTGGATTGCCCACAAAAGTATGAAGTTCCAAATTAGCCCCCGTTTCTACAATAATCTTTCTTGGTACGTCGATGCTCTTTTGGTCCCAATCAGTTAAAATAGCTTTCCATCTTGTGGCAATAGAGTCTGGCAACACATCGTCCCAATCTTTAGCGTTATTCCAAGAGTCTTGAAAAAGGCATTTCGCAGGTAGAAGACACGGAGAGACCAATCCCATCGGATCATAGACACTTGCCAACACACTCAAAATCGAACGACGAGATGGTACATTTCCTTTTAGTCCGGGGAATTCGAAGTGGATACCATCAGACTCAAGCTGCCATTTCATTCCCAACACCTTGGCATACTGCTCTACCTTTAAACGGTCATCGCTCGCGATTGAGTTCATAACTTGCGGTGAATGAGAAATAAATTCTCTTAAGTTCATTTTTGCTTGGGCAAATATTTCTTTCGCTTCGGTACATTTCGTGTCTGCCTCCGCTATGGTTTCACATTCCAATAATAGATTATCGACATAGAGATTGTTAGCCATTTCCAATTTAGCATTTTTGGCCAGGTGATGGCGGATGACCACTGCAAGGATCGCTGGGCTGCAGATAATCCCAAATCCTACCCGACATATGCGATAAACAATTAGGTTCGTCGAGGAAACGGGTTGCTTTACATCCCTCATCCATAAGAATTTGCAAACTTCGCGTTGATCAGGCTCGAGTTCTATTGTCAGGAAAGCAGCTTGTATATCAGCCAGAACAGGGTACTTTGGGCAACGGAAGCGTAGTAACAAACCAGCTAAGTCAGGCAACAGCACAGGCCCTCGGTATAAGCACTCGTTTAGTGATGGATTTCCTCTTCGATGAGCACTCGCATCATATACAATTCGCAATTTATGGGTCACAACACCATGATGGGGTAAATAATGTTCCAATCCATTAGGGTTCCGGTCTGCTTCCTCAATGATCCCCTCAGCTAACTGATTTTTGATTTGAGTGTCATATTTTTCCAATATATCCGATCCTTTGAGGCCCTCAAGAACGGACATGAGTCGACTATAAGCCATTTTAAAGTTTGAGTCCAGTTTGGGATTTTCCTCCTTCCACGGCCATCGAACCGAATATCTTCCTTCATTGGTTACGGTAATCGATTTTTCAATGAGCTTTGTGGCCACATCATCATCATTTTGCGAGGGATTTTCTTTTATACCAAGTGACTCCAGATTCCAAAAATCCTCTACGGCACTAGGAGTTGGAAGGTGTTCCTCATTACTCGAATGTACTGCTACCAAAGACATGGACGCTTTATCAGAATTATGGCCAAAGTTAGTTTCGCCAGCTGTCATCGTGCCAAAAACAGTTCGGATGGAGTGAAGACCAGGCAATATTTCTTTCCCTTTTGACACAAAGAATTTCCAAAATTGTCTAATCCCAATCATAATATCTGGCTTTTCCCTTACGATCTCAAATTCATTATGATTAGAAAAGTACGTCTCGTCCACATTTAGCATATCAAATGGAGTTGCGATTTCCTCAGTGCAATTTAAAGCCATTTCTTCCCAATTCCCATCGGTTCTTTGGATTTTTATCAAGTACGTAGGCGATAGAATTTTTAGCGGGTTAGATAGTGCACCTCCAAATCCATGAATTTCCAATTGGTCAACTTCGCGGCCTCTAGGCGGGTTGAGCTTTTCCACTAGTCGGCGAGAAACAAAACTCGTCTGGCTTCCCGTGTCAAAGAATACATAGACGGGGATTTTTTCCTTACGCCCTCTAGCACTAACCATTAATTTTTTTGTCATCAGGTAGGCAGTAGGTTTATTCTTAGCATCCATTACTGTAGCCACCACGGAGTTTTCTTTAGGCGCTGGCAATTTGGCGTCGCATTTTGTCCCACGCTCAATAGCATACGGTTGGTCTCTCCTTTCCCAGATTGGATGTGACTGGGTGAATTGTTTTGGCTTAGAAACTGGTGTAGGTCGACTGGGCTGAACGGACGTCCTCTGGTTAAATCCACCAAATTTGGGCCTGTTGTGGTTCCTTGCATCTCGAGAAAAGCATACTAAAAAGTGATGCGGTCCCTGGCATTTACTACAGCAACGGCGGTTCGGGCAGTCATTGGCTCGGTGACCCTCTCTTAAGCACTTCAAGCAACGGTTCTGTTCAATTAGGCGGTCCTTTCTCGCTTGCGGATTTCCATATTTGATACATTTGCTCGGATAATGATTTCCTTGGCATAAAGAGCAACATGGTTTTTTAGGCTGGCTTGCCACTGGAAAAGAACGAGTAGGCTCAGGGTTGTGGAATGGGCGTCTATCCCTTCGCTGCAGTCCTTCTGGTTCCTTGTTGAGTGTGCATCTTTGCACTTCCTCCTTTACCGAGATAAGCATGTCAAGTTCCGACCTCCAGGTTTCGACCTTCCAGCCTTGCTTTGCCATTCTTTCTTTTTCGATCAGTTTGGCCAATATTCCTCTGGGTAACTTTTCCTTTATAGTGAATATGATCCAGGAGTCGTCTTGGATCCCATAATCCCCCAACTGGCGGCAAACACGCTCAATTGTATCCAGAAATTTCCTCAGCCCCATCACTGAATCATTAGCCGGCGCAAGGTGACACAATTCTGCTTGTAACGATTCCTTTAATGCCCTAGAGTCTCCATATCGCGATTGTAATAATTCCACCACCCGAGGATAATTCTCATTCGTCGGTATGTATCCGGCTACAACGTTGTTAAGTCCTAGACGTCAACGTTCATGTGTCAAGTGCTAGACGTCAAAGTTCATGTGTCAAGTGCTAGACGTCGACGTTCATGTGTCAAGTGTTAGACGTCAACGTTCTGTGTCAAGTCTTAGACGTCAACGTTCATGTGTCAAGTGCTAGACGTCGACGTTCATGTGTCAAGTGCTAGACGTCAACGTTCTGTGTCAAGTCTTAGACGTCAACGTTCATGTGTCAAGTGCTAGACGTCAACGTTCTGTGTCAAGTGCTAGACGTCAACGTTCATGTGTCAAGTGCTAGACGTCAACGTTCTGTGTTAAGTCCTAGACGTCAACGTTCATGTGTCAAGTGCTAGACGTCAACGTTCTGTGTCAAGTCTTAGACGTCAACGTTCATGTGTCAAGTGCTAGACGTCAACGCTGTGTCAAGTGCTAGACGTCAACGTTCATGTGTCAAGTGCTAGACGTCAACGTTCTGTGTTAAGTCCTAGACGTCAACGTTCATGTGTCAAGTGCTAGACGTCGACGTTCATGTGTCAAGTGCTAGACGTCAACGTTCTGTGTTAAGTCCTAGACGTCAACGTTCATGTGTCAAGTGCTAGACGTCGACGTTCATGTGTCAAGTGCTAGACGTCAACGTTCATGTGTCAAGTGCTAGACGTCGACGTTCATGTGTCAAGTGCTAGACGTCAACGTTCTGTGTCAAGTGCTAGACGTCAACGTTCATGTGTCAAGTGCTAGACGTCAACGTTCTGTGTTAAGTCCTAGACGTCAACGTTCATGTGTCAAGTGCTAGACGTCAAAGTTCATGTGTCAAGTGCTAGACGTCGACGTTCATGTGTCAAGTGTTAGACGTCAACGTTCTGTGTCAAGTCTTAGACGTCAACGTTCATGTGTCAAGTGCTAGACGTCGACGTTCATGTGTCAAGTGCTAGACGTCAACGTTCTGTGTCAAGTCTTAGACGTCAACGTTCATGTGTCAAGTGCTAGACGTCAACGTTCTGTGTCAAGTGCTAGACGTCAACGTTCATGTGTCAAGTGCTAGACGTCAACGTTCTGTGTTAAGTCCTAGACGTCAACGTTCATGTGTCAAGTGCTAGACGTCAACGTTCTGTGTCAAGTCCTAGACGTCAACGTTCTGTGTCAAGTGCTAGACGTCAACGTATATGTGTCAAGTGCTAGATGTCAACGTTCATGTGTCAAGTGCTAGACGTCAACGTTGTGAAACAGGTTGAATATGAAGCAGACGGAATATTGAAACAGGCGGAAATTGAAACAGTCGTGTTTAGTAGCTAGCCGAGAGGAACTCCTTAGTAGAAGGCTTCCTCTTCGCTAGCCCGCTATTTTAGCTCCTATTGCAATGAAGCTTTCTACCTGTAATGAGTTGGAAGTACAGCCGCCAGGAACTTTTATGGGGTGAGTTTTTTTATGTCTTTTGAAATGAAAAATACTTTTAGGCATTGTTGCGGGATTGTGGCTAAGGTTTGTAAATCAAAAGCAAAAACTACAGTTTTAATGAAATGCAGCACTGGTCAGATTTTTGTGGTCACTGCTTTTGCAACTGTAGTTGGGAAGTATGGTGTTTTTGTAGAGCTGTGTCAGGAAGGAAGTGTGAGTCTAACAATCAGAAGTTTTATTTTTCGATTTAGGTCGTCGATTTAAACCTGTTAAAGATACAAGCGTTTGATGTAAAGCGCTTTGATGGGAAAAAGATTTACAGTACGTTTTTGGATTATGAATTTGTTGTTACGTCGGCAACGATTATTAAATCTCAAGGAATTCCAGTCAAAAAAGTTGCGACGTTTAAAGAAATGGATTCAGGAGGGACTTATAGTTAGTTATGCGATAATTCAAGTTAAATTATTACTTTTAGGTTTTAATTGTGTGCTGGCCTCTACTTTTTTTAATATTGAAGAGAATTTCTGTGCAATTATTGCGGATGATGACAACAAGCGGGCAGATCTTAATGTGTTAGGGAATAAAGAAAAAGACAAATTCATCGAGTTTGCACCTGGTGAGGAGATTGAAATCAAAAAAGGCTTTGTTGTGATTGAAGGTAAAGTTAATTTAATTACTTTTCTTATATATTTTTTTTAATTTAGATCAATGCATGCATGTAAAAGTTCAAGCTGATGATATGGAATTCATGAATAATAAGAAACCAGTTTCAAAACTCCTCACAACACCAGTTAAACATAAGAAGGATGCAGTGAAAAAAGATTAATGTTTTGTGATATCCAAATGATAATTAGTAAGTTAATGTAATATTGTATTTTGAAATTGTTCTTTTTAATAGGAATTGTTTGCTTATTGATTAAACTGTTAGCCCATTGTTTTAAGAAAGGGTTAGGGTAACGAAAAATAAGAAAAGGGCTATGATAACAAAATCATGCTTTAATGTTTTCTCTGATTAGCCCGATAATTTTCATATTTGAGTAAATGGCTTTAGATGTTTTGATAATTGTTTAAGAAAGGAAAGAATTCATCTAAGAGGTTGAGAGGATTTTGATTTGCTTTGCTAGCGAGGTGGGGCGGCCGAAGGCCGCCCTACCCCGCTAGTTATCAAAACATCTAAAGCCATTACGTCTAAGACTTGACACAGAACGTTGACGTCTAACACTTGACACATGAACGTCAACGTCTAGCACTTGACACGTGAACTTTGACGTCTAGCACTTGACACATGAACGTTGACGTCTAGGACTTAACACAGAACGTTGACGTCTAGCACTTGACACATGAACGTTGACGTCTAGCACTTGACACAGAACGTTGACGTCTAGCACTTGACACATGAACGTCGACGTCTAGCACTTGACACATGAACGTTGACGTCTAGCACTTGACACATGAACGTCGACGTCTAGCACTTGACACATGTACGTTGACGTCTAGGACTTAACACAGAACGTTGACGTCTAGCACTTGACACATGAACGTCGACGTCTAGCACTTGACACATGAACGTTGACGTCTAGGACTTAACACAGAACGTTGACGTCTAGCACTTGACACATGAACGTTGACGTCTAGCACTTGACACAGCGTTGACGTCTAGCACTTGACACATGAACGTTGACGTCTAAGACTTGACACAGAACGTTGACGTCTAGCACTTGACACATGAACGTCGACGTCTAGCACTTGACAAATGATCGTTGACGTCTAGCACTTGACACATGAACGTTGACGTCTAACACTTGACAAATGATCGTTGACGTCTAGCACTTGACACATGAACGTTGACGTCTAACACTTGACAAATGATCGTTGACGTCTAGCACTTGACACATGAACGTTATCTGGCTCAAGAGGACACATGACTCCAGCAAACGTTGACGAAGAAAAGAGCACAGCAATGTTGAAAAGTGTTGAAAGCAGTTGAAGAATGACCAAAATACCCTGCTTTTATAGTATCTTCTTACCCTTCAACTGTCAAAGCTTTACTATAAAAACCCCCCTTTTCCTCACTCCCCCAAATCATTTTACTATAAAAACCCACTTGTCTATAAAAGGACAAACAGACACACACACCCTTCTCAATTATATAATTAGATATTTGAAAATCTTCAAAGCCGTGTAACTCTGTGAATTTAGGGACCCTCCTCATAAGCTATAGCTTATTCGAAAGATCATCAAAAACTGTATCTAAAACCTTGGGGCAATTTTGTCTACGTCAACCTTCTCAAAAGAAAATAGATATTTTCATTTCCTCGCTCCCCAAATCATTTTACTATAAAAGCTCCCATTTCCTCACTCCCAGAATCATTTACTATAAAAGCCCCCATTTTTTCACTCCCAAAATCATTTACTATAAAAGCAGTAGCCGTGTGACAAACACTCAAACAATTTCCACCGATTCACAAATTATATATAGGATATTTATTATTTAAAAGTATTTAAATTGATATTAATTAATTAATTAGAATTTAAACCCCCCAAAAATATATTCTAAACAATAAATTTAAAGAAATTTAAATTCTAATTAAAATAATTTGACAAATATTCTAAAAAAAGGGTCTGTAATAAAAATATTTTTGGGTTTTTAAAGTAAAAAAAAAACACAGCAAACACACAGAGGAAGTTAATTAGAGAGATTAATCTCTCTCTTTTTTCTAAAACTAAATTTTGTTAAAAAAATATATTTTCTAAACAAATCTAAAAAAAATAAAATTTTTCTAGACATCTACTAATACTTTGAAATATATATTTTGGTTAAAAGAGTGAATTTAAGTAGTAATTATTTAATTAATTATTGTATTACAAATTACTTTAAGAAAGGGAAGAAATTAATTTTAAAATTTCTTTTAACCAAAAAATATTCTTTTAAATAAACATACATTTAATTATTTATTTTCGTTTATTTTTTCAAAATTTATTTCCATTTAGAATTTTTATTCTCTTCCTCTGTATATTTTGTGGGAACACACCAAAAACATCTCTTTTTTCTTTTCTTTACCTGTTAGACCTTTGTAATGTTTGGCATTGAATAAATGCAGGTTTATTTATTTTGGGTTTCTGGGTTTCTTGTTGTTTTTGCCATTTTTCTGCTAAACTCGAAGTTTTGGAAATATTATTTTCGTTTGTTTTTGTTTGTTGCTGTTGTTGTTGAACTTGTTTTTTTAAATTTTGGGGGGTAATTTTTTGAGGTTGTTTATTTTGTTGTTGTTGGAGGGAAGGAGGAGGAGGAGGAGGGTGGTGGCCGTTTGTTTTAGATATTCCATTAGAATTTAAATTATAATTATTTTTTGTTGTTGTTGTTGAACTAGAAATTAATTAGTGAAAAATAATTTGTTAAATTAACCAAATTTATGATAGATTTTAATTTAATATTAATTTTTAATTTAATTTTAATATTGCTTTAAATTCAATTTTTGATTTTAATTCATAGCAAAGTGTCAAGTATAGTATTTATTTTTATCAGAGAATGACAGAGGTAATTAGTGTAGTGGTCCTTTGGATAATTATTTATTATTTACCAAAAACATACCCATTAATTGTCTTTGTACC